CTATTTTTGAAGTCTTCAGTTCAAGCATTTTTGAAGTTAAGAAGCTGGACTCTTCTTTTACTGGCCAGTAATATGAAATATCTTTTTCATGATCAATGGGTAAATTATATCTCGGAATCAAATGCTGTGCCATGGTTCTCATGGGAAAGTACATCCAGTTCTAGTGATGATAGTGGTCCGTCCCCTGAATGGATAAGGCTCTTTTGGAAGAATTTTAATGGATCAGTAGATGAGCTCTCTCTCTTTTCGGACTGGCCTCTGATTCCTGCCTTCCTTGGCAGACCGATTTTATGCCGTGTAAGAGAGAGACACTTAATCTTCTTTCCACCACCGCATTTGCAGCCAATCTCTAGAAGTGGTACTAATATGCATGAGAGAGACATTGATACGCCCACAACATCAGTAAGTGATGGGTCCTTATCTGAGTCAATACAGCAATATGTTTCAGGCTTTGACCTAGCACAGAGCAAGCATCCTTGGCTGATTTTACTGCTGAACCAGTGCAATATACCTGTTTGTGATACTGCATATATTGATTGTGCTGAAAGATGCAAGTGTCTGCCTTCGCCAAGCGTGTCACTTGGCCAAGCTATTGCCTCCAAGCTTGCTGAAAGCAAAAGAGCTGGCTACATTGCTGATATTGCCTCCTTCCCCACATTTGGCCGTGATGAGCTTTTTATCCTTTTGGCTAATGATTTCTCTTCCAGTGGCTCAAGATATCAACCATATGAACTTGAAGTGCTAAGTTCACTTCCTATATTCAAGACTGTCACTGGGTCTTATACGCATTTGCAGAGGCAGGGTTTGTGTATAATCGCTGGAAATTCCTTCCTCAAGCCGTATGATGATTGTTGCTTTTGCTATCTTTCAGATTCAGTTGAATGTCGCTTTCTCCAAGCCCTTGGGGTTGCTGTGTTGCATAATCATCAGACTTTAGTAAGGTTTGGGTTAGCTGGGTTTGAAAGCAGATCTCAATCTGAACAAGAAGATATACTAATTTATCTATATGGAAATTGGGTAGATTTAGAGACCGATTCTACTGTCGTTGAAGCTCTTAAGGAGGCTAAATTTGTCAGACATTCTGATGAATTTTCCACTGAGCTGTCAAAACCGAAGGACTTGTTTGATCCTTCTGATACATTACTTGTGTCGGTCTTTTCTGGTGAAAGAAAACGATTCCCTGGAGAAAGATTCTCATCAGAAGGGTGGCTTCGCATTCTGCGGAAAGCTGGCCTTCGATCTTCAGCGGAAGCCGATGTCATACTTGAATGTGCCAAACGGGTAGAATTTCTGGGTATCGAGAGTAATAGATCCCCTGAGGAAGATTATTTTGAAACGGATCTTGTGCATTCTGAGAAGGATATTTCAGTTGAATTATCAACATTAGCAGGATCAGTACTTGAAGCTATATTTTTAAAGTTTGCTGGTTTATATAGCACCGCATTCTGCAACACTCTTGGTCAGATTGCTTGCGTACCTGCTGAATCAGGGTTCCCAAGTATTGGTGGCAGGAAAGGTGGCAAAAGAGTCCTTACAAGTTACAGTGAAGCTGTTATTTTACGGGACTGGCCCCTGGCTTGGAGCTCTGCTCCTATTTTGTCAACTCAGAGATTCGTTCCACCTGACTTTTCATGGCCGGCATTTCGCCTGAGAAGTCCTCCGATTTTCTCGACTGTTCTTAAACACTTACAGGTAAGAACACTCTTCTTCTCTCTTTGATTTATTTTTGTACTTTTTTCACGGACACGAGAAGAAAGAGGCCTGATCAAATATATCCAGGTAATCGGACGGAATGGTGGTGAAGACACTCTTGCTCACTGGCCCAATGATCCAAATGTGATGACCATTGATGTTGCTTCTTGTGAAGTTCTGAAGTATCTGGAAAAGGTTTGGGGCTCCCTCACTTCTTCAGGTGCGTATACTACTTAATTTAGCATTCAATTTACATTATTGGACAGAGAGAACATTTTAATCAATAGGAGGTGTGAACAAAGTTTGTGTCCAGCCTTGCAAGCTGCAATAATGGACTATGCTCTGGACAACAATGTATTTCACTGTGATATACCAAAACAGGAATAAATTGGATTTTTGTTTGCTGATGCATACAACTACTTGGATATTTATGATCATAGGATTGCAGTAGGAGTTTTCTGTTGGTATGTTGAAATCTCTGATGATATATTTTCTCGGCTTTGTAATTTCTATCTTCCAGATATTTTGGAGTTGCAAAAAGTGGCCTTTTTACCAGCTGCAAATGGAACACGCTTGGTGGGCGGAAGCTCCCTATTTGTTCGCTTACCAATCAACCTATCACCTTTTGCATTTGAACTTCCTAGTCTCTATCTACCTTTTCTGAAGATCCTCAAAGATTTGGGACTTAACGATGTGCTTTCGGTTGGTGCTGCAAAGGAAATCCTCTCCAAATTACAAAAAGTATGTGGCTATCGGCGTTTGAACCCGAATGAGCTTCGAGCTGTGATGGAAATTCTTCATTTCCTCTGCGATGACATAAACACGACAAAGGCACCTGATGGTTCCACCTTCAAATCAGATGTGATAGTGCCAGATGATGGCTGCAGGCTTGTTCACGCACGATCTTGTGTTTATGTCGATTCCTTTGGGTCACGCTATGTGAAATACATAGATACTGCAAGGTTAAGACTCGTTCATCCACGTCTTCCGGAGAAGATCTGTCTGGATTTGGGTGTGAGGAAGCTTTCTGATGTAGTTATTGAGGTATGCATGGCATCAGTTGCTTTTTTCTTATATTTGTTCAAATATGAAACGATCTCAAAGTAACTGCTTCTTTACGTAGGAACTTCAAAGCGCTGAACAGATTCAAACCTTGGACAACGTAGGGACCATATCACTCCAGGCTATCAGAAGGAAGTTTCAGAGCGAGTCGTTTCAAGCTGCTTTGTGGACTGTGAGCCGTCAGACCACCACCGTGGACGAGTTATCTTTTGAAGATCTGCAACATTCTCTTCAATCTGCTGCAGAGAAAATTGAATTCGTCAGAAACATATATACTCGATTTCTTCTTCTGCCAAACTCCGTAGACGTTACCCGCGTGTCTAAGGAGTCCATGATTCCCGAATGGGAGAATGAATCACGTCATCGAACAATGTATTATATCAACCGTCAGAGAACATGTATCCTAGTTTCTGAACCGCCTGGATACATTTCTTTCCTGGATGTCATGGCAACAGTGGTGAGCGAGGTTTTAGGCTTTCCAAATTCCCTGCCTGTAGGATCTTTATTCTCATGCCCTGAGGGATCTGAAACTGAAATCGCCGCTTGCCTGAGGCTATGCTCTTATGCTCTTACAAACACCGGCGCAGCTGATAGTTCTATTGGCCAAGAGATAATGCCGCAGGATGCTGTACAAGTACAGCTTCACCCTCTGAGACCATTCTACAAAGGGGAGATTGTTGCTTGGAAGATCCAACAAGGAGACAAGCTGAGATATGGAAGAGTCCCAGAGGACGTTAGACCTTCTGCAGGCCAAGCCCTTTACAGATTTAAGGTTGAGATGACACCTGGAGAGACTGGTTTGTTACTTTCATCTCAAGTTTTCTCCTTCCGAGGCACCGCAATCGAAAGTGAAGGTGCCACGACTCTTCCCGAGGTGCTCCCCACAGTATCTGACAACAGATCTCAAGAAACTTCAGAAAGTTCCAAAACAAGTATAACAAGTTCGAGCCAGGTTTGTTACATCCTCGTTAATTGTTGGATTCAATAATATATACTGTTTTTTTAATCCAAAACGCTTATTTTGTTGTGATCGTTTGATCTTTTATCATCTGTTATGAGGAAGATTGATTGGATTTGTTGTGTTTTCATATGCAGCCTGTGAATGAAATGCAGTATGGTCGAGTCACAGCTAAAGAATTAGTTGAGGCAGTCCACGAGATGCTCTCTGCAGCTGGAATCAATATGGAACTGGAGAATCAATCTCTACTACAAAGAACCTTAACTCTTCAAGAAGAACTCAAGGAGTCTCAAGCAGCATTCATACTAGAGCAGGTTCGGTCACAATCAAAATTCTCCATAGCTAAAAACCACACTCATTATTATTTTAATTTTTTTGATGATGATATAGTAAAAACATGTATTCCCTGATTTTCTTGCAGGAGAGAGCAGAAGCTTCACTGAAAGAGGCAGAGACGGCGAAAATACAATGGGCTTGTAAGATATGCCAGTACAGAGAAGTGGACATGACCATTGTACCATGCGGACATGTCTTGTGTCGGCAATGTTTAACTTCACTCTCTAGATGTCCCTTTTGTCGCCTTCAGGTCAATAGGACCATCCGAATCTTCCGACCGTAACTAAACCCCCAATATTAAAGTATCAATTAACATTTTTTTATCAAAGGTTTTGTCTTCTCTATACAACAGTTTCTGCTAATTCATTGGCAACTTGTATATACGTATAGGTGTATTTTCACTTTGTATCATAATGTCTTTTTCCCCATTTTGGTTATTATTATTTTTGAATATGTACTTGGATTATGAGTTTTTCAAAGTCTATCCACTTGACACCTTACTCTAGATCTACTTTCTTCCAAAGAGAGGTTGTTAACTCTAAGTATGGGAAGGTTTATGAGCTTTTCTAAACCTTTAACTTGATTTATGATATTACTTTCTCACTCAATTAACACTATCTAACAATTATATATATATTTTTGAAATAAGAAGTACATTTACTATAAATGATCTAACAAGGATCACAAAGCTTTTTCATGAGGGATAAGGTTCTTATGACAAATCTCTATGAATTATACACCACACATATCATTCCATACAAAATCAGAGCAGAACTTGATATGTCGATCAAGAAGGTAAATAAATGTATAGAGAGGAAGCACTACTAGTTGAATAGATAGTAAATTGTTGGATTTAGTACGTAGAAAAAAAAAAGACAAAACAAACTGAGATGTGGTCTCATAAAACTAGTAACCCTTGATAGGCTTGCCAAGCGCAGAAGAAGCAAACTCACTAGCCAGAGTTTGTTTCCTGAAGGTCACTGGACATGGCCGATGGTATTTTGTGACGTTCCAAAATCAACGAAGTTGCTTCCTTAGCAGATTTTTTATTCAAAACAATAACATGTCCCTCTTCTAAGTCAAACCTCAAATCCTCGGTGCAACATTTCTCTATTAGCTCACTTAGATGCTTCAGATTCACCACTTTCACTCCGTTCACTTTCTTCACCTATTATACAACACAAATATTTATATTTCTTGCTATCGGCTTAAAAACAGGCGAATAGTGTTGTAGCAACTATAGCTTTGATTCTCAAGTACGGTAAAAATTACAGTTATGACTTGTTCCATTATTAGAGTCAAACTTCACCTGAAAAAACAGGTAATACTAGTGACTTACCTCGAAATTATTTAAACGAGAATATGTTGTGTTGATACCATCCGATAAAACCTATAATAAAAAAAAAAAAGTCTAACATCAAAGCCAGAATAATGAAGAAGACAATGTCATTTATGTTTATTTGAAACTTACATTACTAGCACACAAAGGTGGACCATTTTAGTGATAGACTAAGAATAAAGGAGAAGGATAACAAACTAGAGGTCTTTGCCTTTGGTAACTGAGAGCCTTTTGGCTTTGGGAGAGAGTTAAAAGATCTCTACAACAGGTCTCTAATCTATCTCGGGAAGGTTCTTCATTGTAATTCTTGATTAAAAGATTAGAAAACAGTTTCAACACTTGATCTTATCAGTTACTTTATATGAAGTTGTTAACAACTCAAGAATCTTACGAAAATAAAGTTTCCTTTTCTTCTGAGTAAAAGAAATACAAACCTTAGAGATTATGACAATCTGTTCATCGGCTTTTGTGGCATTCCTTTTTAATGCACGTTTACATATTGCACTTGATTCATCCATGTATAGTTCAGAGAGAGGCACAAAGACAAAACCGGCAAGTATGTAATAACTTGGAAGAAAATTTTCCATGAACCAACTGCCGGTTCTGCGTACAATATTAGAGATACATTTAGAAAACATTCTGATAATTAATTTTCCATTTAAATATAATGTGAACCAACAAGGAAACAAGAAGAGGAAAAACAGATGACTTACTGTGCAGTTTAAGCTGATCATAAACTCATGCTCTTTTCCATCTCTTAAGACTTTAACTATAACTGTTTCACCAGGTTTCTTCATAGCAACCAAGTGAGTAAAAGGGAGCCAATTTTTTCCCCGAAAATAATCTGCAAGAAGAATATATAAGAATCAAAATTCACCAACACCGATGGAGAATATTTATGTAACTGTTTACCTCTTCCATTGTTACTGACAGGAGAACCTTCAACTGCAAGAATGACATCGTGTTCTTTCAGAACTCTGTGAGCATTAGACAGTGGATCTATCCCGGTTAGAAGAACACCTGTCATGTCATCACTCATTTTAAAATGTCTACGCAGCTGAGCATCCTCCATGGATTGCCAACTAAGATAGCTAACTTACATTCATGCACAACCGCTTCGACTTTTTCTGTGTAAAAAGTGGGTGAACCATACTTTCTCACTCTCAAGCATTTATCAGACACATTATAAGTGCCCGTAAGAATCCTCCTTCCGGAAATTACAAATCCTAAATAAAATCCACGATACAATATATTACAAGTCGTCACTCGTAAATGTTCATACATGTCAATAATGTAATTAAAAATTTAATAAAGAGTCAAATCACACAGGATGGAGAGATAGAGGTAATGAGATTGGATGATTTAAGGATGTATATACCACAATCCAGGGCTTCTTTTTCCTCGGTGACCTTCTTCTTCCATGGTTGTTGTGGGTCGCTCCAGAGGGAGTAGATCTGCACCAGCGAGTGTATGGCCTCATCGAAACGAAAAGGTTTCGTCTTTGCTTGAGATGACTCACTCTGCCACACAGAAGAAGAAGACGAAGAGCAGTGGCATATGTTGGAAGCATGAAAAGACGAAACGCCGCCGCCTGAACAATTTCCCGCCGTTAGGGCTAACGTTGGCAGTAAACTGTTGGAGGAACGGAGACGAAGGGAAGGAGAACAAGAGAGGAATCGAGAAACCGGAGTGCTCGAGGAATTGCAGAACCTGGCCACTCTAGGCACCGATGTTACAGACGGGGACAACATTTTCAAGTGACTAGTGAGTGAGTAGGGTTCCGACATATGATGACTACTCATTTCTCTGACTTGGTGAACAAGTTTTAGCTTATTTGGGCTATACTCTCGTTCCATCATCCATGGGCCTTTGTTGGGTTGAGTTCTTTCCTCGGTAAAATTTAAATTTCTTTTTACTGTGGATAGAAGCAAAGGTAAAGATTAGAAGAGACACAGAAGTTTTAGTCAATCCTACAGTGAAACGTGTAGCGATGGTAAACTACGTAGACGTTTGAACTTGATATGTTGATCAAGAAGGTAAATAAATGTATAGAGAGGAAGCACCACTAGTTGAATAGATAGTAAATTGTTGGATTTAGTACGTAGAAAAAAAAAAGATAAAACAAACTGAAATGTGATCTCATAAAACTAGTAACCCTTGATAGATTTGCCAAGCTCCGAAGAAGCAAACTCACTAGCCACTAGCCAGAGTTTGTTTCCTGAAGGTCACTGGACATGGCCGATGGTATTTTGTGACGTTCCAAAATCAACGAAGTTGCTTCCTTAGCAGATAAATAATTCAAAACAATAACATGTCCCTCTTCTAAGTCAAACCTCAAATCCTCGGTGCAACATTCCTCTATGAGCTCACTTAGATGCTTCAGATTCACCACTTTCTCTCCGTTCACTTTCTTCACCTGTTATACACCACAAATATTAGATTTCTTGCTATCATCGGCCCAAAACAACCGGATAGGGTTTTAGCAACTATAGCTTTGTTTCTCAAGTACGGTTCAAGATATGACTTGTTCCATTATTAGAGTCAAACTTCACCTGAAAAATTGGTAATACAAGTGACTTACCTCGAATTCTTTCAAATCAGAATATCCTGTGTTGATATCATCCGATAGAACCTATACCATAAAAAAAAAAAAAAGCCAAATTCTAACTTCAGTGCCAGAATAATGAAGAAGACAATGTTATTTACATTTATTTGAAACTCACATTACTAGCACTAACACACAAAGGTAGACCATGTTAGTGTTAGACTAAGAATAAAGGAGAAAGATAACAAATTAGAGGTCTATGCATTTGGTAACTGTGAGAGCCTTTTTGCTTTGGGAGAGTTAGGAGATCTCTACAACAAGTCTCTAATCTATCTCGGGAGGGTTCTTCATTGTAATTCTTGATTCAAAGATAAGAAAACAGTTTCACTACTTGATCTTATCAGTTAGCTTATCTGAAGTTAACAACTCAAGACTCGATCTTACCAAAATGAAGTTTTTTCTCTAAGTAGAAAATTTCACCTGAGAGATTATGACAATCTGTTCATCGGGTTCTGTGGCCTTCCTTTTTAATGCACTTTTACATATGGAACTTGATTTATCATCAATGAGTGGCTTAGAGAGAGGCACAAAGACAAGACCAGCAAGTATGTAATAACTTGGACGAGATTTTTCCGGAACCAGCTGCTGTTTCTGCGTACATCAATAGACATCATACCCTTAGAAAACATTCAATAAATTTTCATTTAAATATAATGTGAACCAACAAAGCAATAACAAGAAGAGAAAACAGATGACTTACTGTCATGTTTAAGCTGATCATAAACTCATGCTCTTTTCCATCTCTTAAGACTTTAACTAGAGCTGTTTCACCAGGTTTCTTCATAGAAACCAAGTGAGTAAAATAAATCAATTTGTTTTCCCGAAAATGAACTGCAAGAAGAATAGATATCTCATATCAGAATAAAAATTCATCATATATTCAACAGTATTATATGTAACTATTTACCTTTTCCATCATTATTGACAGGTAAACCTTCAATTGCAAGTAAGATCGTGTTCTTTCAGAACTTTTCGAGCATTCGACAGTGGATCTATTTTGGTTATAAGAACACCTGTCATGTCAGGACTCATTTTAAAATGTCTACGTAGTTGAGCATCCTCCATGGTTTGATGGCATATATCCAGCGAACCGAAGCCACCAATGTGTTGAGCATCCTCAGGACAATTTAGAAATTGCTTAATCACTGAAGTTGGGATGATTTCATCAACCCCTGGATAGAAACCAACAATCTTATTTCCTATAACAACCGGACCAGAGTTATACCAACTCATATCTTGTACGGCCAATAGTTGGGCGGTGCCGTGATAATACTCTCTAGGTTCAAGTGACGTTACAGTAACTTCTGTGATTGTAACGGCGTCATTTTCTGCATTTGAACGCATACCATAACTCTTTATTAGTCATTCATTCTTACGAGTAAGATATCCGTCAAAACATTATACCACTAAAACTCTTTAAGTGACGCATCATACATATATCTAGTCAACCATATATCTCAACTAATTAACAGTCACTTTTCGTATATGATTTTAAAAGAAAAAATACGTACCATAACCATAAACGGAGACAGTTTCGCCTACAGAGGGTATCTCGTCCCCGAGCTCCAAAGGTTGCATATTCTCCCAAAACTCTTCGCTGTCAACAACTAAGGTAGCTAATGTACATTCACGCACAACCGATTCGACTTTTGCTGTGTAAAAAGTGGGTGAGCCATACTTTCTCACTCGCAACCATGAATGAACACCAGTCACTGTATGAGAGTCCGTAAGGATCCCCCTTCCAGAGATTACAAGTCCTACATAAAATATTATTACAAGTCGTCACTCGTAAATGTTCATTGTTCATACATGTCAATAATGTAATTGAAAAATTGAATAAAGAAATCACACAGGATGGAAAAGAGAGATTATATGATTTAAGGATATATACATACCACAGCCCAGGCATTTCTTTTCCTCCCTGGTACTATTCCAGGGTTCACGAGGTTTTGGCCCGCTCCGGAGCTCGAAGATCTGCACCACCGAGTGTATGCCCTCATGGAAAGGCAAAGATCTCGTCTTTTCTTGTGCTGAATCACTTTGCAACACAGCAGAAGAAGAAGAAGAAGAAGAAGAATAAGAAGAAGAGTAGTGACTTATGGTGGAGGCATGATAAGACGAAACTCCGCTGGAATAGTTTCTAGTGGTTAGGGCTAAGGAACGGAGACCAAGGGAAGGAGACGAAGAGAGGAATCGAGAAACCGGAATGCTCGAGGAATTGCAGAGCCTGGCCACGTTACGGACAGATCTTCTTACAGACAGGGACAACATTTTTGACTGAGTACTGAGTACTGAGTACTGAGTAGTGAGTAGGGTTCCGACAAATGATAAGTATATCCATTTACTTGACGAACAAGATTTAGCTTCTTTGGGCTATTATTCCATTGGGCCTTGTTGAATTCTTTCTTCAACCCGTAAAAATTTAAGTTTCTTTTTACCGTGGATCATACAAGCAAAGGTAAACGATTTTTAAAGAGTTAACTGTAAGAAGTTTAATCAATGAAATGGTGACACGTGGAGAAATGGTAGACTACGTAGACGTTCGAATAACCATCACCACTCAGATAAGAAGGAGAGAGAAAAGTTTACACACCAAAAGGATATGTGTTCCAGAGGCGGGAGAGAGAGAGAGTGGAAAGAGAAGAAGAAGAAGGACAATACCTTCAATGGCGTCTCTGCAACTCTGCGACTGCTCCTCCAACGGATATCTCCTCTTCAAGCCCTCCGTCTCTCCTCGGCTACTCCCTCAACGCATCTCTCACCGCTTCATCCCTAAGGCCTCCGTTTCTCCACCATCATCACCATCTTCGTCTTCGTCTTCCTCCTTGTCTCTTAATCGGAGGCAGCTTCTGTACCAATCCGCGGCAGTATCAGTCTCGCTTTCTTCCATTATCGGACCGGTGAAAGAAGCGAAAGCTGAAGAACAGTTATCCGAATGGGAAAGAGTGCTCCTCCCCATTGATCCCGGCGTCGTTCTTCTCGACATTGCTTTCGTCCCCGACGATCCCAACCGCGGTAATTCCTTCTTCTTCTTTTCAAGTTCCGTTATCCTCCATCGGAAAATCCTTATGCTCAGAGAGTCACTTAATTACTAATCCAGCTAATAAACAATCAAATTAGGGTTTTTACTGGGAACGAGGCAGACTCTGTTAGAGACCAAAGACGGTGGAAACAGTTGGGCTCCACGCTCAATCGCTTCAGCTGAAGAAGAGGATTTCAATTACAGATTTAATTCAATCAGCTTCAAAGGCAAACAAGGATGGATCATCGGCAAGCCTAACATCTTACTGTACACTGGTGACGCCGGAGAGAATTGGGATCGGATTCCACTCAGTTCTCAGCTCCCCGGAGATATGGTATATAATAATAAGCCTGTTTCCTCCGCCGCTTTCTGAGATTATGGAGCTGTGTTGTTGCTGGTTTTGTTTGCTGTTTTTGTTTATGAGAAATGTTTACAAATGTTGTAGGTGTTTATAGAGGCGACTGGAGATAAGAGTGCAGAGATGGTTACAGATGAAGGTGCTATCTATGTTACTTCAAACAGGGGATATAACTGGAAAGCTGCTATTCAGGAAACCGTCTCAGCTACTTTGAACAGGTTCGTTACTCTCTATTTCTGCTTTTGGCAAAATCTTCAAAGGGTCAAGTTTTGGAGACCCTAATTCTGTATTATCCCAATGGTCTTGCAGAACAGTCTCGAGTGGAATCAGTGGTGCTAGTTACTACACGGGAACTTTCAGTGCCGTGAATCGGTCACCAGAGGGAAAATATGTGGCTGTCTCGAGCCGTGGTAACTTCTTTCTGACATGGGAGCCTGGCCAGGTGAGTCTCAGTGAAAGGCCATGTCAACATTTACTCATCTTGTTTGCTGCTGAACCTTTGATGACATAGCTAGGTGGAGTAGTAGTGTGCAGGCTCAGTCAGTTTACTCATGGATGATTTCATTATAGCTGATTAGTTAGCACCTATTAGATCATATGTAAAGAAGAGTATAGCATGGTTAACAATATCATGCGTCCTACAAGTGTGTGTGTGTGTGTGTATGTGTGTGGTTTGGTTGGTGGTAAAACAGTTATTGACCATAGTATTGGTACATTGCAGCCTTACTGGCAACCACACAATAGAGCAGTTGCACGAAGAATTCAGAACATGGGGTGGAGAGCTGATGGTGGTCTTTGGCTTCTTGTTCGTGGTGGTGGACTTTATCTTAGCAAAGGCACTGGGGTAACTACTTTCAACAAGACTCTCCTCACTTTCTGCGCTTTGTATTCCCTCAACATTTCCTTTTCTTCTCGTACCGTGATTCAAATTCTCTACTGTTTTGATTACTCAGATCACAGAGGACTTTGAAGAAGTTCCAGTACAAAGCCGTGGCTTTGGCATCCTAGATGTTGGTTATCGCTCAGAGGTATATAAGTTTACGCAATGATCATTGAATGTTTTTAATTCTGCTCAGATCTTTACACCGGTTTTTGTTGTTGTTTTGGGATTGCAGGAAGAAGCATGGGCAGCAGGAGGCAGTGGCATTCTACTGAAAACAAGAAATGGAGGCAAGTCATGGAACCGTGACAAAGCTGCTGATAACATCGCTGCTAATCTTTACGCTGTCAAGTAAGTCTCTCTGATCAAACATAACACAGTCTTTTGATCACCTAATTGTTCCTCCCCTGATCCGTCTCTCATCTCAACTCTCAAATCTCAATTCCATTGCTCAAACTAAATCAGCTTCGTTTCATTTTTCTTTCTGTTTTTGCAGATTTGTTGATGACAAGAAAGGGTTTGTGCTTGGCAACGATGGAGTCTTGCTCCGATATGTTGGATGAGGATAGCTGCAATTAAAAAGGTGATTTGCCAGTTGTTTTGTTTCATTCTTTGTTTGACTGATTGTTGGATTTTGGATTTGATATAATCTATGGTTCTAAATTATCTTCATCAAATAAAAATTATTATATCTATTTAATTTCTTATGGGATTTTTGTGTAGGCAATGAAGAACTCTTTTCATCACCGGATTACTGAGTTTGTTTCTTACTTGAAAAACGGTCTTATCCAGTAGAGAGAGATATCAAAAACTTTATTGTCAACAATATCATAAGAGAAACATAATTTGAATGGTAAATGTTATCAACATTTTTGTGTAAATTTATTTATTGCAACTTCAGTTCAAATGTAACGCGGTTTTGTTTTCATATTTATAGTAATAATAATTAATTTGTTCATCGTTTTTTAAGAAAAAAATATAATTTTTGCGTCGCTCCGGTGGCGACGAGAGGGGGAAGAGATCTCTCGTTCGTTTTTCCCGGAAAATCCGGCAACGAAAAGTTACATCGAACCTACGAGAAAATTCCTTCCTTTCACTCCACGAGTTTTCTCCTCTCTTTCTCAATCTCTCATCGTCTCTTCCTCGTTTCTCGTCTTCGCTTTTTTCCCCCTTTTACTCTTCGAATTTGCCGGAATCCTAAATTTTTGATCAGATCCAGTTTAGAATAGTTTTGTTAGATTGTACAGAGCAATGCTTACGGATCGAGGGAGGCGGATTTCTCTTTGCAATGGGACTCTTGATTATAGCAACAGAAGATTCCGCGGCGATAATGGTTACGGATTCGTGGATCGATCGAAAGGCTGCCGCGATTGGAGTCCTTCGAATCCATCTTCTTCGAGAATCCTGCGTATTTCGTCACCGAACTCGTCTCCACCGTCGCCGCATTCTTCTTCCGTCTCTCTGAATTGCTCCTACTCTACCGGCGCTGGCTATATCGAACACCAGGTCTCCAAGTTCGATACTCTCGCCGGCATTGCCATAAAATATGGTGTTGAGGTATAGTTTCCGTGTCTTTTTGCTGGAGATTAAGATTGCCATATTATGATCGAATTGTGAAAGCTTGTGCTCTGAAATATTACGTTTCCAGAAATTTTGATTGTGTGATAATATCTTTATAGTTAATGATAAAGGAAAGCAATGGAAAATATCATAAAGCTGCAGCTTTTATAATCATATGGAGTTTGACTTCAAAAGTTGGAAACAATTCGTCTTCGTGACCCTCACTATCGCAATTTTCTGAGTTTATGCTTTTAATGCTGGTTTAGTTCTAATTTTCCTTTTGTTGTTTCTAAAATTTGATATTTTTCAGGTTGCAGATATAACGAAGCTAAATGGGCTTGTAACTGATCTTCAGATGTTTGCTCTCAAGTCTCTCCGGATACCATTACCTGGGAGACATCCTCCTTCTCCATGCTTATCTAACGACTCCTTGAATCATGGGTACTTTTTAGCCTCTTCTTGATCCTCTGTTTTACACACTTATTTGTAGAAGGCCTTAGTCTGTGACCTAGACTTCCTAAGTACATTTAAAGAAACTTAGTCCAGTTCAACAACCTCATAGATAGTGGTTATTGTAAGACCTTGTACATGAGCCTGATTTCTTCATGTAGAGCCTTGAATCTATTAGGTCTTGCATGAAAAGGCATCCACATATCAAGTAATCTTATCCCGTATATGAAATCTTCTTGCAGAGAGGATTGTTCTGAGCATCAAGCTTCGTCATCAGCAAGCAATGGCAACGTCCAAGACGTATTTGACTCCTTCCAGTCTTTAAGGTTGAAGCCTCCGGAAACGAAGGTTTCTCCAGCCATGAACTCATTGCAAGGTTACTATGGACTGAAACCAAAAAACAGAAGAGCTTCTGAAGGTTTTGAGATGGGAGTCTACAAGAAAGAATCTTCTCATCTCCAAGACAATGATCAGTACCTCACACCTTTACCAGCCACCAGTACTCCTTTGAACCACCACAGAAAATCTCGAAGCTTGGTGGATGCAGTTATCGCCGAGGTCAACCAATCATCCGACCTGTCAATGAGAAGACGTCAAAAATCTGAAGCCGATTTTACCTCTCAAACCCCGGAATTGCTTTTGAAGGAGGAGAACAGAAGCAGCATCGGCGGGTTTTCTGCAATAACCGGGAAAGGTTTAGCTCTGAGATCAAAAGCAGCAAGTAGAACTAATTTGTCAGGAGATACCGAGACCGGTAATTCGAATCTCGTACCAGTCAATTTGATTAATGCTCCTGTGGGAGACAGCTTCTCAAGCGTGAGGAAATCGATCAGCGCCTCTAGTCTGCAAGAACCGGACTGTAACAGCAACGGTTCATCGCTGTGGCCAACCTCAAAGTGGACCTTGAAACCTGAATTGCTCACACAAGCAGCCATGGCAAGCTCTCTCTTTGACGGATTGCCTTTGCCTTTAAATGGTCGGAGAAACAAAAAGGCTGTGGACTAAGGTCAGGTCAGATTAGGTTCCGTCCGTCTCGTTCGTTCGTTATTGACTGTCCACTTTTGGTTCTGTGATCCATAAGCAAAGAAGCCAATAGCTATAAATCGGTGGGAGTAAATAGAAGTAAAGTGTATCATTGGCATTGCATTTATTTAAATCATTATCGCAAATTGGTTGCGACTAAGAGATTTTTTGTTGTTGGAAATCACAAGTAATAAAAAAAGAAAACAAGTTTGATTGCTCCTGCTAATTTTGTGTTAATTATTGTATTAACTGCTGAAAAAAATCTGCTCTGTAATCATTTTTATCCAATAAAACAAAAGAGAAAACAAAACAAATCTAAGGAAAATAGAAAAGAAAAAGAAGGTACACTACTAAATCTGAAATCCCTAACTTCGACACCATTTCTCGAGCAATTCACTCGTTTCCCTCTTTCTGAGCAGAAACAACCCTAGAGCTCCGATGATGAGGGGTCTTGTTTCCGGCGCCAAGAGGCTATCAACCCCATCGTTGATGGCGACAACCACCGCCACAGCTAGAAGAAGCTACAGTCTGATTCCGATGGTTATCGAGCACTCGTCTCGCGGAGAGAGAGCTTACGATATCTTCTCTCGCTTGCTCAAGGAGCGTATTATCTGCATCAACGGTCCCATCAATGACGACACCTCTCACGTCGTCGTCGCTCAGCTTCTCTACCTCGAGTCTGAGAATCCTTCCAAGCCGATCCATATGTATCTCAATTCGCCAGGCGGCCACGTCACCGCCGGTAAAATTTCCTTTCCTTTTTCCATTTTGTATGTTGAGCTTCGTCAAATTTCAGAGTAGTGTGTGATTCGGAATCGGATTTCTAAATTGTGCGACTATGTCAATGCCTTCATGCTTAGTTATACTTGATATAGTCGATAATGCTGTTCGTCGATTTTGGTTCCTCTGTGTATATTGGTATTTATCTAAGCTTTTTTGCTCACTGACCAAAATCCTCTTATGTCTTAGAGGTTTCTAAGAAGATTCTGCAATTAGGATTTCGTAAAGTAGTCACTTGAGTCATGCTCAAATGTTTGAAGAAATTCTTATACGTTCTCTAGTGAATTTACTAATTATTGCTGGTGATTTCTGTGTCTTGGTTTGTGACGAGTTGACAATTTTCATCCACAATCTCAAAGATTGTTTCTGATGTGTTTGTGACGTCTTTTATCTTTAATTTTTTGATGCAGGTCTTGCGATTTACGATACTATGCAGTACATTCGATCTCCGATAAGCACAATCTGTTTAGGCCAGGCTGCATCAATGGCTTCTCTCCTCTTGGCGGCGGGTGCCAAGGGGCAAAGGCGGTCGCTGCCAAATGCAACCGTTATGATTCATCAGCCTTCAGGGGGATACAGCGGGCAGGCTAAGGATATAACGATCCATACGAAACAGATTGTTCGTGTGTGGGATGCGTTAAACGAGCTGTATGTTAAACACACGGGACAGCCTCTTGACGTGATTGCGAAGAACATGGATAGGGATCATTTCATGACTCCTGAAGAGGCCAAGGCGTTTGGAATAATCGATGAAGTGATTGATGAAAGACCGTTGGAGCTGGTGAAAGATGCCGTTGGAAATGAAAGCCAAGATAAGAAGAGTTCGAGTTAGGGAGTAACTGGTAATCAGAGTAATAAATTTTCTTCTTTTACTTTTACCAGTTTTGCTTTGCTCCGGTTTAGATTATTTTCTTCTATGGATGAATTTTTATGCTCTGAGGGCGTATGATCTCTCAAACTATTTTTATTCTTTCATATATCGATCATGACTATATTTCGGAACTCTTTTTCATGCATGCTTACGCAGTCTCAGTATCTCATTTAGAATGGCTTTGGGTCTTAATTCCTTGTGCAGTCTGATCCAATACATATCGTTGGTTAATAATGAGTTTGTTGTCTAGTTTCGTAAGTCCTAGTTGATTTGCTTATGTGAGATGCTGTGGTTTTCTTTTCTTTATATTCTTCGGGTTTCATGTTTTTGCTGACTTTGATGATTTGATCTGTTCTTTACCTCGTCATGATCTTTTCTGAATTGGCTATTAAATGGCTGAAGTTAGAACACCATCAAATTCTTTTACGATATCTTTTGTTCTTTTTGTTTTGTTCTCTGGAAATTTAGGGACATACTAATTAGAATGTTCTTATTTCTATTCCGTGAATAATTGAGGAGTCTTGTCTTGTTGAGTTAAGCTTTTGATGACCAGTGTTTGCTTTAACTGCTTAAACTGTTTTTAATTATAAGCAGAATTATTATTTATCTTCTATAATTTTTTTTATGAGTTAGGCTCTCTAATGCGGAAAGGGGAAATACTTGTATTTTTAATTGTTTCGGTTTGAGACTTCAGACTTGAGAAAACATAAACAGATGCTATTTTTCATTTAAATGGGAGGAAGGAAAATATTCACTCGTTAGTTTTGTAATAAAAAGGAAATATTGATCTGTGCATCTGAGTATGACGAGTATCTGAATAATGTATTTTGGTAGGATTTAGGAATAGTGAGATTACAATAAAATAAAAGGAAATAAAATGAAATGGAAATTGAAACAAATTGGATTGGATCGGAGTGTCTTCTTTTGTAAAAAAAAAGGAAAAAAACGCCGACAACAGTAAACCAAAGTTCTCAGAAAAACTCCATCGTAAGTTTTTCACCTTTCAGCCCTAAGCCCATCGTCTCTCTCTCGCGACCGCCTCAATCTCTCTCTCCCTCTCTGGATTAATCTCTCTCTCTCGCGACATCGCTGTTGCTCGCTAACGTGACTCCTTCCTGTCTCCGGTGCTATCTCAATTAGGGAAGCTTCTTCCGGTGGAATAATCTCTGGATTGGAATCGGAGATTCTAATTGATTCTCGGGTTTGGATTGGATTCCGCAATTCTCTTCGGTGTTCCTGTTTTGCTATCAAAATTAGGGTTTACAGCAGTCTCGCCTATGGCTCCTGGGCGTAAAAGAGGAGCGAGCAAAGCCAAGGCCAAGGGGCAATTGATTCTCGGTGATCTGGTCCTTGCCAAAGTCAAAGGCTTCCCTGCTTGGCCTGCTAAGGTACTTCCTTCTTCTCTCTTTTTGTACGACCTCCTTTCTGATTTCTGAATTTCGAATTTTGTTTTCTTCTCTAATTCATTCCCGTACAGTCCGTAGTCTCTCTGTCTTCATCACTTTTTGGTTTAGTTTGGGCTTCTGTTCTTTTTTACTGTTAGTAATTCTGGCATCTGATGATGAGACATGTTAACTCTGTCGATTATTTTTGTTTGGTTTTTCTCTTTATTTTGCTGCGTAGCCAGTGATATATGGTTGGATTTTCCCTAGGTTGATGATCTCTAGTGTTGTTCTCTTTCTTTTGAGCGTCCTAGCTTAATAATTAGGTTGGTTTAAGATTTACCGTAGTAATTGTACCCGAGATTGAGCGGATTTAAAGTTAGTTAAATCATCCAAGGTTGAATTATGATATATACATGCTATGTGAGAGTGAGAATATGTTTAATTTTTTTCTCTTTACTTAATTTCTCTACTGAATATATATGGTTTCGAGTTTCAGGTCAGCCGGCCTGAAGAGTGGGATCGTGCGCCAGACCCAAAGAAGTACTTTGTTCAGTTCTTTGGAACACAGGAAATGTAAGCGAGTCTCTTCTATGTATATAGATTTCTTAAATTAGTTGCTCCTCCTTGTGATTCTATAATCGTAGTACCTTCTCATCTAGTCAAAAGACCATATCGCTAGAATTAGGCAGTAGTCAGTAGATATTGGTTATCTGGTGTTCTCTTACCCTGATTGAATTTTACCTTTTTCCTCGCCATGTTACTAGACATTTTGGTTGTGGTTTTTGGCTGATTATATCTTTGGAGTTGATTTTGTCATATGAGTAGTGATCATTGACCAAGTTATCTTCCTTCACTGCAGAGCTTTTGTTGCGCCACCTGATATCCAAGTCTTCACTAGTGAGGCAAAGAGCAAACTATTAGAAAGATGTCAAGGGAAAACAGTCAAGTACTTCGCACAAGCTGTAAAGGAGATTTGCTCCGCGTTTGAGGAGTTGCAAAATCACAAGTCAGATGTTTTGGGCAATGAGGATCACGAAGTTACTGAGTCTGATGGAACTGATACCTTTGATTCTAGGGCTGATCCTGGCCTTTCCAAAGTAGATAAGAATGATAGTGGAGAGACTAAGGCTGATACAGGGAAGCGAGATTCATCTCCATTTCTGGAATCAAAGATCACAACCACATCCTCTGGTAGCGAGTCACTGGAGCATGATTCATATGACCCGAAGATAAAGAAGGAAGATTTTGATAAAGGAACTGCCGGTGATGGTTGCACTGAACATTTTGGTAATGGCAAAAAGAATCTGGCCAACGGTAAGAGAGTAAAGAAGGAAGCAGGAGGCTCAGACAGAAAAGGTGAAGATACAGATAACTCACATGTGCCTGATGGTCGAGCTGCTAGTGGTAAATCTGATTCCAAAAAGTCAAAAGGTCTATTGACAGAGAAATCTAGCTCCAAAGTGTCCGGAGGTAAGCATGAAAATTCAACTGGCATCAAGGGTGGGGTTTCCAGCAAGAAAAGAAGGCTTGGAAGTGAATCAGGGAAGCCTGGACCAAGAGAAGATGAAAGCTCACGAGCTGCTAAAAAACCACGATGTGAAGGTGCGAATGATAAAGAAAAGTGTGAAGTTGATGATGAATCTGATTCTACTGGGGCTGTATCAGATATGAAGCGTGAAACTGTTTTAGGATTAAGTGCTCGTGGAGGAAATTTACAATTTGAGAAAGAAGTAGTTGCATATACAAAGCGCCGCAGTCAAACAGATGCTACCTCTCCTTCTCCTTCTTTTTCTGGGTCTCTTGATAAATCTGGGAAAGGCCAACTGGAACAGAAAGATCGCTCGCCTTCTGTCAGTGAGAAATCCGGGAAAGGTCTTCCGGAACAGAAAGACCGTTCCTCTTCTGTTAGTAACGTTAAGGTTCCAGCTGCACAGTCGCTAAGAAAACGGAGGGCTGTTTGTATCTATGACGAAGATGATGATGAAGATCCGAAAACCCCATTACATGGAAGACAAGCCGTTACTCCCAAAGCGACATCAGTTTTGATTGATGGTCCTAAAAGTGCTAAGGTATATCATGATACTTCTACTAAAACTAAGATATCTGCTGGATCTACAGAGAGTACTGGACTAAGGAGAGTACCTCTCCGTAAACATAGTGAGGATGCTTCGCGTGTGATGTCCGATAATGTGCAGAATTCTACTAGCTTACCCATGGTAAAATCCATCAATGAATTGCAGCCAAAAGGTGTCAAGCAGATCTTGCGATCTCCTAAGATGTCTCCACAGCTGGTGCCAACTAACAAGCACGTTGCAGGACAGCATAAAGCTGCAAAATCATCTGTCAAAGTTTCTGGTGTTGTGATGGCAAAGAAGCTTCAGAGTGATTCTTGCAAGGAGGCAGTTGCGGGATCTGATAAAATGAGCTCTTCTCAATCTCAGCCAGCAAACCAGAGAAACAAACCAGCTTCAGTTGGAGAGAGGCCAACAGTGGCGTCAAAGGCTGTGGTACGTTTGAATGATGCTGGTATTTCAAGAGAGACATCTGAGGACTTGTCGGCTGCCATGTATGTCACATTCTATCTGTCATCGTTTTGTGTTTATGTCGTCTGTTGCTTATAGTTCTTTTCTTTTGCAGGATTGATCTCAGTCGAGAAAATTGGAGTGCCTCGTTCATCAGTGCGAGGACCTCGGATTCGGCTGCATCTATGAAGGACCTAATTGCAGCTGCGCAGGCCAAAAGAAAACTAGCACATTCACAAAATTCCATATTTGGGAATTTGAACCCTAGTTTCTTAAGCATTAGTGATACACAGATGAGGAGCCATAGCCCATTTATGGTTCAGAATGCTTCAGCTTCCGCTGCCCTCGCAATGCCTTTAGTTGTTAATGGACATCAACAAGAGTCTTCTCCATCGAATCATGGGCATCAGTCCTCATCAAGAAATCAAAATGAGACTGATGATAATGAAGAAAGAAGACTTAGTTCAGGGCATAAGTCAGTTGGAGGTTCGCTTAGTGGTGGCACCGATGCTGCTGTTTCTCGAGATGCTTTTGAGGGCATGATAGAGACCTTATCAAGAACTAAGGAAAGTATCGGACGTGCAACACGCCTAGCAATTGATTGTGCTAAGTATGGGATTGCTAGTGAGGTAAGATGCTTTGGTTGGTTTTCGTTATGTTTTGTCTTAAGGCTGTCAACAAACTTAGTGTGTGGCTGCACAGATAAGATCAGTTAGAGTTGCACTTTTCCAGGCTTAACTTGCATGTTTAGCTTGCTTCGTAAACTGCTTTGCGTGTAACATTGTTCTGACAATAGTTGCTTTAATTGGGAAATTTGTTTGTGTTTATATGTAGGTGGTGGAACTCCTTATACGAAAGTTGGAAAGTGAACCTCACTTCCATCGTAAAGTGGACTTGTTCTTTCTTGTTGACTCTATCACCCAGTGCTCGCACAATCAAAAAGGTGAGCTTTCCTCTTGAATAGATGCAATGCCTGTTCTCAAAATTTTAATTCCCTGAATTGCTAATAGTTTTTGCGTGGATTGCATTGAAGGAGAAAACCTCATTTGTAATTTGAAACTATTTCTACCTCATTTCTGATGCTTATCAAATCTTTTTATAGGTATTGCTGGAGCCTCATACGTTCCTACTGTGCAAGCTGCTTTGCCACGTCTTTTAGGTGCTGCTGCTCCTCCAGGGACCGATGCTCGTGATAACCGTCGTAAATGTCTGAAGGTACTTTTTCCTATTTGCTTGTTTCGAGGCTATCCTTATATTTTTGGTGGCTGGAGTAAGTGACCTCCTCGCTTTTTTAGGTTCTGAGGTTGTGGCTTGATAGGAAAATTTTCCCTGAATCCCTTCTGCGTCGTTATATTGATGATATTGGAGCTTCTGGTGATGATGCAACTGTTGGGCTTTCCCTTCGACGTCCTTCTAGATCTGAGCGTGCTGTAGATGATCCACTCAGGGAAATGGAAGGAATGCTTGTTGATGAGTATGGCAGGTATGCTAAACGGTTGTCTTACTTAGTAGTTTACTATCTGGACTTTATATATTGCTGATGACAAAAGAACAGGCAGAGTCCGGAAATATATAATACTAGAGAATTGTTTAAAATGAATTTGGTGCCATTCTGTAGTGTATATGAACTAATTTGCCATTTTTCCTGCAGCAATGCAACTATTCAGCTGCCTGGGTTTTTTTCTTGTCATTCTTTTGATGATGATGAAGAAGATGACGATCTTCCATCATCAGAAAGAGCAAAAAACACATCTGCTGGGGAACCTTTCCATGCTTTAGACGACTTGGAAATACGTGATTCGTCGGGTGATAGACGCCATCGAGTTTTGGAGGATGTAGATCGTGAACTTGAAATGGAAGATGTATCTGGTCAGGGTAAAGATGTAGCACCTTCCTCTTTCTGTGAGAATGAGACAAAGAAGCCGTCACTGGATGTGAGGGGACCAGTTGCAGAAATGTCAACTGAGGTGCCTCCTCTTCCAGAGGATTCTCCTCCGCTGCCTCACGAATCACCTCCATCTCCTCCACCTCTACCTCCTTCTCCCCCACCTCCATCCCCACCTCCTCCGCCTTCATCTCCGCCTCCATTGCTGCCACCACTACCCCCCGCAGCGCAATTCCCACCTCTTCCTCCACCTCCATCTCAGCCTCCACCACCACCGCCCCTTTCACCTCCACCTTCACCGCCACCACCACCTCCACCGCCTGCACAATCTATAGCTTTACCACCATCATTAACAAATCTACCATCCATACCTAGCCATAATCAGTTACCCCCTCAACTAGGATTTCCTCCTCCAGCATATCCACTATCACATCAAGCATACCCAGGATCTATGCAGCAAGACCGCTGTAATATTTTCACTGTAAGTTCTTTGAACTTTTTTGTCACTCAGAATTCCTACTGTTCATTTGCCTCTTCTATCAATTATGTTTAAACCCTTGGGCATCATGTGCAGGGTGATCAAATCGTCCAAGGGCCTGGAAGTTCTTTACGTGGAAGTCATGTTGAGGGTGCTGGAAAATCCGAATTCTTCGTGCAGCAGCCACCTAGTTTTTCTCCGGCAGGAGTGTGCAGCTCCAGGGAACCTCCGGCATTTACTTCCTCCAGACAACTAGAATTTGGGAACAGCGATCAACGGTTTCAGCCAAGCACCCCTTTGTCCCAAAGACCTATGGTCAGAAATCTGTCTTCAGCACCATCCAGTCATTATTCATATCCAAACCATGTTCAACCACAGTCCCAGCATTCCTACACTCATCCTTACTCTTACCCACCTCAACGTGATGATGGACGGCGATATAGAAACGAGGAACCATGGCGGATGTCTTCAAGTGGACATAGTGCTGAAAACCAGAGTGGTGCCTGGATACCTGGAAGAAATTCACATACAGGCCATCCTAGAGTCACAGACAGTATGTAGATGCTTAACTTTTAAGATTGTTTTGTACGCATTGTGATACATCTCATGGTTATGATTTTCCAGCTTGTATGTTTGTATCATGGTTTACTTCCTTGGGATTGATGGTCTAAGTTGCAAATTCACAGGTTTCTTTCGGCCACTTCCAGAACGTCCACCTTCAGGGACAATGAGCTATCAGCCTTCCGCTGCTAGTAACTTACAAGCTGTCCCGGCAATTCCAGGTGAGATTATCTCAGTCAATGCATAAGATTGTAGACTCTCAAAGACGGAGTCAGAAAGCTTGTCTGTGCCTTACCGTTTTGTATTTACCCATTTAAGGTCATGCTGCTTCCCAGATGCTACCATCTCGGCCAGAAATGCCTACCACTAATTGTTGGAGGCCAGCTTGAAGCAAAGGTGGAATTTCGTTGGCCTGCTCCTGTTAGTATCAATGGAAAATAAGCTGCTAATGTCTCGTTAACAAGGTTAATCCTCTAGGTTTGAGTTTCTAAATTCTAAAGTTAAGTCAGTGCTGTCATCAAACAGCTACAGTTATACTTTTCTCTTCCATGGAGGACTTTTTCGGATATATCCACTTCCGGAGGCATCAAAACTACTGCAGACTTTTGCCAGGATTCTGTAAATTGTATTTTTTCCTGACAAATGTATCTGGGGATCATATTCTTCACAGTATAGGTTCTTGTTTTTTAAATTGGTTAGTAATTTCTTTCCTCAGTTCCTGTAATTATGCCAATCACAATGTGCACAAAGCTTTTACTGGTTAAATGAATTTTGAACTTCATAGTCAAATACAGTTTATTAGTTTCATTTTCTGAGCTCTATAGTCTTTCAAAATTAATCTTTGCCGGTCTCTGAGAAATCACATTAAAGGATACACGGCTAAGTGTATATTTTGCTTGTGAATCAGAACTAGGTGGCAAGAATATTCAGTGCAAGCCTGAGCTTGCTCCTTTGTTAGTGTTCCCAGACTAGAGACCTATTGCTTAGTCTGTATGTTGTTATTTGAATGAGTAATGTCCTTTTAGGTTCATGTATATGGTCGCTCCTATTGTAGACCTCCCTATGACTACTTTCACCAACCCCGGAGGAGTTCCCTTCAAAACACTTAGCAAATATTTGTTCCATGTCTTTCACTTTTGGAGATAAGCCATGTCTCGTCTCGTATTTTTAGCAGGAACAAGAAGTATGCATTTCTAAAGTTGCGAGTCCAGTCAGTCCATTTTACAAGAATCTCCATATTGCTATCTTGTGCAATGCTGATCTGAAGAAGTATGCCCAAGACTTATGAGGTACTGATTTCTATTTATTTGTCTGATAATATACGTTTTCCACCGAGCCATGTGTGTGATATTGAGATAACGAGGTTTTGCTTCATTTTTGTGGTGAGCACTTACGGAAGTTTGTTTCACTATTTGACTCGAGAGCCATTTGTTTTCATTTTTATGCAAGTACATATTCGAAACCTTGGAAGATAGAAAAAAATAGGGGTCTTGAACCGTTACATAGTTTCGAATTATGTTGGCAACTTGGGCAAGGATTTAAGTTACCTGGATGTGAGCTTATGGTGTTCATGGCTTCGCTCGAAACAGCCAGCTAATCTGGTGTCAATGTTTTCAAAACAGCAGCCTTCTTATCTTGTTTTACCAAGCAATCAAACATGTGTTTGCAGCAACCTGACACGCCTGTCGTGTTCAATAGTCATGAACATGCCTGCTAATGTGGTCACGGACATGGGGGTTGCACAATAGTTTTGTAATTTTTGGTTTTGAGAAGCTATTTTCATACATATATCTTCAAAATGGTTTAGTCTTTTTCAAATGTGGGTTTGTGGCGTTGATTCTTCTTGCTTGTTCTTTGACAAATGTCTCTGGGTTTCGATCCCTATGCACTTTTTTTCAATCACTAAGACATGGTCAAGATAAACATTGAGTTTCTTCTTTAGTTTCCCATATACGCCAAGTCTATTTATTTATCTTGATTAAAAAAAAAAATCTACTTTTTTTCACGCCTTATGTGTATGTGTATGTGTATGTGTATGTGTATGTGTATGTGTATGTGTATGTGTGTATGTATTGCTTTTATTCGACGAGTGGAAACACATAACGGTATCCAGTTACGGTCTAAAGAATATGATTCAGTGCGTATTTTTCTCAGTGTAAATGATCTCTCTCGGCCCTCTCAACTACTGCTAGCTTCTTCTGTTAAGTTCATGCATGTCGGAGAACATACTTAAATTAAGTACTGGATTGAGAATCAGGGACTTAATCCCGTCTCGTGTTTCACGATGAAGTAGCAGTAGTCGTGTTTAATCTTTGGCTCTTGACAGAGTCGACTATTTTGAGGGGTTTTTAAGAAGTAGCAGTGTATGAAAATTTTCTTTTCTAAGAACATTCACCAGTCGAGTTTTCTCTTTTTTGGGTGTGGGGTTTATCAGATCAAACTGCCAAGAATGGTTAGCTTCGTGGTAATTGCATTAAGTCGCCTGTTGATTGTGTTGAATCATTAAATCCCGGGGAGGATAGTTTTCTGTGTACTCGTGTTTGTGTTGACTTCGGTTGCGAGAACATAACTTCTTAAAGGTGTTGAGTGACTTGTGTCGTGGAACAAATCTGTGTGGATTATGCAAAACTTTGAGGTAAGCAACTTTTCTTGTTCTTATACTCTTTGTCTTCTTTGGAGTGAGTGAATGAGAAAGAACTAATGGTGGACATGGATTGGTGAGTTTTGTCTCCCTGTAAGCACAAAAATGTGAAAATAGTAAGATAGGGCGAACTGTCTACTTGGAAATGTCTGTTGCAGGAGCTGAAGTTCTGAGGCTGGTTCGGGGAACTACAGGGTCTTCAGGAACCAACTAGGCTTAGATTATGATCTCCTCTTAGCAATCGCGTTTCTCAAGTTCCGAGGTTAGTTTATTCATCACTGATAATCACTATTAGGACTACCATGTTGAGACTCTTTTTAGGACAAAGAAAGTAAGTTAATAGGCTAAATCATTTAAAGATGTTAACAACAAAAAATTTGGTTTCGCTTCCATTTTAGTACAAGCAAAATATTTGCTTCTTGTCCACAATTCTATCAATTAGTAACATAGATTAACCCCCTAATTCTTAAAATATTACAACTTCATAATTCAACACCACATCTGATTCTTACCAATTGGTTAATAGATTAATTTAGAAGAAGAAAAGTGGGTTGAATACTGTATATATGTTGAAAATGTCGAGTGTTATGGAAGTCGAGTCTTTGATTAGGAAAATATTTAAGAAAAGAATACATAGGCATTAATAACAATCGTGATGGTGTGTAATGTATAGTTTTCAAACGCGTATACACATTCGCCATGTCTGTAGGAAAAAAGATACGACAGAACGACATCAACGAATAAACGTGAATCACACCAAAAAGGAATACAAGTCAATAATAAATTATCAAAAAAAATATTGAAACGCGGTCACAACGAATTGCGGCGTTGTCGTAGAAGAAATCCTTCCAAAACGACTTTCTTCTTGTAAGCCTGAGAGTTCAAATCCAAATCACCACCACCCGGAAACGACTCGCCTTGACCTTTACCTCCACCACGGCGTTTGCGTTTGGCAGCAATCGCGACTTCTCTGAGACGAGGGAGAAAGTAACACCAAGTGGACGTACAAAGGATGGCGCACAAACGTCCCCACATCAACATTATCATTAGCGTTACCATTATTATGGTTATCCCAATAACCGGGTCGACCTGAGCCACTTTTCTGACCCGAAACGATGATTTCTCCCTTAACTCTTTTGGCTTTGACCCTGATCCTGACCCGATGGTTTTAGCCGGGTCGAGTTTCCCGCCACGGACTGTAGTCGATGCCTGTTCGTGATACGTCTCGTATCCTAAGAAACACAACGCATCCGGGTTTATGTCTCTTTGTTCGTTCGTGTTCTTCTGAAAAATGGAAAAACAAAAATTCAAGAACACCAAACCTTGTTAATTTTTGGGGGGAGACAAAACGTAAAAACAATGTTTTTGCCCATATAGACAAATTTAAAATAAAAAATTGACAAAAATGTGAGAATATTAAGCAGTATAACAAAGAATGGAAACGAAAATGAATAAGTACCTCTTTAGTTTCGTGATCGTGTCCAATGGCTGCGACGAAATGCTTCCGATCAGTAACTTGACGTATCACACGAAACAGATTTTGTTTATCATCTTCAAGTTCAACGGTCGAGTTTTGTTTCTCCGTCTCGTAAATCGGCACCGGTTTGATCTCGCTGTTTTTCTTCAAATGAAATTTTGTCGCTCGCGAAAACCAACTACTTCTCATCGTCGTCTTCTTCTTCTTACTCTTCTCTTGACCGGCATGATCTACCATTGGTTTGTCTGAGTGTATCTTCCGGGAAATTACGAAACAGCGGAGAAAATAGGAAGACGAAGAGCATACTCTCTCTCGGACTTTCCTCTCGGGTTTTCCCATTGAAGTTGTTGTGAATCGAAGGATCGAGAAATGAAATATTTATGCGAAAGACTTTGAACCTAAAATATGATTTGGAACGGTTGGAATTTCTCCCATTATTTAATTTCTTAATTAAAATATGTGTTAGTGTTCGCACGCTTTCGGGAATACGATGAATAATCAGGTAATACTCGAAATATAAAAATCGTACCTTGGGTGTTGAATAGACTATTTGTCGATTGTTATGATCGTGTGCTCTTATATGTATCCGTCCATGATTTAATGATAACGTAACTCGAAGCCAAAACACTAGCTTCGACTTAAAAATCATATATTCCTAATTATTATTTAACAAAACTCGAAATCTAAATTGCAAGTATAAGTTGTACTCAAGATTCAGTTGTACTCGATAATCTTCCAACAAATCTTCATAACATTGTACTCACGGTCACGATTCAAGAACACTAATAATAGTGCAAGTAGTCATTTTCTTCATTTTAAGCGTCAGACAATCTATTCGATAGTCGATACGGAAACCTTAAGTGAGGAAGATTCAATGGAAAACGATATATTAAATTATGGGATTGTAAACTAAGTACATAGAGGATTTTGCTGGCTGGTGGCCAGCCAAAGTCTTTGGTAAGAGTTATGGTCGTGTCCACGTTTCTACTTTCTAACTCGTCAAATTATTATCTCTTGCTGTCTTTCTTTTTCTTATACCATCAAGTTTGAAAGTTTCAAACTGAATTTCCTTTGTTAAATTTGTGGACAATCTAGTGCTTGATTGAAGCAATAAACTCATTGTTTTCGTGTTATTTCTGGTTTCTTATTGTCCGGGCCGTAATCTCACTTCCATTTGATTCCACAATGGAAAAGGTTGGGTTTGAAATTTCTTAACACGACAAGCCCATAAGAAAGTTAGGTTACTGGTGATGACTTTATTTTTAGTGTAATTTAAGAGAATAACCTTATCAGAAAAAAAAAGTTGTAGTAAATATTGTTAATGTCAAAAAGTCCAAAATAATAAAAGTTGATTGTTCAATTCATACAAACAAAAAATTTTACTTTATACACTTGCAAACTGACTGTGGTAATTCATTGTACATGTAAACTACTGATGAGCTAGTGAAAAAATTGGAAATTTGGTTGTTTTCTGACAATATGGACGATTGAGATTGCAGTCAAAAGAGAAGACAAAACAGTGCAGTGTTTCCGAATTTTCACTAATTGATGATCATATAGGTATTTTAGGTTTTTCTTTCAAATTCAACTTTGGATATACTGAACCCAAAGGGATTAAAAACACACAATAGATCGAGTGACGATGTTTAAATATATATATCCAATTGATCGCAACTGCTAAATAAATAAGTGATTGGCGGTTACAACAATATCTAATGTATATTATCTTTTCATCGGAGTGCTATAGTTTTGTTATATATTTGTTGTTCTCACCACCACTATTGACGAGATTTGCTTGAATAGTTCTTCTTGTAAATCATCCAACCCGATCCGACGTTTGACCCGGCTTGTGTTTCATTTTAGTAACTCACCTTACGTGGCAGGTTTGACCCGGCCACGTCAGCGTCTCTCTCAACCGTGTTCTCCGCCGTTTCAGTTTAACAACCCCGCGAAAGAAGCTCATCCACAATGGCAAACTCCTCAGAGGTCCCGCCAAACACAACACAATCTCCGCCGTGATTTCTCCGGCGGAAGGACGAGTTTCCACGTCCGATGACACGCAGCGCGCTGCCATCCTTAGCAGACGGAGATTCGTTCCCACGAAAACGGCTGATCCTCCGCCGCAGATTTCTCCGACCTTCCCCTCGTTTATCAACGGAACCGCCCAGTCTACTATCGACGTCGGCGAGCGAGTGACGTCGATGGCTTTTCTCCCGCTAACGATCTCCAACAATACGACGCCGTAACTGTAAACATCAACCTTCGTGCTCATATTCTCCGGACAAGTGTAACACGGATCTAGGTATCCGATTGTTCCCGCCGGCGGCGGTCTCTTCTCATCGGCTAAGTGAGCGGCGAGTCCGAAATCGGCAAGCTTCGGCTCCCAGTCCCAATCGAAGAGAATGTTATCGGATTTAATGTCACGGTGGACGATGCCTTGTCCGTGAAGGAAGTGAACCGCACGAGCGATCTGAAGAGCGATCTCGATGCGTTTGAGCCACGTGGGAGGAGGAAGAGTAGTGGACACGTGTAGTAACTGGTGCAACGAACCGTTTGGCATGAGCTCGACGACCATGAGTCGTTTCTCGGCGTGGCCTAGGAAGCTCAAGACGTGTGGGCTACAAGGCAGAGACGACAAAACATTGATCTCGTTTTCTAGTTTCTTCATTTGTTCTGATTTTTCAAAAAGAAGTGAGGATGGTGACGGAGACAACGACGGCGTTTTGATCGCTACGACGCTGTGACGTTTGTCTTCTTCGTGAAGAAGGCCTTTGTAGACATAGCCATGGCTTCCTTTACCGATGAGTCGTGAAGGAGAGAAGCCATCGGTGGCAGTAACAAGCTTCTCGTAATCAAACTCCTTCATAAGTTGGAGAGAAAAAAAAAAAGGGAAGAGGTTTGTGTGTAGAAGAAACTTAAAAGAATAAAGTTGTGTAAATAATAATGTGAAAATTATTGAGAAAAGCAAAAGAAAAAAAGAATGTTACCGAGGGAAAGCAAAAGGAATAAAGGAATTACAAAGCTTTTGTTCATTGTTTTATACAGTAATGATGATCAATTGGGTCCTTTTTCATATTCCTTTCGGACATTTTTCATGCTTTTGAGACAGTTGGGTTCAAAGTTTTAGATTAAAAGCTGATTCCCCATGTTAAATAACTTAGTCAAAAGACTCAAACACACAACTTTTTGTTTTTCGTATATATTGTTGGCCTAACCCTGAGTGACACAACACCTTATCCGGTACGTTTAGCTAACCCGAGAACAGTGGAGTGTAGAGATTAACAAGTGAATACTTTAACAGAACAAAAAACATAAACAATCTAAACACTTATTGGAACTTCGTTCTGAAAATCGTTGAGGTGGTAGAAAGGCACATCACACATGCAAAAGTTGTTGTGATTTGATGTTATTTGGGATGCATGTAAACTTATGGTATCAAAACTATGAATGTTGACCCATATGTACATGAACGTTCACCGATATGTGTGGAAGCCTACCAATACGCAAATCTATCATTTTAATTTTCAAAATAAAGCAAGAGTATATTCTCATTTCAGGTTGTTTCAAGGTTAAGTTTACTAAAAGGGTTAGTTTACACCATTGGATAAAAATATCATTTACGCATGGAGAACAAAATAAATTTTCCAAGTAATAAATTTATTACTACAAACCCCACCAACCATTTTCCTAAGAACAACCTTTAATTGGTCTACATTATAAGTATATAAACCAATCAATAACCTTCCTCCCCATTTCCTCGAACATACATAACCCAAAGACTATATATACACATCATCTCATAACGGAATTGAAAAGGTAAAGATAAAAAAAAAACATAGTTGAAAAATTCAAATTACCCAAAAATAAGTAAACAATCTTCTTATGATCACCAACTTAATTAATTAATAAATGTCAAACATTAAACACTAGTTATTGATATCACCCTCATCAATAGACTTGGCATAGTATTGATCTATCTCGGTGGCACTCCTATTGATCAAATTCACCATCAAGCCATGTTTCATGTACATTGTAAGAGCCAGCTTCGGTTCCACTTTGTGACCCTCCACGACCTTCACCTTGTACCGGTAAACTATTGCAGCCGCCGCTGATTTCATCTGATAATAGGCAAAATCTTTGCCTAGACAAAGACGTGGACCGCCGTTAAAGGCCGTGAATTTATAGGCCGACTCACTCATGAACTTTCTGTCTCTTAGCCACCTCTCTGGCCTAAACTCACGACAGTCTTTCCCCCAAATAGATTCCATACGACCCATTGCGTAAATCGCGTATATAACTTTCTCTCCTTTCTTCAATATTGTCCCATCAGGAAACACATCGTCTTCTTGAACCTGAATAATAATCAACAAAAAAAAAAAAAACTCGTGATTGGTTTAACATCACATAAAATTTAATATGAATGAGTTGGTAGTTAGGTTTCATGGGGAACATCGAACCATAACATTCTTGTGTGTTACCAAGAAGTCAAACTGTTAGTCATTTATTTCTTACTTGAAGAATTTATTTTTCTAAGAGACATGTGTATTAATTAGGTGTCTTCCCAAGAATTTTCGTATTAACTTCATCTGGTTATTGATTAGGTAACCTATAAGAAACCAAACAGAACTGTTCTTTTTTTGTCATCTAATGGGTTGTTAATTTATCGTACCGATCCAATACTATACAGGGTATATACTCTCTAGTCACTATCTTCAACAGTCTCAAAAGGAACAATAATAATTAACAAGCAATTAGTTTTTTTTTCTCAATTTAATCTACTTGAAAATGTAATCAAATTCGCTTTCTTGAGAAGCAATTAATAGAAATGGTAAGAGAAACAGAGCAGAGTTGGTAAAAAGTTACCTCTTTGTGATCCACAGGAACTGAAGGATACAATCTGAGAGCTTCAGACAAAGCAGCTTGTAGATAATCCATCTTCTTGATCTCTTCTGGTCCGAACACAGGCTCATACTCTCTCCTCTCTGCATCTCCATGTTCATCTCTCTGCCTAAGAATCTGACACATCTCCACCATGATCTTCTCTTCCACCTCCGGATTCTTCTCTAGCAACCAGAAGAACCAGCTCAGAGCCACCGAAGAAGTATCTCTCCCAGCAAGTATGAAGTTAACACAGATATCACGAAGAAACTTGTCTGAAAAACTCTCTCCGTTCTCATCTCTCAGACCCATAAACACCGTCAAGAGATCCGATCTCTTTGTGGCTTCACCCTCAAGAGAAAGCTCCTTCTTCCTCGTCCTGATAACTTCATCAGCAAAATTGTCCACACCTTTTATTGATTCCTTTAGCATCTTCTCTGTTCCGAAATTGAAATACCTCATGAGCTTCCACACACAAGTAGGCATGACAAATCTCAAAACAGCAGCTTCTGTCGCGTCCTCAAAGGCTTTGGCAAAGGGTATCACAGGTTGGTCAGGACCGAGACAACCTGGATCGACTCCAAAGGCAATCATGCACACGTTATCGAACGTTAGCCTCAACAACACGTCTTGTAGATCAATAGGAGAAGAGCTCTTAACCGAAGTTTCAAGAACCGGTAAGAGCCTCTTGTGGACGAGCTCGTACAACGAGTGAGTGGTTAGTTGCCTGAACTTAGCTGAATGAAACTCGATGCTCGCGGTTTTCCTCTGCCTCTGCCAAGTCTCGTCATCGGCGTTGAAGATTCCGTCTCCAAGGAGGTCTCGGAGGTTCTCTCGGAAGTAAGAACCTTTAGGGAAGACAGAGAAACGGTTCTTGAGGAGATGCTCAACGTTTCTTGGGTCGCAAGTGATAGTGCTGTGTAGGCTGCTTAACCAAGGGCCTCTGAAACGGAAAGTCCCGTTCTGAAGAGTGAGAACATCGGAGAGCCACTCGTAGATGTTTCCTCTGAGGCCAAAAGCTAGAGAAGGAAGCATCCCGAGGAACGGCCACACGGGGAGGCCATAGTGTTTCTTCTGACGCAAGGAATGTATTGCGACAAACGCGAAAAGGGCAATGAAGAGCTCAACAACTTGAACATCTCTTAATATAAACAGCCTCCGTGAAACGAGAGGCTCACGGAAGGAAGAAGAAGAGAAGAAAACGTCACTGAAGGTGAGATTGTAAGAAGAGTTGGAATTCATTGTGACAAAAGAGAAAAGCTAGAGAATGTGAATATCGGAAATGAAGAAAGGAGAGAGGAATTAATAACAATGGAGGTCGTTAGTTAGCTAGTGGGTGAAGAATATTGCATGAATTTCTTGTGGGTGATAAAAAAAACTTTGGCTCTCAGGAGAAATATGGGTTTGATTTGGTGAGCAGACAAATGTTGTGTCTTTATGTTTCCTGTGTGGCTCTTGATTCTCGTGTGTGTTTATGACTTGGTTTCTTACACTATAAGTAGGGTCTCTGTTTTTGAGAACTTCAAAGGTCGAATCTTTTTGGCGGTTTAAATAGGAAAGTAGGGTTTTAGATGGTGTTATTGACCAAAAATGTGAACTTAGTTTTGGCAAAGGATCAGATGAGAGTTGGTTGGCGATGGGTAACCTAAGTTAATACTATTAATCTCCATTTTATATTTCGCTTTTTGATTCCGTCTACGTATACTTTTTTCCTTTTTTTAATGAATTTTATATTCCCAGTAAACCAAATTAAATGGTTGTTGCATCATCTATAGAAAATGATATTCGTCATATGTAGTTCATTTTTCTGCATACCGTTCATATGGTCCCATTAGAACTGTTGTATTTAAAATAATTATTTTTGACACAAAAATGGGGTAAAAAGATAGAAAGGCCCATAAAAGGACTGTGTTCGGCCCATTACGAAGAAGTAGGCCCAGACTTGGTGATGCAGCCATGGAGGTTTTTGATCTACCTTCATCAATGGAGGTTTTTGATCTAAGCTCTTGCGATTCCTGATGTTCTTCAGCTCTTTCTAGCGACCCTCATAACAAACGAGGTTGGAGAATCGTTTGGTTAATAACAACAGAAAAATGGCGGCTCTTTTCAACAAGTTCCAGCAGGTTAATGAATCTCTTGCTTCTGCGTTTGATCCTCTCGAACTTTCTGAACAAATTTTCGATTTTTAATACTGGGTACGGAGAAAGTTTGATCCTTTGCTCAGATTTAGTCGTTCGATTTGAACCAGTTTGTTTGAAGTGTCCCTCCTAATGCTATTTGCAGTCTGTGGCATTTGAAGAAATATGCTAGAATAGATGAAATTAGATTGAACAAGAATCTTAAAGTTTCATTTTTTGTTCATAAGTGTCTTATTAAGTTTCTCATTTGATCAATTTAATCGCGCTGCAAAATTCATGCGATCATTTGAGATCTTATGGATTTGCAGGGTTTAAGCAAAGAATTTAGGCAGTGCTGATTGAGATTTTGACTTTTCTTGTTCCTTTCTCTCCACTGCTCGTCTAATTTTGTTTCATTACTTTGCGTTTTCCCAGGCTGTTGGAGTTCTTGCCAAGAGTACCACATTTGCTAAGAACCCAAGGCAACTGCAATTTGAAGCTGACATCAACAAACTGTTTATGTATACAAGGTTGGTTATTATTATCAATAGTCCTTACTAGCTCTAGCTTTTACTTGTAAGTCATCAATTCTTGTCACTACATGCACATTTTCTCACTAGTGGACACCAATTGTATGTAGTTATAATCGGTTGGGGAGAGAAGCTGTGGAGACGGATGCAGAAGAGATCATTGAGATGGCTGGTAAAGCCACTTTATCCGAGCAGCAGAAGCAGGTCCAAGAGAACATTCATCACCAAGTTGAAAACTTCTGCTCTTTCATGGATAAGATCCTTCTTCCTGAAGTTAGCAAGAACGAGTCCTCATCACAATCGACAAACCCTCCTCCTCCTCGTCAAAGCGGTCTCACTTTCGCCGTTGGTGGGAACAATGCTTTTCCAGCTGCAGATAAGCCCCGTAAGTGTTTCTACTTTACAAATTGAGTCAATAAGTGAACGTTATGATAACTTGCTTTCTTCTTCAGCACAGTTGTTCCAGAGACAAAGCCTTTGACACTCGCTGAGGTCTCACAGAGGCTAATGGATCAAATCGGCTATACACTTGAGATCAAACCGTCTGTGATACCACACAAAGACGCTGGTCAAGGTTGTTTCATTAAAGGTGAAGCAGATGTTGGAACCGTCTTAGCGTTTTACCCTGGAGTTATCTACTCCCCTGCGTTCTACAGGTACATTCCTGGTTACCCTAAGGTTGATGCACAGAACTCGTATCTCATCACGAGGTACGATGGGACTGTGATAAACGCTCAGCCTTGGGGTGTCGGAGGAGAATCTAGGGAAGTGTGGACTGGCTCCTACAACACACCTTCTTCGGTCAAAAGAGAAGACAGCTTAACCGGGTCAGACAGGTTATGGAAAGCGTTGAGCAAGCCGCTCCAAGGTTCTGGTAAAGCGAAAGAGGTTCTTGAGAGGAGAAATCCGTTGGCTTTTGGTCACTTGGCTAATCACCCGCCGAAAGAGATGGCTCCGAACGTTATGATATGTCCCTATGACTTCCCCTTGGTGGAGAGAGATTTGAGGACTTACATTCCGAATGTGTCATTTGGGGATTCTGGAGAAGTGAAGATGAAGAGATTTGGAAGCTTTTGGTTTAAGACAGGGGGTAGCAACGGTTTGGATGCTCCGGTTATGAAGACAATGGTTTTGGTGGCGACGAGGGCCTTGTGTGATGAGGAGCTGCTGCTGAATTACAGGCTGAGCAACTCTAAGAGACGACCGGATTGGTATACTCCGGTTAACGAAGAGGAGGATCGGAGAAGGTGGAGCTAAACTTGTCGTAGCTAGGCTTGATTATGTTTTTCTTTAAAACTTTGACATGCTCTGTTTTTCTTGGACTAGCAATGCGGCGTTTTGGCTGAGTATTTGGATTTTGTATTATTTCTTGGAAGACTTCCCTTGTATCTTTTCTTTGTTTTCTGTTGTTACTTGTGTCACAATCAAAAAAAATATATGATTTTATAATGAAGATTGTTGTTTCAGAATCCATTGCACAAATATACAAATGTTATGTAACATGTATAGATGACCTGTATGTAACCTTTGTTTTAGCTTGTACTTTTAAATAATAACTTTTTTACGCTCTGTGATAAGAGGCAACTGTTTCTTATACATCTACATACTCGCCAATAATGATCAAAATGTATACGTACATATTAAGATTTTTTAGATTTTTGTCTCAGCCAAAACTTCAAAGGGCAAAAAGACTTGACTAATCTTCATACATAACAGCAAAAAAATTCAGAAAACGAAAATAAAAATCACTCGCGTCCTCTTCATCTTCAGCTCTACCAACTGGCCTCACTAGGTACTCTGTTCCAAGATCCTCCTGCACAATTCCATACAAAGCAAACTTAAAGACCTTCTCAGTGTCATGCTTAAACAACAGAGTCAAAAGAGAAAAACTCTTTACAGAAACCCTTTAAGATAAGGACCACAGAGGCATAGACTTTGGTAAAAGAACATGAAAAATCAAAAAAACGAATCAGAGAAAGAAATTGAATTCAACCTCAGACAAACACTGTTTCAGAAAGTTTTACTCAAAGGAAAAAACAGAAACTTACAAAAACGCCAACTTTTTATTTAGGGGAAGAAAGTATAACCCTAGTTTGGGGTTGAAAACAGGACAATTTCTAGTATATATAAAGCAGAAAAGGACCAAAAATCAGAAGAGAGAGATGATTACATACCAGCTTCCCGCTTTGTCACTGGTCGCTGAAATAGGAAGCCACCTCTTCCACGTCGGCGAGACTCTTTACCTCGTCGGGAATCGGCGAACAAACGTGGACATGGTCTTGAGGGAGAGCTTGGAGTAATATAGCATCTTCATACCACTTTTCTTCTTCGAGAGACTCGGGAACCAGGGCGAAGCACAGCTTATTATCTTCGTTTCTCAAGCGGAAGCACCACAACGGATACTTGTCGCCGACCTTGTACAGCTTGGAGGCGATAACTTGTTTCCAGCCGATTGTCAAAACTAATCCATTAACCCATTTCCTCAGCTCAAGATTGAACCTTTGTGAGTTTATTCCAATAAAGGCAGCCCCAACGCCTACTACCGGATGTGAATCGAGAATCGCCAATTCAACACCATTCAGAAAACTTTTAGTTAAAACCTGAGAAGGAGGCAAAAAGAGTCTTCCTTGAGATGGAGCAAGATCGGTTTCCTTCAATACTTTATCTTTGACGATCAGAACTGGTTCAACACCATGAAGCTCCGCCATTTTCTTCAAAAGCCAAAGTGGGATTGGATCCTTTGGGAAACGTGAGCCCCAAGTAACATTTTTTAGCGGTTGTGGACGAGCAGTTCTCTGTTTTCTTGGTATCCCAGCCGGAAAGATTACTCTCTCCATGTTCGTCGTACGATTCCTCGAAGAAACCCAAGAAGAAGAGAGAGAGATGAAGAGGAAGAGAGAGAATAAGCAACAGAAGAGAAGCGATTGAGTCTTTAAAAAAAGAGAGAGGGAAATCAGTAAATAAAAAAGCAATTAATGCTTCGTAGTTCCTCTACGCTGCAAAACGGGCCATAACAAACGAAGATCGTTCGCTCGGAATCGAACGCGGGTCTTGGCGCGATCGCTCTTTCTGTTCAATTTTGGTATCAGAAGTTGAGAAGCAGCCAATGGAGCTTCTGGGTCGAGTATATATCCGGAAGAAAAGGCTAAAGTTGGAAGCTTTGGAATAAATGTGCTTCCTTTTTGTTGTTCCCCTGTTTTAGAAACGAAATTGAGGGTTTTCGCATTTTGTAGGATAGGTTTGTGGAGATGGCACATGATTAGTACTTTGTCTAGAGATTTTGGTTTGGAAATGTTTGATCTTTACTGTTATGCAAAGGTTTCGGATTTTGGTTGATCGATTTCAAAGAGCTCCAATGTGTACAGTTTCAGAGGCTTGTGTTAAAGTTTCTGCAAACAGAAACTAGCACCACTGTGACTTGAGTCAACACACAAGAGGTACATTATGATAGAGTGTTGATAGTGAGATCTAAGAGGAGAGATACTGAATAGTACTTGTATTGATGAATTTGCGATTACAAGAGAAGAGGATCTCGATCACACTCGATCTTATCTAAGAGTCTCAGCTGACTCTCTAAACTAAAAGCTTCTTTCACTTGTAAATGCTTAAAAGAGAATAATGAAGAGACTAATCGCTATTTAACTATCCGTTAATTGGCTGTTATAACCGTAACCTTCCGTTTCAACTAGAAGATTGACTTGGTTGACTAACAACTTCCTCCTCTCCAGTCAACGGGCCACGTGTCTCTCTTCTTCTCTTGCGATAATAGGTATTGTGTATCTTATCACATTATCACGGAGCCAGTGCCATAATGTTATGTATCAATTCAGTTCTATTGTTTTAATTTTGGAAATCTGCCTCAAAACTGGTTAAAATGACAACTTCTGGATCGAACATATCTATGGGGATTGTGGAGATTCCTGTGTTTGCAGGTGTGGAGTTAAGGTGATGGATGGAGAAGTATTTTGTACAAGCGGGTTTCTTTACAGAAATTGGCGATGGCTCTCATGGATTTCTTGATGGAGAAGCAGAATCGTACATGAACACGAGACAGTCGCTATTGCCTATCCAATATTGGCAAGGATTTTAGGAATGGGACCGAGCCGAGGATCTTATCAGGGAGTTGTGTGGATTTCCATGGCTTTGAGCAGAGTTTTCAGGTCTTCAACACGGTTATATACTCGTGGGAACGTGCGATTAGGCTCAAGATGGTTTCAGATGATGTTGGAGTTTGGTGCTGGACCAAATGTGGCTACAATAGGTATGTATGCTCATGAGTCTTTATCAGAAGAATTGGAACGCTGATGAAGCGGAGTTCGGGTGGATTGTGTGTGAATCTGCTTACTCTGCGATGATAACGATTTACACGCGTTTGAGGTTATATGGTAAAGCAGAGGAAGTGATGAAAGAAGATAGAGTGAAGCTGAGACTAGAGAATTGGTTAGTGATGCTTAATGCTCTTATAGTCAGCAAGGGAAGATGGATCAAGTTGGCCTTTTCATAACTACAACGAAGCAGAGAGAGTGCTTCACTTCCCGGAGATTCACGTTTAAAAACAGTTCAGAGCCACGAGAACTCTCGTAAACAAGAAGCTATGTCTTGAGGGCTTAAGGGAAACTGATGCTGCTCAAGTCGATTTGACCCAGGTAGGTGGAAAGATTTGGTGGTTATTTGGAATTATTTCTGTTACTAATTTAGGAAAGAAGATTTTCTGTCACTTCTTTCATTCAAGTCAGACATAAGATCAAGTTAATAACACTGAGAGTTTTGTCTTGTCAAAAGAAACAGTTATTTCATTCTTGTGATTCAAAATGTGTCTTTCCCTCCAAGTTACTCTATATTTACAAGCCTGTATTTAGTATTGTCAGTTACTAAATCAAACTAGATTTCACTTAGACAAATCTCAACAGATAGAGAACAGAATGAGAATATTTCATAGTTATTCATTGGATAATGATTGGTTATTAATTTTTTTGGAAATTTCTCCCTTTTTAAGTTTAGTATATAGATAAACTTAAATAAAGTTACTTTATATTGCTTTATATCAGTAAATAAATCCTTTAAAAGCGTTCGAGGCGTATCCGAAACTAGCTAGGGTTTTTAACGCAAGTGTCTCCGCCATGAAACTACGGCGGGCCAGCGTCTCGGAGGATCCCCAAACACGAAATAGTGCTGACGACCACACATTCCCGATCCCAATCGAACTCATTATCGAGATATTCTCGAGGTTGCAGCTGAAGTGTATAGCGAGATGTCGTTGCGTATCGAAGCTGTGGGCCTGTGTACTTGGCCGTCTAGATTTCACGGAGCTATTCTTCACCAGATCTTCGGCCCGGCCTCGGCTCTTGTTCACCTGCAAAAAGTTTGCCGGCGCAAAACATGATGACCCTGTGCTCTTCTTTTCCTCACCTCAGCCTGATGATAACCAGTTTTCTTTAGCCGCCAACTATCATATGGATTTCAAATTCTCTGACCAAGCCAGTTGTATACTTAGTCCTGTCAGTGGCTTTTTCTGTATTCAAGATAATCGGTTCCTAAAGTTCCGGAAAACCCGAGAGCCGGTGTCGGTGATATGTAACCCTAGCACCGGACAATCTTTTACTCTACCCAAAATGAAGACAAGGATGAGGACTTGTATGAGAAGCTATTTAGGGTATGATCCGATAGAGAAACATCACAAGGTGTTGACAATGACCTATACACCTGAAAGAGGAGCTGGAGAGCATCAGGTTATGACATTAGGAACCGGGAAACTGACATGGAGAATGGCCGAATGTGGCATACCCCATTATTCTCCGGGGCCAATTTGTATATGCATCAATGGTCTTTTGTATTACATAGCTCAGGCCGATAGGTCTTCCAAGGATCATTTGATAGTTTGCTTTGATGTTAGGTCTGAGAAGTACAGCTTTATTAAAGCCGTGGAAAGAGTAATGTATTTTCTACCAACTCTGGTAAATTACAACGGTAAGTTGTGTTCGTTAACGCTGCAAAGGTCGACCAACCGTATGATTACTAGAGTTACTAGAACTTTTGAGATGTGGGTTTTAGAAGACGCCGAAAAACATGAATGGTCGCAGCATATTTACAAATTACCTCCTTTGTGGAAGAACGTAGTGGAAGATAACTTCTTACACTTTGTTGGTTTGACTGGTACAAACGAAATTGTTTTGTCGTCGAACTATTCATCCGACGCTTTCTATCTCTACTACTACAACTTCGAGGTGGAAACTATACGAAGAGTTGGAATCCAAGGTTTAGGAAGTGGCTATGGTATCGACACCTTTTTGAACCATGTAGATGACGTGAAGCTTATGAAATTGCTTTAGTACTTTACAACGGAGCTATATAGTCTGCAGGATGGTTTTTAAGTATCTCAATAAGAGCTCTCTATCTTTCCATTGGTTTTGTCTTGTTATAACTTTTTTTTTTTTTTTGTTCGCTTAAGTGGATAACTATTTTTCTGTTGTCTATGATGGATGGTATTCATCTTTTCTAGATACGGCTATCCTTTTGGTTTATGCACTATATATGGTGCAATGGTTGTTCTAAAATATGTGTCTTGAAACTCTTCTCTACTTGTCATACCATATATGTAATTAGGTACGTGATCCACTAATTTCCCTTCCGACCATTGCCACTGAAACTTGAACGTTTTTTATTTAGTAATTGATATATTATGTAAGTTTTCTCTATATATATACAAAGACTGAAAAAGCCAGGTAGGTACAGGTAACAGAGCAATACATCAATACCATCTTCATACAGTTGATTCTAGCTTTGTAGCCAGATAGGAGGAGGGATCATGACGATCTTCTGTTACGACTCTTCATCTTCTGTATCATACAACCCTTGCACTAAATTAACCTTGAGACTGTGAGACCAAAATGAGAATGTTCATGGTATATTTGTACTCTCATGCATGTCATTATGTCTAAAGGTTGAATTGAAAATTTTACTTTTTCCCAACTAAAAAAAAAAGAATTGATTTTTATCATTTAATAAAACAGTTTATGTTGTCTGTGTCTTGCAAGTTTGGTCTTGACATAAATGTAAATTACAAAAACATAAATGCCTCGTGATTTCTTAATGTATATACAGGTATGATATGAGTAGATGTACATACTAACAATGACATACACCTCATGACGTATTATCACAGAAACTGAATCTCGATTACGCAATCAGAGTCGTAACATTCTGTTTTGTAATATCTACTTACACATACATCACAATTCACACAATTGTTATATAATTATAAATACTTTATAGATCGGTCGTTGCTAATTTTAAGGGGGAAGAACATGAGTGAGGGAAAGAGAAGTAAACAGTGATTGGTCAAATCTCTCTTAACGAAATAATCTTATGAACCGTCACTTTCTTCGCTCTCGTCTGCTTTTTATTTGGATCCTTCTATTCCAATCCATTGACCAATCACTTCATTATCTCTAATTCTCTATCATTTTTTACATTATCTTTTTGGTTTATATGAAATTATGTATCGTATTATTCCATACAATAACGACATTGCAGACATCGCACAAGTTGCGTCTGAACTCTGAACGTATTATCTAGTATAACAAAAAAGAAAACAAATTGCCCATAAAAAGGGAAACTCAAATTCATACCAACCTTTCTACTTTTATAATATAAGTTTGCTGTTATTATTATTACAGTAGAAACTCTATAAATTAATAATCGATAAATTAATAACTCAAAATATTAATAAAAATTTCCGGTTCCAAATTAAGTTTTTGTTCCAAATAATCTTACGATAAATTAATAACTCGATAAATTTATAAAATATTATGGTCTCAGCATTATTAATTTATAGAGTTTCTTCTGTACTTATAAGAAAGAAATAAAAATATCTTGCTTTTTCATATTTTGATTTCTTCATGTGTCCGTATGTTATGAAAAATGGTTAAAACACATGAATAACCATAAAATTCCAAATGGAAACGATATAAAGACAGAGCACAAGTTGCGTGTGTAGATATTTTTCCTAGTGTATACAAAAAGAGAAATGCCTGTAAAATAAAAATGGGGAAACTCAATCTATAACAAACCTTTCTATTTTTATAAAACAGAAAGTGCAGTTTTTATTATTCATTTAAAAGAAATAAATAATTTCGTTTTTACTTTCCAGATTTTGATTTTCTCATGTGTCTTATCTTATGAAGATGGTTACCACCCAGTGAGTCTACAGAGTGTTCTTATCTGTCTTTGAAACCATTCTCTTTCTCTCTCTCACTCACACACCACATTATATAAGCTTACACAGTCGCTTCACAATTTCCACTACAAATTTAAATTCGGTTGTGTAAGAATTGAGGATTCGATTATAATCAATGGATAAAAATATGAGAACTTCTCATCATGTTGCGTTCTCTGTTTTTGTCCTATTTCTTGTGTCCTCTCTTCTTGGCACATCATCAGCAAAGAAGCTGTGCAGCGATGGCGATAGTGGTTGTTTCCGGTCTAGGGTTTTGGCCGCGCAACGAGCTGATCTAGTGACGGAGCTTCCGGGACAGCCGCCGGTGAAATTCCGGCAATACGCTGGTTACGTGACGGTGAATGAGACACATGGAAGAGCATTATTCTATTGGTTCTTTGAAGCCACTCATAATCCAAGCAAAAAGCCTCTCCTTCTTTGGCTCAACGGAGGTAAAACTAACTTACATCCACTTTTTTTGTTTTTGTTGTACGTCTCACGGTTATTCGTAACTACCTAGCGTAAAAACTCAAGGTGAAAACGGATAGTTTTTTAATTACTAAAAACCTCCGAAAAAGATTAGTAAACCCTCCTAAGATAACTCCAAGATGTAATATTGGTTGAATACTTGAATTAAATATAAGAGTTGTTTGAGCCAAAAAAAAAAATCCTCCTAAGATAACTTTGATTGTGTGGATCATGCTTCCTGTGCATTTCATCTACACTTGTTTTTGATTTGGTAATGAATATGTGATGAACCCTCCTTTTTTTTAAACCCCCAAAATATGAAGAATTAGCTCGATCTCTGATTTTTTGGATGATCGGAATACATATACATGCGTATTATATGTGTATATGTAGTTGTGAACTATATGATTTAATTAACTAAATATAATGTGAATTAAAATATGATAATACTGAGATTAGGAAGGTATGTAGTGCTTTGTATGCATGAAGACAAAAGCTAACTGAGAGAGAATATTAGGTGAAGCTTCCTAATATATAGTTAGATGTGTCTCGTTAGGCACGATGTCAAACTCAGTGAAACATATGTGGTTAATTACCATCATCATCATCTCCACTATCATGATGAGTTTTGGTTGTGTTGGTTACTTAAACTTATATTTTTGGAAGTTTGCAATGATTCCACATGCTCGTAGCTGTTACATGATCCTATAAATGCTCTTTATTATCTTTTAGACGATCAGTTGCTATACATTCCAAATAAAAAATTGGTAAAAGATATACATATGTATGAATAAAACAATTTCCCTTTATAGTTAAAGAATCAAAAATGAATTTTACTCTTAAGCATTTTATATTTTTCATTTTGCCTCTACATGTTATTTAACATCCATCCCTACATCAGTATCCACATATTTCAACGTTTTATACATTATTTTAAGTCTTTTTTGTTTAGCAGACCATTCGTATACATTTTTTTTTGTGAAATTATGTAAGGCAAGTATTCACTTACATATGTGAAATTCAAAGATATATTAATTGGATTTATATGCATGTGATGGACATAAAACTTATGTCGACGTTATATATATGTCTACCTCCATACATTTAGGCTTTTATAGGCTCCCGTGGGCTCATGCTCCTTACTTTAATATTAAGGCACAGTAATTATTGACACAAAAGCTTTGCATCTATAATAAATGTCAATTCCATGAAAACGTAAACGGTCCTTCGGTCCATTTCATTATTATTCCAAACACTACACATGGTCCATGCACGTATGCACGCCCTAAAAGTTTATCAACTTTGTTTTTATTTGTGTGTTTTCTGATAAAAGCAATTTTCTCATTATACGAAACAAACCCCTTAAATTAAAGGGACCCGATGCAATAATAATGAATAGGAAGTAACATTTAAAGAGTAGGCCTAAGTTTTGGTAGTTCAAAGTAATATAGAGTAAAATATGATTAAATTAGTAAAAATGTAATCAGGACCGGGATGTTCATCGGTCGGATTTGGAGCATCTGAAGAACTCGGACCCTTTTTTCCTCAAAACTCGACTCAGCCTGATCTCAAGCTAAATCCATACAGCTGGAACAAAGGTATGTTTAATAATATCCTTAACTTTCTCAACGTATGTATATTCAAACCTATTTTTTCATCATAAATTATAGTTGGACTAACAATTTTGAAATCTAATATGTAGCGGCGAATTTGTTATTCTTGGAATCGCCGGTTGGAGTTGGATTCTCCTACTCTAACACAAGCCGTGATATTAGCCAACTTGGCGACACCGTCACAGGTTCATATTACTGTATACATATTAATTTATTATTGATGAATTGTTAATTTGTTTTGTAAGTAAATTAATCAAGACTGTGTACAATATACCAGCGAAAGACTCGTACTCCTTCCTCGTCAACTGGTTCAAGAGATTCCCTCAGTACAAATCTCACGACTTTTACATCGCCGGAGAAAGTTACGCCGGTAAATATTATAACTGAAGGAAAAAAAATCATTTTGATTCCCTCGGTATGACGACGTCACTTCTACAAGTGATTAATGTATGTTTGCATGGAATTAATTAATTAGGCCATTACGTTCCTCAACTTTCGGAGGTCATCTACAATCAAAACAAGATTGCCCCCAAGAAAGATTTCATTAACCTTAAGGGTCTAATGGTCAGTTTATTTTTTTATAAAATCAATCAGTTCCTACTCGTTGCAATCTATTAATCATGTCATGACGGATGTGACTTGTATATACAGATAGGAAATGCATTGATGGACGACGAAACGGATCAAAAGGGGATGATAGATTACGCGTACGACCACGCCGTGATATCAGACGGATTGTACAAGAGAGTGAATGAACACTGCGATTTCAAACTAGAACATGTGTCCAAAGAATGCAATAAAGCTTTAGATGAGTACTTTGACGTATACAAGATCCTTGACATGTATAGTCTCTACTCTCCAAGGTGTGTCCCTACCACCAAAAATAACTCATCCATTTCTCATTCCGTCGCCGGAAACCGCCGCCTTCCCGCTGTCCGAGGCGTCTATCGTCCCCGTCTCTTCTCCAACAATGTAAACATTTCATTTTTTTCACTTCTACGTATTTTTTTTTTAAATTTTGTAACCGATTTGACTAGACCGGTTACAGGAGGGATGGCGGAAAATGGGAGCCGGGTACGATCCATGTGCATCGGACTATACAGAAACATATTTGAACAGAAGAGACGTTCAAGAGGCACTTCATGCAAATGTCACCAACATCTCTTACCCTTGGACTCATTGCAGGTATCATCATGACTTTGTATTCGGATTTTAAACAAAATATGTTTCATTTTTAATGAATTTTCAAAATATCGAGGATATATTTTAAACTAATGCATGGTTTAAATATATGGTGCAGTGATCGTATCTCGTTTTGGAGTGACGCTCCTGCTTCCGTGCTTCCTACCTTAAGAACACTTGTTTCAGCCGGATTACGCATTTGGGTTTTCAGGTATAACGCAAATTAAAATACTCGTTTATACATTTTTTTCTTTATGTATGGAAATTTAGCAATAATCGGATATTCAATTTTCTTGTGAAAAAAGTGGGGACACAGACGGTAGAATCCCGGTGACAGCAACTAGATACACATTAAAGAAGCTTGGTCTTAAGACAGTCCAAGACTGGACACCTTGGTACACCAAACAACAGGTTTGGTTCAAATTAAGTTATATAGAATCTTACTTTTCTTACAAGTAAAGTGTGTGATTGACTCTTTTATTTTTAACCTACCGTTTACAAAGGTCGGTGGGTGGACGGTGGAGTACGACGGACTAACGTTTGTGACGGTGAGAGGAGCCGGACACCAAGTTCCAACATTCAAACCTAGAGAGGCTCTTCAGCTTGTTAACCATTTCCTAGCTGATAAGAAACTTCCTACTTTGCCTTTTTGATCCTTTCTTTACCACAGATTTGATCATCTCTTATATAATTCTTAAGAAAATTAATAAACTGATTTGACCAGATACAGTCCATTAAAAACTGAATATATTACTTGTTCTTTCGTGTTACCACGACCTCAAAATTTAACTCTCATCTTTTGGATGATTCTTGCACAAAAAGCAAGAAGTATTTCACAAGTTTATTCGATGCTCGTTATGGCTACATTGACTTCACTACAACATCATCGGTAATACACACACATATGTATAAAGATGTTACACATAAAAGAAATTAAACTATAGCTTATCTAACAGACGGGAGGAGTTTTGTTTGTTAATTACAAGATAAGTCCTCTACGTAGTCTATCGCAATCGACGAGATAAGCGAAGCCATACGCGAGATTCATGATCGTTGCATCGTGAAGCTCCTGATTAACCGTCGCAGTCGCGTCCGTCGAGAAGAAAACCCTGAAACCTCTAACGAACGCCTCACGCGCCGTCGTCTCGCAGCAGAGGTTCGTCATCACTCCAATCACGATCACCTCCTCCACGCCGATCTCCACCAGCTTCTCCTGGAGTCCCGTGTTACGAAACGCGCTGTACGTGCTCTTCTCCACGACCTCCTCTCGTGTAATCACCTGTTTACCGATCTCCGGAATAATCTCGGAGTCGTTGGTTCCGTCGAGGATCAGATCGCCGCTCCACCACTCGCCGAGCATGCCAGTGTCAGTAGGGGATTTGTGTACGTGGCGCGTGAAGAAGACGGGGATGGAGGCGCGTCGGCAGAGATCGATGGTGGTTAGAGCGTTGTGGAGGATTGGCTTGGCCGTGGAGGAGAAGTAATTCTGCATATCGATCACGAGAAGAGCTGCGGTTTTGGGATTCGGATCTCGCTTTCGGGTTTCGTACTTTCTCGACGAGGAAGCCATTTTTGGCGGTTAAGAGTGAAGAAGCAACTTGATCGGTGGAGATGGGAACGAAACAGAGCTTGGACTAGTCGTTATTGGGCCACATGAATTATAAAATGGGCCTAGTCCAAACATCACTCTTTCTATCACTGATACTTAACAAGTGTTCTGTGACTGAAAATACTTTTTTTTTTTTTTTTTTTGGGTTTTCAAGCATAATGTTAATGCTTCTTCAGGCATAATTCAATAAGCGTTTGTGTGTTGTATATAGTAGTGTATATTTATCATTACATATGTAAATTTAAAGGGATATGCTGTACATATATATACAAATCTATCAAGCCTATGCTTCTTTATCTTCTTGTTGCTTGGATTGGATAGCTTCCACAAGTTGGACTAGCATTGCTCCAATGAAGTACCATGTAACACCGGCTAACAAAAGCTGCTGCCATGGGCTGTTAACTATGGTTAGAGCTAGCGAGCCACCGATATGGTCTTTGAGCTCAGTGGCACTGTAGCTAGCTTGGAACTGAACCAGGAACACTGCTACTATTGCTGTTCCAATTGGGAATTTATGTATCCGGAACTTCTGCTGTCTTCTATATTCTCTTCTACTAGTAGTAGAATTCTCTTGTAATGGAGACTTCTTCTTATAAGTCTTTTGAGGGATCGAGCTAACCTTGGAACTGCTGTTTCCGGAGGAGGGAAGGGCTGGGTTTGATGGAGTCCAGTAATCTTCTCTAACCACGGAAGCTGTTCCTTTTCCTTTACTTTTCCCGCTCTGTTCTGCTTCTTTCATTGCTTTCACAGCATCTTGAAGCTTTTTGATATCAGGGTCAACCGATTTCTTCCGTGGTCTTATAGTCAGACTCATGTTTGAATCTGGACTCAATGGTCTTGTGTACGGTGATGATCTCCAATATAGCCAGTTGGAGATGGTCCGAATTGCCTCCACTGCACTTAATCTTACTTCCCTCTGCAAATCTGTCTCCTACTCAAAACATACCAACACAACTACTTAATATCAGTCAAAGTTTATAACTAAAAGTTTAGGACAATGGAGATACTTACTTGAGAGTTCTCTCTTGTGGTTTTGCTCATGGCTTCTGCGTATCTTTCCTGAAACTTCTTGACTTCAACAAACACGTTGGAGACACGCTCGCCGACTGTGTTTCCAACGCCGATCCTCACTTTGCCACGTGGTTGTTTTGACATGAGGAACTCCAATGGCGCTAGGTCAGATCTCTCCACCATTCTGTTCATCTCATAAAAGAATCAATTTCAATACTTGTGCATGAAGTTATCGAAATTAAACCATGATATGTGCTTACGCAATGCAGTCTACTGGGCAAGCTTCGATGGCTTCTTGGATTTTGGATTCAGGATCAGCCCATTGAGCTACAGCTCTCGCTCTTCCGTGAGCTGTTTCGATAGCAAATGTTCTCTCTGCAATTAAAGCACACTTCAAGCAACCAACGCACTTGACCTCGTCTACAAACACAGCTCGTTGCTCTGTTTCTGGTCCGCACCAAACCGAGTAGATAGGTTTCCCTGTGTAGCCTCTAAGCTCTTCCAATTTCGCTTGCTCCTGCAACAAGTGATCGTATTTATTTACTGTGGTCTTGACTCTTGACAGAGACTACAAGAATCAAAGAAGCAGTGAGAAATTTAACCTTATCATAAGCTTGGCGCGAGATCGGATCAGATAGAAGCTTGTAAGCTTCGTTAAGGATGATGGCCATGTCGTGGCCGGGATCTCCTGCGATGTCGGGATGACAACGTTTCTGAAGTGCACGATAGGCTGCTTTGATCTGAGATTTATCGGAGCTCCGGTCAACACCTAAGAGGTCGTAAAGATCGAAGTCTGTGATAGACGATGATGAAGAAGTGGCTCTACATTTGAGCTTGAGTGGTGATCTAATGGTGGTAAGCTTTTGAGATGTGGTACATAGCCATGCAGTAGTCGACGGAGGAAGAGTCGTCGGAGTGAGAATTGTCGGCGACATTATTTTTTCTTCTTCCTCTCTGTTCCGGACGGTGGATGGAAGTTGAAAATGTCTATGGTTAGCTATTTTTCCGTCTCTCTCCTCGGTAGATATTTAATTTGGGACGGAAAGAGAAAGTTCCAAAATTTGTTTCGTTAAAATCAAGAATATTGAATTTTGAGTAAAAGCATTGAAAAAAAATTGAATAAAAGCGGACAAAAATAAGTTGTTTGGTGGCAATAAAAAGAGTTGGAACTTTTTGTGATGTTATCCATTCGTACGAATGAAAGTTTATGGTTGAGGATCATGGCGTAAAAATATCAAAATGAATTATTGAAATATTATTGTTTTAATTGTGGGAAAATTGTGGACTCTTCATGGCTATATATGTGAGGATTACGTGTTTAGGACATCTAATTTTTTGTTTCATACTTCAGAAAATCCAGTCAACACTACTTCTTTTTGTTAGTTAAACCGTAAATTCCTACTACTTTGTTGAAATTCTTCCTATCCTAAACCTTTCTATTTTAAAAAATACATTAGGATATCAATTTCGAAAACAAAGAAAAATCAAAACACTAGTGAAACTGTGAAAGTAGATAAATAAATAAAAACGTTAGGAGTATAAGATCAGGACAATATCCGACAGAAAAAAGATTAGGACAATATACTTTCCTTTAATTTTTGTATGGCCTTTTTCATCAAATAAAAATGGGCTTTCACAAATGGATCCATTCGATTAGGCCCATAGCGTTTCGTCACTCTGGAGAGTCTGGACGGCGGATTCTGATTCTTCAGATCACTGAAAAATCTTGTTACCATTTTCGTTTATAGGGTTCAGTCAGTACGAGATTCGGATCGTAGGTTTCTAGAATTTTACATCGTCGTCGAAAGCCGAAGAAGACAACCATGTCTAGGCAGGTCACGCGACTTCTCGGATCTCTCTCATCCAAAGTTCGCCGTTCCGGCGGCGCAGAACTGTATCCGTCATGCTGCTCTCTCACTTCGATGACTCAGTCTCGCTCCTTCGGTACGACTCCTCCCCCTCCTGCGGCCGTCTTCGTCGACAAAAACACCCGCGTCATCTGCCAGGGTATCACCGGAAAGAACGGAACCTTCCACACGGAGCAAGCCATCGAATACGGCACCAAAATGGTACTGTCTTCCGAATTTACATAAGAACTCAATGTACTACCAATTGCTGATTTCAGCTGTTTCGTTATGGTGCCAATTTGATTTCACAATTCTACTCAACGAACTTACATTGATCGTAGCTGTTGTCATTTCTGGTGGATAGATTGTACGCATTTTGGACTTGAAAATGATTCTTACCTGAGATCATAGGACGCTAAATTCACTTGGAATCTAGTTGATTGCATCATTCTGCAGATAAAATGGAGCTTTTTTTGGTTAGATTGGAAGCTTGTGATAAGCTAATTTGGGTGTGTTAAAATAGGTAGCAGGAGTGACACCGAAGAAAGGTGGTACAGAACATTTAGGCCTCCCTGTATTCAACACAGTTGCTGAAGCAAAGGCTGAGACAAAGGCCAATGCCTCTGTGATTTACGTTCCTGCGCCTTTCGCTGCTGCTGCTATCATTGAAGGTGTGGAAGCTGAGTTAGATCTTGTTGTTTGCATTACTGAAGGAATTCCTCAACATGACATGGTACATAGCTCATTACGTTATGCTTACTTCTGTTGGTTTGCATGCTTGTATAAGTGGCTCTACTGATTTGATTTCTCTGAATGATGTAAAATGTAGGTTCGTGTAAAAGCTGCTCTTAACAGTCAGTCAAAAACTAGGCTGATTGGCCCTAATTGTCCTGGGATTATTAAACCTGGTGAATGCAAGATTGGGATCATGCCGGGGTACATCCACAAGCCGGGGAAGATTGGGATTGTTTCTCGATCTGGAACGTTGACATATGAAGCTGTAAGGTTCTTTGTGTTGCCTTAATGTTCTAGCTCTCTTTTGCAGTGACAGTTGCTTAGTTCTTGCAATGACTTTAGATTACTGGAAGACCTGCTTTTTAAGGACTTCTAATGGCTGATCTTATCATGCAGGTTTTCCAAACTACTGCAGTAGGTCTGGGGCAATCAACTTGTGTAGGAATTGGTGGGGATCCTTTTAACGGCACAAACTTTGTGGACTGCTTGGAGAAGTTCTTTGTTGATCCTCAAACAGAAGGTCTCGTTTTCTGGACACCATCCATTATTGAACATTGTTTCCTTTCTTTTGAGTCACTCGCCTTTAAGTAGACTACCATACTTGCCTAATATCCCAAGACTACTACTTCTTAAGCATGTAGAAGAAAGTGAAAAGTGATTCATTTGCAGCAGTAGGCTCAACTTTTTCTGTGAATATTGTAGCCCTTCTCTTCTGTTTAACGAGATTTCACTTGGTGAATCACCAAACTCGCTCTGTTCAGTAGATTAGTACAAGACTCAAGCTTTGTTTTTGCAACTAAAAACGAATTGACTTATTTTCAGGTATCGTTCTCATTGGAGAAATCGGTGGAACTGCAGAAGAAGATGCCGCTGCTTTGATAAAGGTAATCCACAATGCATCTTTCTTAAGAATCAGAGAGTTTCCATTTAAAGATGGTTTGGAGAGTAAAAAGATTTTGGCTTTGTAAACAAACAGGCAAGTGGTACAGACAAGCCTGTAGTTGCTTTCATTGCTGGACTCACTGCACCACCTGGGCGTCGAATGGGTCATGCTGGAGGTATAATAAACTCTTTGCTCGGTTCTTTCATCTATTCACACTGTTTTTCACTCGACCCGTTATTAAATCCTTTTTTTGTTTGGGATCGATGAAGCCATTGTTTCCGGCGGTAAGGGCACGGCTCAAGACAAGATAACGAGCCTAAGAGACGCTGGAGTGAAGGTGGTTGAGTCACCGGCTAAGATTGGTGCGGCCATGTTCGAGCTTTTCCAAGAAAGAGGTCTTTTGAAGTGAAAGTGAATTACTTAAGAGAATGTCCAAAATTGTGATGAAGATGTTTCAGGAATCAACCTCTCTAATAACTACAGTTCGCAAAGAGAAGAGAGAAAAGAGGGAAACCCTTAATTTCCTTGCCAATTGATGAACATTTTCTGAAGATTATTGCAGAGAGAAAGGTTGTCTTTTCTATGCCGTTTTATTTTAAAGTTTAATGAAATTCGGTCTCAACATATTTTTGCCTTGGTTTTCCTTAAATTACAAGAAATGAGAGGATGAGCCAATTTCACGAAATTCTTCTTCTTTTGAGAATTAAAGTTAAGAACATAATTGACATGTGAATGACTTTTAAGATTGAGGACGAACAATAAAAAGGGGAGAGGGCTATTGGGTCCTAGTTAATTAATGGTACATGAGGTTGTCAATGTCATTAAATAATATTGATGATAATCAGTAATCACTGAACTGAATCACATAATACGCTGACGTCACACGATCCATCTCATGATAACATGCAGTATTGCAGTGTTATGTCATACCTTTTGACTCTTTCTCTGTGTGTAAAGTTTGAGTAAGCCTCTCAAAAGTTAAACCAAAACAATAACTGTATCAATTACTAACAAGGAATATTACGTATGTGTATGTATGTATCATGTATGTATGTAGATAAGCCATATGAATATGATAGGGGAGCAGAAGAGGGGATAGGTGGAATGACGAAAATAGCCTTGGACCCAACTCTTCCTCTATAATCATTACTTTCCTATTTTAGAAAGCACAACATGTTTCCTCTGAGTCTCTGACTGAACAGACGAGACGACTGAAACATTTCTCTCTCTACTTCCTTAAAAAATCTCTGACTCAAAAATTCAAAGGAAAAGACTTCACTACAGAATTTGAACGGTCCGATATAGTGTGTTGCTTTCCACTACGTTTGTCACGTTTTTTCGATTTCCAAAGGATTTTTCATTGGTAATTAAGGATCTAAATTATCTACGTTGCATAAGGACTGTTAATTCGTTCGTTATCGACAATATGATATTTGCAATACTATGTCATAGTTGTTATACAACTTATAAAATCGCCACTAAAATGTTTTACATGAATATTCATATTGTCATTTTGTTCTCAACCTGGCTCGATATAGTATAACGTTGTTATAAACTCTGAATAATAATAACTCGAGGATACTATATGAGAAACTTAACATATTACACACGACACAGTTTCTTGCCTTGCTTTGGGTCGTAATGTTGCTGTATGAATGCCCCTTTTCCTTTCTCGCTTTCCTCTAACCAATTTAATTTATTATTGAAATCCAGTGTATACAAAATTATAATAAGGGCTTAGTGTTATATTTTTACCCAAAACGGTGTTCAAATATAAAAGAGCGTGCAATGATGGACTTGACTCCAATTTTTGGTTACACTGAATTTGAAATTAGGCTATATAACTCAAGTTGAAGGAAAAAATCTATACATTCTCTTTTTTTTTTTGCTAAGAAAATCTATACATTCTCTTATAAAGAAAACTTCTATAGTTACCACAAATAATCAAACAAAACAGTGGCTCATTGTGTAGAAGTGCTCGCATTTTTTGAATACTCAGTGGTTCAAACTCCCGAGTATGTAAGAAAAAAATTGTTTAGCAAAACTACACGTAAACTGATGTTACAAAAGAAATAAAATTAAAGGGACAGAGATATAGGTAGAGGAGGTGGGTAAGAAAAATAAAAAAAAAGGTCACTTTCAAGTATTGTTACACTTTGTCCCTTCCCATTTGGCCAGTCTCTCTCTTTTGCCTTTTGCCTTATGTGGTAACATTGTTTTTCTTATACCATTTTTTCATTAAGTTTCCATTTTTGGATTCTTTTCTAGTTGCGTCATGCATGCCAGATCAAACAAATTAGAGGTTCAAGGTTTGACTAAAAAGGGTCTTTTCTGCTAAAGAAATTACCAAACACTGCCATTAGTCCCATTACATGTCATTTAACTTTTTTTTTTTGTTTTTGAGACATCAAATAGAGACTTAAAAAAATCCCTTTACAAAAAATTAGTTTTAAAAAAGGATCAATATAGGTTTTTGTTACAGTATTAAGTTATTAACACACATATATAGGTTAAATGTACAAATTAAAGCATAGCACGACACTCTAGTCGTATAATACTGAACGTAAATAGTGTGACCGTGTTACGTTCGCAGTAACATTTCAAACCCTAAAAAATGTTGATATTATTCAAGTAAAGCCATTTGCATTGCCTAATTTACAGAAAAAAAAAACTAATGCTCCACATATGTAAGAAGGTAGAAGAAAGAGAATATGAAATTAGAAGATAACGATGGTGAGCTGAAACCACACGCCACACACAGAATTATATCGAAAGGAGAATCTGAGAAAGTAATTAAGCAGATTCCTCCTTTATCTCTCTATTTGTGTGACATCAAACCTCACATACTACTGATCTCCATTTCCAGATCCCAAAGAACAACTCAACAAAGAGTACTTTAAAGACTCTCTCTCTCTCTATTTATTTCTCACTAACTCTCTCGCTCGCTCCTCTTTCTCTCACCACACACACTCTCGCTTCTCTCTAATTCTCAGAAGAGGATTCATGAATCAAACCATCCTAGAAACGAATCCTGTAATCAACTCTAGGGTTTCAGATTTTAATTTGATTATTTTTACAATTCTCGTTTTGTAGTTAACTAGGGTTTTCTTTTTAGTTGAACTAACTCTTGCATATGTCAATTCGTATGACATCTACATTTGAATCAGGAGGAAGAGGAAGGGACGTCGAATAAGAGGAAGAGGAGAGAGATGGGGAGAGGGAAGATAGAGATCAAGAAAATAGAGAATCAGACGGCGAGGCAAGTGACCTTCTCCAAGAGAAGAAGTGGTCTTATCAAGAAGACTCATGAGCTCTCTGTTCTCTGCGACGCTCACATCGGTCTCATCGTCTTCTCCGCCACCGGAAAGATCTCCGAGTACTGCTCCGAACCTCACAAGTAATTAACCTCTCTCTCTTTCTCTCTCTCTCAGATTAGGGTTTCAGTGATCTATACATACACGTGTATCTACTCATTCAATTAATGAGTAAATGGGAGATAATATTGCTCGTGCTTGTGAACAGACAGTGTTCATCATTAGTTTCTGAAGTAGCAGGTTATCATGAATATAATTAAGATTTTAATTTGGCCCAGAAGTTAAGAATCTCTCTGATGATATATATTTATTCTTGCAGTAATTAATTTGTATATGTATGTGAACATGCATGATGCATGTATATAATCAACTTTATAAATATCGGTCCAAAGAAACAAATTGGGCATTTCTTGATCAAGCTCAGAATAAGATCCTAATGTCTGTAGTAATATTTACAACATACATATATACCATTTTAATGATTCGATTTACGTACATTTTTTTAAATGTGTGTTAGTTAGAAGTTTTAGATCTAAGTCACGAATTCACATTGAACCTAATAATATGAAGAGAAAGGTATGCTAATATAAGTATAGTATAAGCCTGCTTTCACAAAACAAATTAAGTGGGTAATACACCTTTTAATTTTGTTTTATGGTAGCCAATTTTGCTGGCCAAGATATAGATCCTAATCTTGAGAAGTATATTCGTTATTAGAGTTTTCTGTCCTTCCAATAACTATTAAAGTCTTGACATTGTAATATAGGATGCCTCAACTCATTGACCGATACTTGCAGACCAAAGGATTGCGACTTCCTGATCCTAACGACGACCGGGTATATCAAAAAAAAAATATATATATATAATATATATATATATATATATATGCATACTTATTCCTTTCTCTTACCACTTGAGAACGAATAAAAAAAACATTTTCACAAAAAAAATCAATAATCATTTGGAGTTTTTGTTTGTTTGTGTGTGTATACATAGGAGGAATTGTGCCGTGAGATGGAAGCACTAAGAAGAGAGACATGTAAGCTTGAGCTGCGTCTACGTCCATACTGTGGACATGACTTAGCCTCCATCCCTCCACACGAGCTCGAAGGACTCGAGCAACAGCTCGAACACTCTGTCCTCAAAATCCGCGAGCGTAAGGTAATAAAAAATATACGTCATCATATCAATATTACTCTCTTAATACTCTATACTGATTACACTTTTTGTTTGATCTCTCTCTTTCTATCTCCACTGTTAATATATTGAAGAATGAGTTGATGCAGCAACAGTTGGAGAATCTAAGCAGAAAGGTCACTCTCTAATCCTTCTCTTTAAGTACTCTTTCCTCTAATGATCCTTTACACATAGAGCTTAATGATCATTAACCATGTCTCTATATATGATCAGAGACGGATGCTAGAAGAAGATAACAACAATATGTACCGTTTGGTAAGTTTGGTTACATAGAGAATATGATTTTTGTTTGCACCTTTTCGCTTAAATGACAATTTTTTATATACATACCGTTGTGGTTATTGCAGCTTCATGAGCATCGAGCAGCGGTTGATCAGTTTCAGCAAGCAGGGATAGATACGAAACCAGGAGAGTATCAGCAGTTTCTAGAGCAGCTTCAGTACTACAATGATCATCATCAGCAACAACCAAACAGTGTTCTTCAGCTCGCTACGCTTCCTTCTGAGATTGATCCTAATTACCATCTCCAGCTTGCTCAGCCTAGTCTTCAAAACGATCCAACGGCCAAGATTGACTAATCCTCATCTGATCTTCTCTTTCTTTCTGGAGACAAACGAATTAAGTATATCATTTACCTATTCTGATTAGCCAATGCTTTCTTTTGTGTGGCCATGCATTGAAACTTGTTTGAAAATACACATTAATGGTCTTGACTATATTATTCACTCATCATATTACTTAATCATCATTAACACACATGTGCCAACAAGAGGTCACCTGTTTATGTAAACACAAATGTGTTTAGAAATAGGTCACAGGCTAGACACAATACAATTGGCAAAAAGAAAATCTGTTCTTTTGACTGCTGCGGTCAAACGAGATTTTGAAATGGGCTAAAGATAAGAGTAAAAGATACATGAATAAAACTATTTTTAGATTATTCGCCGCAAAAATAAAGAAAGAAGCCAACTAAGAATCTTTGTATTGTCTGATCGACAAGCTTGTCAAAGGATTGTAACTGAAAATAGATTTTACAGATTCAGGCAGAACGGATCATAATCCCGGAAACTGCTCTTATAAAGTCAGCCAAAAAATGAAAAAAATTCAACAAATTTTACAGAGGAATGCAAAGACGATCAAGAAGCAAGAAAGGAGTTTTGGAAGAAGAATCTTCCTTTACTCTTTTCATCTTCAACCTGTTTTCATTTTAAAACAGTCGATCGTTTGAACAACCACCACCATCATCATCATCATCATCAAAAACGCTGCGTTTCTGGCTTAATCGTCTAAATCAATGGCAGGAGGATCTTTCGTAGGAGAGAGTGGCCATGGAGGAGGCTCCTACGAAGGCCGTGTAACCGCTTTTGTCGTGATCACATGCATGTTGGCTGCATTTGGCGGTCTCCTCTTCGGTTACGATATCGGTATCTCAGGTTTGTTTTCTTGCCAATCAAGTAAACCAGATTTTCACCTCTCTGGCTCTATCATTCTCTCTGCTTCATTGATTTTCATGGAAGATATGTTTTTTTCAGGAGGAGTGACATCAATGGATGAGTTTCTAACGAAATTCTTCCCGGACGTGCTTCGCGAAATGCAAAACAAAACAAGGCGTGAAACAGAGTACTGCAAATACGACAACGAGCTCCTCACTCTCTTCACCTCCTCTCTCTACCTCGCCGCTCTCTTCTCCTCTTTCCTCGCTTCATCCATTACACGCCTCTTCGGCCGGAAACGCTCCATGACGATCGGAGCTCTCGCTTTCCTCACCGGAGCTCTTCTCAACGGTTTCGCTACCAACCTCGAGATGTTAATCATCGGAAGGTTGCTTCTCGGTTTAGGCGTCGGATTCGCTAACCAATCTGTTCCTCTTTACCTCTCTGAGATGGCTCCAGCCAACATCAGAGGAGCTCTCAACATTTGTTTCCAGCTAGCAATCACCATTGGCATCTTATCCGCGAATCTTGTAAACTACGCAACCGTAAAGCTCGACAACGGCATCGGATGGAGATTATCTCTCGGTATCGCCGGAGTTCCTGCTGTTATCATGCTCGTGGGATCTTGTTTATTACCGGAGACGCCGAACTCGATCCTCGAACGTGGAGACAAAGAGGAAGCTAAAGCGATGCTGCAGAGGATCAGAGGAACAATGGATGTCGAGCATGAGTTTACGGATCTTTGCGCAGCGACTGAGGTCGCTAAGAGAGTTAAGCGTCCGTGGATGAACATATTTCAAGATCGGTATAGACCGCAGCTCACGTTCTGCACTTTTATCCCGTTCTTCCAGCAGCTGAGCGGGATCAATGTCATCATGTTCTATGCGCCTGTCTTGTTTAAGACCATCGGTTTTGACGCTGCTTTGATCTCCGCAGTCATCACCGGTCTTGTCAATTTCCTCGCCACCATCGTCTCCATCTACTCAGTTGACAGATTCGGACGCAGAGCTCTGTTTTTCGCAGGCGGTGCCCAGATGATGTTGACTCAGGTGTGTACAAAAACAGAGTATCATCATGCTCTGCTTTAAAAAAAAAACAGAGTATCATAATGCTCTGCTTTAAAAAACAGAGTACCATGTTCTGTTTTCAAAAACAGAGCAAGTAACAATGATTTTTGTTTTGGTTTGGTTTCAGATTGCGGTTGGTTCGATGCTTGGATGGAAGTTTGGATTGAAAGGGGAAGGAGAGTTGTCACGGATTGATGCGGATATAATCTTGGCGTTGATATGTCTCTATGTGGCCGGTTTTGCTTGGTCATGGGGACCGTTGGGATGGTTAGTGCCGAGTGAGATATGTCCGTTGGAAGTTAGATCGGCGGGACAATCGTTGAACGTTTCGGTGAACATGTTCTTCACGTTCATAATCGGACAGTTCTTCTTGACGATGCTTTGCCACGTGAAGTTTGGTCTGTTCTACTTCTTTGCCGTCATGGTCTTGATCATGACGATTTTCATCTACTTCTTGTTGCCGGAGACGAGAGGAGTTCCGATTGAAGAGATGGGGAGAGTGTGGAAGGATCATAGATTCTGGGGGAAGTATGCTCGTGATGTTGATGGTGATGATGATGATGCTGCTGATATTTGTATTTTTAGTAGTTCAAGAACTTGTTAATCTTTTTAAGATAAAGGGTTCTTTAGGATTTGATTAATTTTATTGAGTATACGCTTGTAATAACCATTGTGTGACATCAAAATCAATAAACGGATGTACATATTTGGAAAATTCTTTTTTTTTTTCCGGAATAAACCTTAGTCCTAGATCTTGGTTTATGAAAATTACAGTGTGTTATGTGCATCCATGTATTTTACATTTTTCCTTAACTAAACCACCTATGAGTCAACTCCCAAACAAACGAGTCAACCAGTCAAGTTCCTGACAAAACTATTGTTATCAACGTTTGACATCTATATTATCCAATAGTAATTACTTCATTTTTAAACAAAAATTTGATTCACATGATTTCTAAATTATTATCTTCCTTGTTGACTCCAGAACATTTGTATTAGATCGGGTTTCAAGTTTAGGGTACACTCTTGAGTCTTGACCCAAAGAAAACAAACATGAGGAAGACACACAATCGCTCGTGATTGCGTATTTGCGTTGGGTCACAAGAATGGTAAACTAATTAACAATCAGAAAATCCCTTTAATTAAAATATTTGTTTAAGTACGACAATTATTAAAACAAATATCAGAAAATGATCCTTGCTTAGGTCATGAATAATTTATTGTCACGACATAAGAGAGAAAAATCACGATGAGACAAACGAAGTAACAAAATCTTGCGTATCTGCCAAGTGGACTAATCACTTCTTTTCAATGTCAGTCAGGCTCAAAGGGATTAAGTTAATGTTCATTAAAAACACTAATAGGGACATACATACATATATATACAAGACTGTGTAAAGACAATTTAACAACGTTTATGACATAGATATTTATACGTTTTTTTCTAATGATATGTGTTGTTATTGTAATATACAAACTTTTCCAACTCATGCCAGATTTTTTTTCTTCAAATTATTTATATGTACAGAAGAGATGCATCAATGTGTATCGACCAAACTCATAATAAATTGCGTTAAAAAATATGGAATTTTTTTTGGTAATCGACAAAGGAATTCTGAATAATAGATTTCGAATTTTGCCATTTCACGTAAAACACGTGATGCTGCAGATATTTGAACTACTGGCTAAAAATACTGCCAAATATGTAACAAAATAATAATGAAATGCAAAAGTTACAAGTTAATAAGTTTTGATGTCAAAGTCTACTTACCAATCAGTTACCTCACTGATTGTCTCCTTTTCAATCTTTTCAATAGTTACATGGAAACAGATCTCTTCTTAAAATATTAGTTTCCCTATAATCTGTTCACATTAGCTATAATCAAAATCCAGATTAGCTAGGCCTAGGCTTAGTTAAAAGTTTTACTACATAGAGAACACCTTTTACCTGGTGGGTTCGTTTCTTTACATTGTAACAGACCATGACATGTAGTCAAATGGTTTGTGTTAATGTTATCACAAACATATTTATTTGACAAAGAAAACAACATCTATAACATTATTACAAAAGTTTTGATTAATCTGAAAGCAAACATAGGTACGGTAAATTCACTAATTTAATTTACCTCCCCCGGCGTTGGTGACGTGGCAGGGAGAAAAACCATGGATAAACGTCTCTTAAATGCACGTAGCAGCCTGCAGAAACCGCAGAGAGGACCATAGGACCCACCCAGTTTTAAATTCACCTGCCGGAGCGTGTCCCCACGCGCCTCTCTTCACCGGGGGCAAGGAGCGTGGCTTCCACCGCGTCGGGACAAAAAAAATGTCCCCTCAAAAAAGCAAAGGGGAGAAAGAAAAAAAAAAACAGAGGAGTGAGCTGTGAGAGGGACCCACCCACCCATGTGCCCTCCTTCCTGTCTCCACCAGCTCCTGCCTCTCAATCATTAGCTTCCCCTTCTTCTCCTCTTCCTCTCCCTCCTCTTCCTCCTCCCTCCTCCTCTCTGTTTCTTCACAGTAGAGACTGAGCAATTAAACCAACACCAAACCCAATTAAGATCAAGAGCCATGTCGAATAACACCGACGGAGTTATGCTCTCGAACGGAGCTTTAATCGAACGCCAGAGACAACAACAACAACAACAGCTACAGCAACAGCAACAACAGCAGCAACAATCATCTGATGGAGCTCTGGTAGTGAAGAAGCCTCCGGCGAAGGACCGGCACAGTAAAGTCGACGGAAGAGGGAGGAGGATCCGTATGCCAATCATATGCGCAGCTCGTGTCTTCCAGCTAACGAGAGAGCTCGGCCACAAATCCGATGGCCAAACAATCGAGTGGCTTCTCCGTCAAGCCGAGCCTTCAATCATAGCCGCCACAGGAACGGGCACAACTCCGGCGAGTTTCTCCACCGCTTCAGCGTCGATACGAGGAAACTCCATCACGAACTCGACTTCCTCAACCTGCACTCTGTCTTCGTCTCTAGACCATAAACCTTTACTCGGGTCTTCTCCGTTTATACTCGGAAAACGCGTGAGAGCCGATGAGGATTCCGGTGGAGGTAAAGACGAGACAATGGGATCGTTTGCTACGCCAGCTGGGTTCTGGGCGGTTCCGGCGAGGCCGGATTTCGGACAAGTGTGGAGCTTTGCCGCCGGAGCTCCACAAGAGATGTTCTTGCAGCAGCAACAACCGGCGGCTGCGCTTTTTGTCCACCAGCAGCAACAGCAGCAAGCTGCAATGGGTGAAGCTTCGGCGGCTAGAGTCGGGAATTATCTTCCGGGTCATCTTAATTTGCTTGCTTCGTTATCCGGTGGAGCTCCCGGGTCGGGTCGGAGAGAAGATGACCCACGTTGATACGATGTCGTTAAGCCGTTAAGCCCTTTTTTAGTTTGGTATATAATTATATATCTCTGTTTCTCTATTGTCATTGATCAATCTCCTGCATTGTTTTACTTGAGTGGCTTCTCGCTGTGTGTTTTTGTTTTTTTTTTTTGTTTTTTTAGAGATTGATTGATTTCCATGAGTGATTTGAGAGAGTATCTTTTAGTGTTTAAGTTAAGATTAGGGGTTAGGGTTTAAGAATCTGAAAGGTTTTTTTGTTTGTTTGTGGGAGTTCGATTTCTCATCGGCTTTCCAAGACTATTTAGTAGCTAAGGGATATTACGGAACCGCGGAGGTTTCCCCTTTCTGTCTGGTTTTTCCGGCGAAACAGAGCCGTCGTTCAAAATTTCAGACATTATTAATATATTTTTATATTGTTTGTTTTGTTGCTAATTGTGTAATGTGTTACAATTGTGGTGAGCATTGCGCAAGCTGTTAACCACGTTTATTTTTAATAAATGTTCCGACTTCATATTTTTTGTCTTAATGTGTTTAGTGTTCTTTCTCTGCATTTATGGATTGACTAAAGCTTTCGTTGAGTTTGATTGTTTCGCTGAAATCGAACTGGATGATGAACATATACTATCTCTTTTCTTCTGGATATATTGTGGGTTTAATGATGCTTTATGGGGTTTCGCGTCACGATTTGAATGCAAGAACAGTGGATTAAGTAAGTAAAAAAAAGACAAACCAGCTGTTTCATCTGTCTGAAATCTTCAATGTTTTTGTTTCAAAAGAATTTATGTACTGTGCTTGGAAGTTTGGTTTGTCAGTTGTCACGTAAGTCAGAGCAAGACTGTTTCATACGGAGTAACTTTTACTGTTAAAAGTTAAAACCATATGGCGACAGGTTATTATTAATTTGTTTGTATTTTGGTTCTAGTGACTTGCTTTGTAACAAAATCGAAAATAAACTAGATAGTTGGAATGTCTCTTGTTTGAAATTAGCTGTACAAATATGTGGCGGATGCATCATTATCGTTTTTTAGTTACACACAAAATACACTTGAATGTGTGTATTCAATTGTTTTTAGTGTATACATTACCAAATCCAAATGATGATTTTGTTCGTGTTTTCATATTCTCAAGCCTAACTACACCTGCTGAATAATTTATTAAAACTATTTACACAACTAGTTACATTTCTAAAACTATTTAGGTGGCACTGACTAATCAACGAATCAAACAAAATTTGACATAAAATAAGAATCCATTAATGGAAAGATCTTAACTAAAAGGTGGTGTTTTTTGTTGCTTAATTAGTACTAGTGATTAACACTTAGCTATAAAATATAATGCAAATAATTGTAGGTGGGGATCTTCGTAATCAAAAACATCCCGTACCTTTTATTGTCGAATCATGTAAATGACCCCAACCCAAATAATTGATATGGTCCCATTCTTTCTATGGAAAATTACTTTTATAGGTTGGCATATAAATACAGTACACATAATTTTTCTTTTTGGACCGACACATGTAAGTAAATTGCCTCTCATTTACCTCACTCTACCAGCTCTTTTCCGTATTTAATGTACTGTCAAATAGTTTCAGAAGAAGAAAAAATTGATTACTAAAAATCATTATAGAGATCCTCAGATTTTTAAATTCTACGGACATTATGCAATCGCACATTAAAAATAGACCAACCCCAAAAATATCAACACTATCCAAAAATAAACTACTAATCACCTGACACCTATTTAGTTGAGTTTAAAATCACTGAATGGACCTACATGGGCCTAGATACTGGGGTTAATGGGCCACATTTCGTCTCTGACGCTAACTCCACTTAATGGGCCTCACTTCGTCTCTAATCGGAGAAAGAGCTTTTTGGCGCAGAGTTCGGCGATTCGCAACTCGGAGGAACTGAGAGAGAGAGAGAGAGAAAATGGCGTCGTCATCGTCGAGAATGGAGATGGAGAAGATGGGAATCGAACAGCTGAAAGCGTTGAAGGAGCAAGCGGATCTGGAAGTGAATCTCCTTCAGGAAAGTCTTAACAACATCCGCACAGCCACCGCCCGTCTCGATTCCGCCGCCGCAGCTCTCAACGATCTCTCTCTTCGACCTCAAGGTCCGTTAGCTACCATCACTCGCATGATTTTAATCTCACCTCTCTTTTTTCAATTGAACGATGGATGAATTTAAAAAGTTGAATTTACAGGTAAGAAGATGCTTGTGCCACTCACTGCTTCACTCTACGTGCCTGGGACACTTGATGAGGCTGATAAGGTTCTAGTTGATATCGGCACTGGTTACTTCATCGAGGTATGTGCAATCAATAAGAACGGATGATTTTGACTTTGTTCAGTCTCGTTCTTGCGTAGTTGCTGAAGTGTTTTCATTTTTGTAGAAAACAATGGATGCCGGAAAAGATTATTGTCAGAGGAAGATCAACTTGCTGAAATCGAACTTTGACCAACTTTTTGAGGTACGTTTTTGGGTTGACATGTGTATCTGAACTAGAAAATTCCACTCTCTTAGCAACTTTTGAGTGTCTGATTTGGTGTTTAGATAGATCCTGAGGAGATAATAAAGAAAAAAGCATATCACTTTTTCTTCCTCTTTGTTACGTTTGATGCTTCCTCCGGCTTATACATTATTATGCTCTTAGAGTACATGATACATTAAGTAGTGTCTCCACTTGACTCTGCATTTGAGTCGCTGTTCCAGTATTTGTTACTAGTTCTGAGTATCATTGACATTAATCTTGCATCAGTACCAAGATGTTTTTAATTCCCTTTTATATGAATACCTATATTTACAGCTAATAGCTCTTACCCGAGACTTTGAGTAATAAACTTGAAGAATGTTGATTCAATGTAGGTGGCGTCAAAGAAGAAAGGCGTGGCAGATGAAGCTGGGATGGTCTTGCAGGCCAAAATTAAACAGTACCAAGCTGCACCCACGTCGTGAAAACTATTATTTTGTAGTGCTTTTACTATGTTGAGACTGCAAATTTTTTGTCTGCTCAGTTTTGTTACGACTCTTATGATCACATTCGGGCTGTGTGCTAGAGAATTTTTACTGTAATTTTAAGCAAGCAAATGATAAACTAGTGAGCTAGTAAACAAAAATGTTGCTAGTTATTTCCTCATAAAACGAGAGAAAACAGAAAAGAGGCAAAAGCTACGATATTATTGTTGGGGAGAAAGAAACGAGTGAATCAATGAAAACTAAATACAACTTGTTTGTCTTTGTCGTTGTAAAGAAAAGGAATCTCTCTCCTCTGCGTGTGTTTTTAATCATCTGTGATCCGCACCGATTGCTTCTTGAATCGACTTGAAGCCATCCCTTTCTAAGCAACTCACCAGTTCCTCCTATTGCAACAAAAAGACGTGAATGTTAGTATCAACAAAGAGAGACTTTCTCTACGCTTATTAAACTTTCCTGATCGAAGATACCTTTATGGGAAAGGAGATACCTTTATTTGTGGGATGAGAGCGGGTCCTCCATAGGCAAACCCTGTGTACAGCTGAACAAGAGTTGCTCCGGCTCTTATTTTCTTGTAAGCATCCTCACCACTGAAACACACAAAGATTCATTCATCAGAATCAAATTTTTGTGTTCTGTTTTTTTGTTTCTCACAATCTAGAGCATGATGAGATAAGGCGTTTACCTGCTAACACCGCCGCAGCCTATCAGTGGAATCTTTCCCTGAAGTAAGAGGTCATGAAAATAGCCAAAAACCGGAATCAGAAATGTTTTAGTTCCCTGGTAGAATAAGGGAATCATCTCTTATCAGCTAATAGAAACTTACTCGTGTCAAAGTGTACATCTCACTCAACATGTTGGTGGAGAGAGCAAAGAGCGGTTTCCCACTCAAACCACCTGCTTCTTTTGCCACAGGGTCGTTGGTTACAGGTTCTGGCCTTGACACTGTAGTATTTGATATGATCTATAGGAGAAACAAAGAAAGTACCATCATCATCGTACGCGTTATGATTTGCAACATACCTGACTCACAATAGAGAAAAAACAAATGATTTTTCAAATACTTACCAGACCATCCAAGTGGAGAGCAAGAGCAACCTACACAAATCAATAAAATGTTGTAAGAGCCAAATACTTCGTAAGTATAGAATGAGTTTCAATATTGTTAGTACAACGCACCGCTGCAATATCTTCGAGCTCTCCTCTGGACAAATCAGGAGCGATCTTGACAAGAAGAGGAGGAGGACCATCATCTCCCCACTGCATCTCATCCCGAGCTGCTTGAACCTTCTTTACAAGGTCCTTCAACTGTTTCCTTCCCTGAAGCATACGCAACCCTGCAGTATTGGGTGATGAAACATTGATAACCTGTAATGGAAAGATGAAATCAGAAACAAAGAATTTACATGGTAGATTTGATCAAACGAATGCTCGATTATATCAAGATAGGAAGTTCGTACCAAGTAATCAGCATACTGAGATAGGTTATGAACTCCTTGGACATAGTCAGCTGCAGCATCTTCACTAGTCTTGTTCTTTCCAAGGTTGACCCCAAGAATACCAGGTCCTGACTTGCCCCCTGGTTTCACTTCATCACTTGTAGTTGACAAAGTGCCTGATGTTTCCGCCAACATTCTTTTACCATGTTGAGCACCCAACCTCTTCGCAACCACAACAATCCCTTCGCTGTTAAATCCACACCTATTGACAATAGCTCTGCAAAGACAAGAAAGATTAGAGGCACATCCTTCAGTTGAAACTTCTGTTCTAAGATCATAGGTAAGGAAAAGAATAGATTTGAGATTCTCACCCATCTTGGCTTATTCTGAAGATGCGTGGTTTTGGGTTGCCTTCTTGTGGAACAGGAGTAACGGAGCCAACCTCAACAAAGCCAAATCCCATTCCTAGCAAGCCCTCGGTAGCCTCAGCGTTTTTGTCAAAACCAGCAGCGAGACCAATTGGGTTTGAAAACTTCCTTCCCCAGACTTCAAGTCCCAAGATCTGTGGATCAGGCCTCTTTTCTCTAGGTACCCACCCGCGAGCAGCAGCTGAAACAGCCAGCTTATGCGCAAACTCAGCATCCAAGAGAGCAAAGAAAGGGTTCACAACCTTTGTTGCTGAGAATAGCCACCCACTGTCCAACACACAAGATGAGCAAAGTTAACAACAAGGTTATGCAAACTAAGAAAGAGAACAAAATACAAAGATATGTAATTTGTCTAAAGCATCACTTATTGAGTAAGTAAGTACCAGAAGGTTGCTTCATCTGCAGTACTCACATAAGCTCCTCCAGCTATGGCCAGTCCAATCGTAGCTCCGGTCAATATCCTTCCCTAAAAATTTCAACACAAGAAAAGCTGAACACTTGAGACATTTGAAAGCAAAAATGATCTAACTCTACTACACCAGATATGAGCATTTGATCAAAAGAAGAACCGATATTATGCAAATGGAACTCTTCTATTAACCTTATCAATATCCCGAAGCGAATAAGATTCCTATAAAGAAAGAAATCTGATTCTCCCAAACCGCAAAAGAGATTAATTTATTCGAGAAATTCATCAAAGCTGCTTACTTTCTTGGAAAAATGAGGGACTTTTTTAGGTGCAGAGGTAGCTCCAGGAGCCGAAGAACAGTTTCGAATCGATCCAAGAGGATTCGATGAGACTCTTCTGAGCAAAAACTCTTTCGCCCATTTAGCCGACGATGTCGCAGCCCTTCCGGCCATTTGATTTTTGTTCAATCGACAGTGGAAGCAAATGGAACTCTAAAAAGGGTTGCTTTGATGATAGAAATCACTCCGATTGCTTTGTGAAGAAGGTTTTAGGCTTTTAGCTCACGGCTTGATTCTTTGTTGGTCGGTTTCAAAGGAATCGTCAGTATTTGCTAAAACCCTTGCTTTGTTGGCTGTGTTCACTGTTGCAGTTTCTTCAGGTCGATCTAACCGGTTCGATTTAACGGTTTAATTTGGTTAACCGGAGAGAAATAAGTGAACTTTTGTATTTAAACCGGTTCGAACAAACAGATTGATAAGGCCCTTTCTCTGCAAAAGCGAGCCCAAGAGTGAAGAGAACTCTCACACTCTGTCTTCTCATCATCCTCCATAGCCGTAGTTCGAAGCAGAAGCGAGATTTTGGCGAAGACGATACTGGGAGGAAGTAACAATGGGTTCTTGTGCTGTGACGGCAAGCTGTTTCTGTACTGTTACAGATTCTAGTTTACGTTTGAAATCCTCCAAGCTCGTCAATCCGGTACGATTCCTTTTTGGTTTTCATAACACTGAAATCCCCTGTGGTTTTGCTTCACATGAGTCTCTCTTTCAATCACTAAAAGCTTTCAAATTTTCGTCCTTTTTTGTTTGTGGTTAGAGTAATCAGCAGAGAAGATGCTCTCTTCCGTCTCGAGGTGGTTTAAAGGTTGAAGCTTACTATGGTCTAAAGACTCCTCCTTATCCACTTGTAAGTGAAAATTAGCTAGAGATGCTTGTTTTTGCACAGAAATGGTGGAAAGTTTGTTAATTGTGTGTGAAAATCTGGTGAATTTAGTGCAAAATTGTATCTTTCTCTCTTGCAAGTGAAGTACATGTGACTTGATCTTAGGGACTATGCTTTTGTTGATCAGATTTGAAACAAAATGTGAATAGGATGCTTTGGAACCTTATATGAGTAAAAGAACACTAGAAGTGCATTGGGGCAAACACCACAGAGGTTATGTGGACAATCTAAACAAACAGCTAGGGAAAGATGATAAACTCTATGGATACACCATGGAAGAGCTTATCAAGGCGACGTACAACAATGGGAATCCTTTGCCTGAGTTCAACAACGCTGCGCAGGTACTTGTTGTACTTCGAAGTTGTTTTTAAGTTGACATCACCCCTGAGGCATAAGCTAATGGTTTGGAAGAGTTGTTGTTTTAAGGTCTATAACCATGAGTTCTTCTGGGAGTCGATGCAACCTGGTGGTGGAGACATGCCTCAAAAGGGTGTTCTTGAGCAGATTGAGAAAGATTTCGGTTCCTTCACAAATTTCAGAGAGAAATTCACTAATTCAGCTCTTACTCAGTTTGGTTCCGGCTGGGTCTGGCTCGTCTGTGAGAAACTCGACCTGTTATTCAATAAAGCAGAAACTATAGAATGATTACTCTGAAAATGGAAAATCTTGACCCTCTTTTTGTTTTCTTGAATTTCAGTGAAGAGGGAAGAGAAAAGACTTGAGGTGGTCAAAACCTCAAACGCCATTAACCCACTTGTGTGGGACGATTTTGTATGTTAACTTGTTAAGAGTATCTTTAGCATATTTTTTTTTTTGGTTAGAGTAAATGTTTCTTCTTGATCACATCTCTTTTTTTCTTTGTTACAGCCAATCATCAGCTTGGATGTGTGGGAGGTAAACTATCTCATCTCTTCCACTCATACTCCAAAGAAACACTTAATTAAAACAAGAATCTTCTAATTTCTTTTGTTTGCTTATCTTACTTTGCAGCACTCTTACTATCTGGACTACAAGGTAAAAACTAGCTTCAATTCTCGACCAATTCATGTTCTTTTTGTTTGTCTGTTCAAATGGCTAAAAATGATTGTTTTTTTTTGTTTGCTTGCTAGAACGAGAGGGCCAAGTACATAAACACGTTTCTGAACCACTTGGTGTCGTGGAACGCTGCCATGAGTCGGATGGCTCGTGCTGAGGCGTTTGTGAATCTTGGCGAACCAACCATCCCAATTGCCTAAGCTTAAAGAGTCCATCTGAAGGCAGAAAACAACTCCTCAACTTTTGTAGCAGAGGTCTCAACAAAACAAACAAGAGCTTTCTCATGTGTGGCCGATCTTTTTATCGTGTGAAACTCAGCCATAGTTCTTTGAGAGAAAATCTAATCTGCCATAGACTGTTTTGTTTTTTGCTTAATAAAAATATTGATAGTGTTGTGTTATTAACATTGAAAAATAATTGTTAGTTTTACCAAAAATTGTTAATTTGACCAGAGAAAATAAAAATCATTCTTCAACTTTTTTTTTCATTAATTAACCTTCTATGTTTTAGGGGATGTTATTGGATATTTTATTTGAAATGAACTAAAATTGAATTACAATCCAGTGTTGTTCAATCAAGATTTCAAATCCGGTTTTAAAATCCAATGTTATTCGATATTTGATATATAATTTTTCAATAATAGAGTTTCAAGTCTAGTGTTATTCAATCAAGATTTCAAATCCATATTTAAAATCAATTGTTATTTAAAACTGAATTATTTGTTTATTAAGTCATTTGAAATGACTTCTCATGGATTTCTATGCGTAAATTATTAAAAACAGAATCTATGAGATATTGCAGAGATTTTAGAATCAACTGAAATGAATTCTTAAAATAACACAAAAAAATTAAATATAATGGATTATAACATCTATTTCGGTTCATTTCAAATACAACATCCAATAACACCCCTTAATGATTTTGAAGTTTACATTGGCTTCCGTGTTTTAATAATTAACCTTCCATGTTTTAATAATTAATGAGATCCTTTCATTAATTAACCTTCAGGACTAATATATTATAAACTACCACTTAGTCCTCCAATATAAATAAGACTGAATCATAATGGATGATCACTCAACATTTTTTAATCCTTTCTTTGAAGATCTCTCTCTTCATAACATTTCGATAAACATAAGAATGAAGAATGTTATGAACATCTTCGTTCTCTTTGTATTTTTGGCACTCCTTTCGGGTAAATATTTATATTTTATATCACTGCTTGCTAAGATCCGTTTACTTTTGGCATAATATTATTCTCACAGCCGCTTTTATTAATTAATTTGTATAGTTTGAAAAAGAGTTCTGACGTAACAATCTATGGATATACATACCCCTGATCTACTAAATAATAACAGCAATCAACTGTTTTTTTTTTGTAGAAATGACATTTTCAAGTATTGGAATGGTCGAAAGTCGAAGTTTGATGCAGGAAGAAATAATTATCTCGCCTGCTCCGTATGGAGATGATGAAATAATTACCGCACCTGCTCTGTATGAGGATGATGTTGGGTCTCCAAATAAGTTTCCATGTGATAAAGGATGCACTTGGGAATGCAAAGCCTTCCATTGTCAATGCGAATGTATAAGCATCTCTGAACGTACTGTCTAAGCTCATTCGATAAAACAATAATAAAAATTTATAAACAACATAAATCAGGAGTCTATACGATTGCACAATCAAACAACAAAGTAAAATACAAAGAGGAAGCATATTGATATTCCCTGACATAAACTATTTTAAAGTTGTAAATCTTAATTATCAATCTTAAAGAAAAAAATTATGAAGCGAAGTGGCCCACATAACTCGCACGTGACTTTAAAAATTTCGCACGTGTATGACATACAGTATTTCGTCTTCTGTTTTTTTCATCTCCCTCGGACACACCATTGTTCTCTTCTTCAATCAATATCAACGTAAAGCTACAAACTTCCACGCGATCATTTCTCTGGCTCTCGGCTAATTCCCTGATTTTACACAAATTTTTTCTCACAGAAGCTCTCGATTTCTTTTGTGTACTTCTCTAATCGTCGGCTCCTAAGATTCTGTTCATTTCCCCGTCTTTGATTTCTCTAACAATTGATAGGATTCGTGCCCATAAAAAAATCAACATTTTCAAGCTAAGTGTTTAGAATCTCTCTCTACCCATAAATTCGAGTGCCATGGATATTTTGTTTGTGAATCTTGGTGAACCAACCATCCCAATTGCTTAAGCTTAAAAAACCCTTTTTTGAGAGTCCATCTGAAAGCAGAGAACAACTCCTCATTTTTGCAACAGAGGTCCCAACAAAACAAACAAGAGCCTTTCTCATGTGTGAAACCCAGCCATAGTTTTCTCTTATCTGCTAGATTATTTTGTTTTTTGTTTAATAAATATATTCCTAGTGTTGTTATTTATCAATATTAGACCAGTTTTTGTTTGTTTGACCAAAAACAAAAAAGAGTATTAACTAACATTAATTAACATTAAAAGGAGTATCAACTAACCTTCCATTTTTTGATGATATTGACTTGAAGTAAATCTAAACTTTTTTTCTTTTTTTGGTTTTAAAGTAAATCTAAACTTCGAGACTCATAAATGACTAATACCATAAAAGTACCATTAGCTCATCAAATAACCAATATAAATAAGACTGAATCATAATGGTAATAAGTTATCACTCAACATTTTCTTTTGGAAATCACTCTCTCTTCGTAACAGACATTTCGATAAGCATAAGAATGAAGAACGTAATGAACATCTTTGTCCTCTTTGTGTTCTTGGCGCTCCTTTCAGGTAAATATATATATTTTATATCAATGCTAAGATCCTTTTACTTTTTGCATAGTATTATTCTCACCGCTTTCATTAATTAATTTGTATGATTTGAAAAAGGGTTCTGACGTACGTAACAATCTATGGATATACTATACATACTCTGATTTACTAAATAATAACAGCAATCAACTTTTTTTTTTTTTTTAGGAATGACATTTTCAAGTATTGGAATGGTAGAAAGTCGAAGTTTAATGCAAGAAGAAATAATTATCGCGACTGCTCCGTATGGAGATGCTGAAATAACAACCGCGCCAGCTCCGTATGAAGATGATATTGGGTATCCAAATGAGTTTCCATGTGCTAAAGGATGCATTTGGACATGCAAAGTCTATTGTCAATGCGAATGTAAGCATCACTGAATCACCGATGTACTGTCTAGCTCATTCGATAAAACAATAATAAAAGTAAAATTATAAATAAACAACATAAATCAGGAGTCTATACGATTGCACAATCAAACAACAAAGTAAAAAAATACTAAGAGGAAGCATATTGATATTCAGTAACATAAACTATTTTAAAGTTGGTGTGGAAGCCCCTTAGCCTAGTGGTTGAAGGGATTTAATGCTAGTATACCATGAGGTTTGAGTTTCGAATCCCGGCGAATACGATTTAATAATGATTTATGCCAGATTATTGGAAACAAGCTTACAAGAGGTCTACAGAATGGTGCACGTGGAGCCGTCGGCTGGGAAGCCTTTGAAGATGATAGAATCATCGGTTATAGAATTGTCTTGTAATAGTTCTCATATTTGTGTAATAGATTTGTCAGTGTTAAAAAAAAAAAACTATTTTAAAAAAAAAAACTATTTTAAAGTTAGAAATCTTAATTATCATCAATCTTAAGAAAAAAATTATGAAGCGAAGGATGATGGCCCACATAAGTCGCACGTGGGTGACATACAGTAATTCGTCTTCTTCTGTTTTCTTCATCTCTCCCTCGAACACCATTGTTCTCTTCTTCAATCAACGTAAAGCTACAAACTTCCACGCGATCATTTCTCTGGCTCTCGGCTAATTCCCTGATTTTACACAATTTTTTTCTCACAGAAGCTCTCGATTTCTTTTGGGTACTTCTCTAATCGTCGGCTCCTAAGATTCTGTTCATTTCCCCGTCTCTGATTTCTCTAACAATTGATAGGATTCGTGCCCATAAAAAATCAACAATTTCAAGCTAAGTGTTTAGAATTTCCCCCTCTACCCGTAAATTCGAGTGCCATGGATATATATAAAGACAACTCGAGTATACATTTCGATCATTAATCCTTGTATCGAACTTCCACTGCGATTATTTAGTGTAAAATCTCAATGTTGATCTAGGAAGTAGGAACTGGATTTTTGACAGCTTCAATTCCATTGTTAAAGCTTTTCTGATGAATCATGAAACCCAATAAGAGTGTAGTTTAATCCTCACTGTTTGCTGAATTTGTTCTGATCTTGAAGCTTACGAGACTGATTTGGATCAATAACATATATTTCACTGGAAAAGTTTTAATCTTTGAATCATGTTTCCTGATTTTAAAATTTCCTGTTGTAGGAGGTTATGCTGTTCTTGGAGCCCTTCCGGTTTGTCATTGAATTCCATCTTCCATTACTAATACACTATGCTTCCTCCTCATTCTCAGGTCTAATTGATTCTCTTAATTGGATTATCATAAAGAGTTGAGAAGAGAATAATCACTAAAAAAAACCCTTTCTTGATTGATAAAAAATGACAGAGATCTTCAGTGACACAAGCGTCAGGCAGTTATCTCAGATGCTACTATCAATAACCATCTTCCACACATCGGAATACATCCTAGCCGTCGCCATTCACGGAGCATCAAGCGTAACTCCAAGCTCGCTTCTGATCAGCAAGCACTACGCTTTCGCAATGCTCGCCGCAGTAATCGAGTACCTAACCGAGACCATCCTCTTCCCGGAGCTGAAACGACACGTGTGGGTCAGCAACTTCGGACTTATAATGATCGTCGTCGGTGAAATCATCAGGAAAACAGCGATCATAACAGCTGGAAGATCGTTCACACACCTCATTAAAACCAACCACGAGGAGCATCACAAGCTTGTGACTCACGGTGTGTATAGAGTCATGAGGCATCCTAGTTACTGCGGGTTTCTCATCTGGTCGGTCGGGACACAGGTTATGCTCTGTAACCCCGTTTCAACAGCTGTGTTCACGGTTGTTGTGTGGCGGTTTTTCGCTAGGAGAATAGAGTACGAGGAGTGTTTTCTGAAGCAGTTTTTTGGAGAAGAGTATGTAGAATATGCAGAGAATGTTGCTTCTGGTATTCCATTTGTACACTGACAACACTTCTTGAATCATTTTCAACTAAAGTCAGAAAGTAGAAACAATGTCTTTGTTGAAAAGAGTTTTTGGTGATATACGGAACCCTCTAATTGAGACAGAAGGTCTTGACGTGGACAAAATTTTAACCACAGTGTTTGATTGTTTAAACGACACCTGTCACCGGTGATGCATAGCTCCGGTGAGCGAATTTGGGGGTTTGGGAAATTGAGTCGGAGACCATGTTGTGCGGAGGCTCTGGTGCCTCCGTGCATTTGTGGGACCATCGTCATCCTTTTACGCTTGGATTTGGATTTAATGGTGCTCAGCGATATTCATTCGTGCTCAGACCTTCTTTGGCTAGATTACAACAGCGGATGAAGTCTTCTTCGTCTAGGTCTCACTGCAAAACTCCAGGCCAAACCCCTGTTCCTCACGATTGTTTCAGGTTTTTGAATTGTTTGTTAATTTTTTCTATGCGTAGGTTGAATTCTGATTGTATGATGTGAATTTTCCTGATAAGTCGCATAACAGACCAAACAAGATATATATTTGTGTTACAGTGTTCTTCACTATGTCCTACTCGAAATCCTAAAAATTGGAGCTTTGCTAAATTAGCTGTCTGTATTTCTTCTTCCAAAGACAGGGAGAAGCTGATCCTGAGCTTCCAGTTGAAGGTCTTTCGCCAGTTGCAGGTATTTGATTACTTGTCTTCTTCATTTTGATTTTGATTCTGTGTTTCAGTTATGTTCCTACTCATTTGGCTATGCCCATCTTTATGCATTTGATTTTGCATTTGCAGGAGGCATTGTGGCTTTAGGGAAGTTTGATGCGCTGCATATAGGCCATAGAGAGCTTGCCATTCAAGCTGCAAGAATCGGTACGCCATATCTACTGTCATTTGTTGGAATGGCTGAAGTACTCGGCTGGAAACCTAGGTAACGTTTTATCAACTTAACAAATTGTGATTATACTGATCTTCTCTGCACTCTGCTGATAAAGTCTGGTTTTTTAATCTGTGCGTGTCCTCTGCAATGAGAAGAGCACCAATAGTAGCCAAATGTGATCGAAAACGTGTGCTTTCCTCTTGGTCCTCGTGTTGTGGGAACGTGGCACCAGTAGAGTTTGAGATAGAATTTGGCAGCGTTCGACATCTCAACCCACAACAGTTTGTGGAGAAACTGTCAAGAGAGCTCAGAGTCTCCGGAGTTGTGGCAGGCGAAAATTACCGGTTTGGATATAAAGCTTCTGGCGACTCCTCTGAGCTTGTGAGGTTATGCGAAGAGTATGGTCTCAGTGCTTACATCATCCACTCTGTGATGGATAAGAACCAAGTCTGTGGAACCGGAGAGATACAGGAGGACTCAAAGTCAAAAGAAAGAGGACAAGTGTCGTCCACAAGAGTCCGTCATGCTCTTGCTGCAGGAGATGTGAGCTATGTAAGAGAGCTTCTGGGGAGACCACACAGGCTTATCTCAAGAGTGAGAGTTCAAGACATAACGAGCAAAGGAAGGAGGATCTCGCTTGAGACATCGTCGCTGCTGAATTTACCACCAGGGAATGGAGTTTACAAAGCATGTTCGCTTATAGTTGGTGATGATGAGGATCATCCAGTTTCGTGTAAGGTTGTTGTGGATTCTTTGAATCTCCATATAGAAACAGAGGAAGTGCGTTTCCGTAACTCGGATGGGTCTCAAGAGTTTTTGCTCTTAGGCGTTGAGTTCGGTTGATTCACTCATTTGATAATCTAAAAGATTCACATTTCCCATTTCAAGATATAACAACGGTAACAAAATTGACAAAGATTTAATTTTGACGCCAAATACTGACTAAAAAGAGTTCCGAATATTGAAAAAGTTTTGAACTTTGAAGGGAATGCAACTTTTTCTCGTTTTATTATTGAAAATAGCGTTGAATAATGAGTGTATTTGAAAGCCAGCGTGATGGAGAATGAGAGGTGAGGAAAAAGACAAGCAAGCAAAAGTGGGAAGATAACAAACAATTATTGTCTCTCTTACCATCTCAAAGTTGTTGACTTTTCGTTGGTTGAGAGTGTCTCTTACTGACAAAACATTAACAAACCGCCATTGGAAGTGTTCAATGATAGAATCATTTAGGAAAAAAAGGAAGTGTTTAATGATAAGACGCATTTCCTTGTACGAAATGTTTAAAATTCCCTGAATTGCCCACCCGCCGAACATGGTCTGACTTCAGAGATGAGGATCTTTGCGTCATTTTCCCCAATATCTTTGTTGCTTTCCTTGTACCACACGATCGGTTAGGCTCATCAATAAATCAAGAAGAAGAAGAAGAAGAAGAAGATAGCAGCTGAGGCAAGAGAGAGAGAGAGAGAGAGAGAGTGATCAAATTAGATTGGGGTTTACATTTGATAGTAGCCCCTAAAGCCTAATTTCATTTTGTCTCTCTGATCATGGCGTCGGTCTGCGTTAACGATGCTTTGAGAGACGACGAGCTGAGATGGGTGTTGTCGAGGCTAGACAGCGACAAGGACAAGGAAGTGTTCGGTCTTGTCTGCAAGAGGTGGCTACATCTGCAGAGCACCGAGCGGAAGAAGCTGGCGGCGCGTGCTGGTCCACACATGCTCGGCCGTCTCGCCTCCAGGTTCACTCAGATCGTCGAATTGGACTTGTGTCAGTCAGTCTCCAGGTCCTTTTATCCAGGTGTCACTGATTCCGACCTCGCTGTCATCGCCGACGGATTCAAGTGCCTCAGACTTCTCAATCTCCACAACTGTAAAGGTACCTTTTTGGATTCAACAAGAAATACTTTCTTCTTTTAATCTATTTGGGTTGTGAGAAAAAGTTCTGATTATACTTGAAAGGACGAATCTTTGAGTATTAGATCTGCTCTCTGTTGCTTCTTATTAGGTTCTTGCTAAGTTCAGTGTTGTTTTGCCTTTGTGGATTAGTCTGTTAGTTTGAGAGAAACTATGACTAGAAATAGTAAGTTTTCAATGGATCCTTCCCTCATTGTATTGGTGTGGATGTTGTGTCTGAACTTCCTAGTGTCTCTATGAGCTTCTGTGTTGTCTTAAATGGTGGAACAATTCTGTGGACAGCTGGTTTCTGTTGAGACATCCTTAAGTGTTGTGAATTTGCGTAATGATGTTGATTTGTGGGAACAGGTATTACAGATACTGGATTGGCCTCAATTGGAAGGTGTCTTTCTCTACTTCAGTGTCTGGATGTATCATACTGCAGAAAGCTCTCAGATAAAGGACTATCAGCGGTTGCACAAGGCTGCCATGACCTAAGGGCATTGCATCTAGCCGGTTGTCGTTTCATCACCGACGAATCCCTGAAATCACTCGCTGAGAGATGCCGTGAGCTCGAAACTCTAGGGCTTCAAGGCTGCACCAACATAACTGATTCAGGGTTAGCTGATCTCGTGAAGGGATGCAGAAAGATCAAGACTTTGGATATCAACAAGTGCAGCAACGTAGGAGACGCTGGAGTCTCCAGCGTGGCGAGAGCTTGTGGATCTTCGCTCAAGACGATCAAGTTGCTGGACTGTTACAAAGTTGGGAACGAGTCTGTTTCGTCCCTGGCTGAGTTTTGCAAGAACTTGGAGACTCTGATCATCGGTGGATGCAGAGACATTTCTGACGAAGCTATTGTATTGCTGGCGGATTCTTGTAAGGACAGTCTCAAGAACCTGAGGATGGATTGGTGCTTGAATGTATCTGACTCTTCCCTTAGCTGCGTTTTGAAGCAGTGCAAGAACTTGGAGGCTCTTGATATCGGTTGCTGCGAAGAGGTCACTGATAATGCTTTTGGGGATCTGGGGAGCGAAGACAGTGTTTTGGCTCTGAAGGTTTTGAAGGTGAGCAACTGCCCGAAGATCACAGTGATAGGGATAGGCAAGCTTTTGGAGAAGTGCAGTTCCTTGGAGTATCTAGATGTAAGGTCTCTTCCACATGTGACTGAAGAAAGATGCAGTGAAGCTGGACTTGAGTTCCCTAAATGGTGTAAAGTTAACTTTTCTGGAAGTTTAACCGAGCCAGATGTTCTGCTTTGATCGTTGCTGTTGTGATGTCGTTACTTGGAGGAAAGATTGTCTGTCAAGAGTCAAGACATTCTGGTCTGCCCTAAACGCTATGTGATCTCTCTGTATCTCTTGCTTTCTCTGTCTCGTCTCTCGTGTATGGGGCACACTCATGGCTTATTGTCCATTAGTGAGCCCCCTCTCAAGCACTTGTACATTTTTGTGCACTAAATATTTGGTTGTGGCTCTTTTATTCTTCAGTTGCTTTTGGAAAGTGTGTGTAGTTTTGGTTGGCTCTGCTTCTCCAAAATTAAGAAAAGAAGAAATATGTTCGCCTAATCTCCTAATGGTTAGAACTTCGATCACGGTTTGGTTATGGATCAATCACCTCAAAAGTTAAATTATGTTCAAGACCTTGATACTATATAGTCAAGTGTCATGATGACTCACACAAATTCAATTGATACTACTATATAGATGTAGGTTTTGCTTTAAAACATGAGCGTACAAATTTTGGCTGTAGTTATTTTTTTCCACGAGCTGTAAAATTGTGTTGCTGATTTATTTATTTTAAAAAGGCTAAAATCATTTTAAAACCTTTAGAAGCAGAAGTGGGAGACTTAAACATATTTTTGAGATGGATTCTTGGTGTTCATCGACTGTCACTACTTGAAGATATTTCAGAGATGGATTCTTGGTGTTGAGACTCTGGTTCACTCCTTTGATCTTGCATAAAGGGATCGAGACTTTGTAGTGAACCCTGATGAGATCTCCTTGAGGAGAAGCCACCTTGATTGATCTCTCGCTGCAGAAAGCAATCTTCTTTGATGAGATGAAGAGTAATCCCGCGAGTTTTGGGCTCAACCGGCTTCTGAAATCCGTTGGGAAAGCATACAAAGTTTCAAAGATGATTCCTGTCTTACTCAAAATCGAATTGGTTCCTATAGGCAATATCTTGAATGATTTATTTGTGAATAGAAGCCCCGCGCTTTCAGATGTCGAGATGTACATTTTTCCAGGGGACAAGACTACAACGATGTACTCAAGCCTCAAGCCTGAAGCCTCCTTTTCCACAAGGTACTCGATCATGGCATTCCAGTTTTATGTCAGTGTGATCACAAAACTTACGGTTGTTGCAGGTATAAGGAGGAACATGCTCATCTATTTGAGGTCATGAAGAGTCCCAATGCCATGATCAGAATTAACATCAAGGACACACCATTGTTGATATTCTCTTCAAAACTACACTGTGACATGTCCTCCTAAACTAGTAAAGCCTAATTTTTTTTTTTTTTTGGTATTGTTTTTGGTTTAGGTTTTCCCTGGCTGGCTTGGAGAAGAATATATAACATCCGTTGTGTTGTTTGGGGCTTCGGTTAAAAGGCAAACACCCACCAGACTCAGATCTCTTCTCTGGATAACAGAAATGCTTCAGTACCAAAGTGAATTCTAAGGCCAAACCCTTTTTTTTTGTTTTTAAGTGTTGTCATTTGTTTCGGTCAAGTGAAAGTTTGTTATATCTTGAAAATCTGATCTCTTGAGAACTAACGGATATACTAGTGTGTCAGGTACAGAAGAAACAACGAGTTAAAAGATCATAGTTTGACTAAAATACTCTCTTTTTTTGTAACCTTCTGTATATTTTCATCCATTTGCTTGTGAGAGACAGTTTTTATTCTTTGGTCATAAGTTAGTTACAGAAAGTGAGAGCACTTCGTTGATTTTCGTTTTGAGCCACATTTAACGAATATTCTTCTTTCGTTTGCTTGTGTCTCCCTGCTACTCCTACTCTGTCTGTCAATCACACTGATGAGACATGAGAGAAACTATAACTTTAAAGTGGTTTTATTTAATTGAGTAAAAAATGGTACTGTATCATAGTATATTATTTGGAAGAATTTATTCGATAAACCAGTATGAGCTCATAATTAAGGTTTAATCTTTAAGACCGCTGCTATGATGACAAAAAGAGAGATCATTGGTCATTGGAATCGTTAAGATTACCAAATATAGTAACCTATGTGTTGCTCTCTACATGGATCGAGGGGACCAGTATATAAATTGAAAACTGTAATTTCATTACTTTATACTCTCTCCCTTTCATAATATGATATCTTATGATTTTCTCTTATTCATGTTTTAGAAAATTTTAAGGTACTTTTACAAAATTTCAAGAAATTTTAATTAAAAGTAATTGAATTTTTAACTTTCTATTGGTTAATATTTATTAAAATGTGGTTTGTTTTTAAAAAAGTAATACATTAATTGTTAAACAGTTAATGTTTTTTAATAAGTGTGTAAATTCTATAACATCCTATATTTTGGAACACATGAAGTATATTTTAATAAAGATAACTTGCAAAAAAAAGATGGACTCACAGTCACAACTCAAAAGAAGATTTAAGTCACAACTCAAAAGAATATTTATACGCAGAGAAAAAAAAAAGACTTTTGTACTCTCAAGTAAATATTAGCCGTTGATAAGTAACACCAATGCGAAACTGTGAGTCGCAAGAGTCGTCGTCTTTTCAAAGTCGCAAGTCAAAAGATTTTTTTTGCCACCAATAGCCACGGAGAGTATGACACAATTGAATTAGCCGAGGAAATTTGGCTCATGAAATCAATTGACACAGTTGATTTCCTGTTGATTTTGGTTTTGGTCCTTATTTTGCAGAAAAGCAGAGCATAGAAGAGACTTGACAACAGTCAACAAAGAATCGGCTTTGGAAAGGAGATCTCTTATTATCGCATCTGTACTTTTATTCGTCTTGTCGAATAACACGCCAAGTTCTTTAAGCACTTGTACATTTTGTGGGCATGCATTAAGTATTTGGCTGTGGCTTCTTGATTATTCTTTGAGTTGCTTTGCAAATGTTTGTAGTTTTTATGTGCTTCTCTTGAAAGAGTATAATAAGATTGATCTGAATGTTTTGAGATCAAGATTATGAAATGGTCTCATGTTTTCATTTCATATATTTGATGCATCCAATAGCACTTATTTTGACATGTTTTGGTTAAAAAAAGGACTATTTATTTTAACGTTTGGATAGACATTACAAGAAAAACCAACTACATTATTTAAAGGATTCATAGATAAGAATTTATCTTAGCTTGGATTTGGTTTTAAACTTTATATATTTTAGTTCATAAACATTAATGGAATAAATGTCTCTATTGAGATTTGTGTTTTTTTGGCCATTTTCCCCAATTTTTTTTTACTTATTTATTTGCATCTCGTAGATGCTTTTAATTTTTGTTTTTTCGGGTATATATTTTTTTATGAAATGGTCTTAGGCATTAATTCATTTAACGCAACGATGGCATTTTTTTTTCTGTCAAATGTTTCTTGATTTGTCATGTTCTTGGCGCACGAGGGACTGTGAATAAGGAAATTAAACAGCAACAGATGAGATCAGCTAAAGAACATTCAGTCTCTTGCTCTTGTCAACAATGGATAACAAATACAAAAGGGTTAAAGCAAAATAAATAAATGAGTTTGTACAATATTGTCCGTCTTTTCTAGGCTCTCTCCTAAACATTCTCTGATTGAAATTAGGTTAAAGTAGAAATGAAATATTTCCTCTTCAACCTTTGGCTTGTCATTGCTCAAAAATCAGAGAAAGCTTTCTGGTAGCTCAAGAACCCCATGAATCAGAAGTCAAAGTCATCGACCGTGGCTAATTAAAGATTTTCCTGATGCACAGATTATCACGCGGTATGATGTTAGATTCCGACAAGCTTTTTTAACCCACCGATAGGCCCATGGAATAATAGCCCAAAACTCTGTTCCCGGCATAATCTAAACGTTCTTCGTGATAATATATATATATATATATATATATATATAAAAATAAGAATTTGATGTAGTCATGTAGATATAATAATTTGTTGAAACCCTAACCACAGTAACCTAAACTCAGTAATCAATATGTTGTTCCTTCCTACGGTAAGCTCGGTTCCTACAGTCGCCAGGTACTGCACTTCCTCGAGCACTCCGGTTTCTCGATTCCTCTCTTCTTCTCCTTCCCTTAGTCTCCGTTCCTTGAACATTTTACTGCCAACGTTATCCCTAGCCGCTAGAAATGAGTCCCGCGGGTTTTCGTCTAACCACGCCTCCACCATATGTCACTACTCTTCTTCTGTGTCAGAACAAGAAAACACGAGCCCTTTACGTTTTGATGCGGCCATAGAGTCACTGGTCCAGATCTTCCACTTCTCTAAGCCAAAACATCCTCTTCAACCCTGGGACAAGAGTGAAGACTGGGAAAAAAGAGAGATCGACCATGGTACTTATAAATCATCTAATCTCTCTCTCGCTCTCTCCTACATATGAGTGACTTGTTTATCTTATTTTGCACTTTTCTTAAGGATTTGCAATCTCCGGAAGGAGGATTCTTGTGGACTCTCGTACCGTGTATGATCATACATCCTTGCGAGTGAGAAAGTTTGGCTCAGACACTTCCTACAAAGCAAAAGTTGAAGCGGTTGTGCATGAATATGGTTTGGCTACCTTAGTTGTTGATAGCGAAGAGTTTTGGGAGCATACGCATGCTTTGGAGTTCGGTGACGACATACCCTCTGTAGGCGAAACTGTCTTCGTTTTCAATTATGGTACATCCTTATTACAATTGAAAGATTTTAGCGATACTAATAAGAATGACTAATGAGTTATGTTATGCTATGCTGTCAAATGCAGTTGGTGACACCATTAAGCTTGCACAAGAGACCGTAACTTCAGTTGAACCTAGAGAATATTTCGACGGCACCAACAAACTGTTGGCGATAGAAATCAATAATGGCAGTTTCTACGGTTGCTCCCATAGTGGTCTGGTGGTTATGGGAAACAAGATCGTTGGTTTATATCCTGGGGTGCATAGTTACATAATCCCAACTCCAGTGATTAAGCGTTTTCTAAATGGTCTTGAGGATGTTCAACACATTGATGGCTTGGGTTCGCTGGATATATGGCACCAAACCATGGAGGATGCTCAACTACGTAGACATTTTAAAATGAGTCGTGACATGACAGGTGTTCTTATAACCAAAATAGATCCACTGTCGAATGCTCTCAAGGTTCTGAAAGAACACGATGTCTTACTTGCAATTGAAGGCTTACCTGTGAGTAATGATGGACAAGGTAAACAGTTACATATATATATATATATATATATATTGTTGAATATCTTCTTCTCCATGTATGTTGATGAATTTTTATTATAATATATATTCTTCTTGCAGTTCATTTTCGGGGAAAAGAATGGCTCCATTTTACTGACATGGTTTCTAAGAAGAAACCTGGTGAAACAGCTTTTGTTAAAATCCTAAGAGATGGAAAAGAGCATGTGTTTGATGTCAGTTTAAACTTCACCGTAAGTCGTTTTTTTTTTTTCCTTTTTTAGTGACAGATTTGTTTGTTAATTATTATTTTTTACGTGACTTGTTTGCTGGTAGTTCAGTAAATGCCCCTTTATTTCTCGTTTCCTTGTTGGGTTCACATTTTTTTATATATATCAAATCGTTAATTTTTTCTACGTGCGTCTGTTATACGTACAGGAACAGCAGCTGATTCCGGAAAAGTTCATTCCAAGCTATTACATACTTTGCCGGTTTTGTCTTTGTGCCTCTTTCTAAGCCTTACGTTGATGAATCAAATGTCATATGGGACAGTGCATTAAACAGAATGGCCACTAAGGCCGGTGAACAGATTGTCATAATTTATCAGGTTTGTCGTTAATTTCTTTCATCAACTAATCTTGTTAAACCTAAAAGTTTTTTACCGATTTTTTTTTTTTTTTTTCTAAAAGCAAAAATGGAAAAAAGGAAAACAATAGTGGTAAGTTCGGGTCTTGAGTTGTTAATAAGCTCGGCGTAGCTGACTGATACACGATCAAGTATTGAAGTTGGCGTCTTTTCATTGAATCAAGAGATGCATTTAAGAACCCTAGATAGATCAGGGACTTGTTTTGAATCAAAAAACTATAATGAATAAGCCTATATAGATTAGGGATTCATTGTGTGCTAGCAATAATTTCAAATATATGTAAATAACACTGTCTTCTTCATTAGATTAGCATAAGAATTATAATTTTTTTTTGATCTTTTTGGGTGTAGGTGTTGTCGGATGACATCAACAAGGAATATTCTCATTTCAAAGATTACGAGGTAAGTCATTTGTATTTTGCCTATTTTTAAAGTGAAGGCTGATTCTTATAATGAAACGAATCATAATTACTATATGTCCACGCTACATGTGTGTGTCTTGAGAATCAGCACTTACATGTTTTTACTGAAAATCTGATCCAATTGTTTTGTGGTTCAAAAAAGAAAAGCGATAATGTGTGTGGTGTATAACAGGTGAAGAAAGTGAACGGAGTGGAAGTGGTGAATTTGAAGCATCTAAGTGAGCTCGTAGAAAAATGTTGCACCGAGGATTTGAGGTTTGACTTAGAAGAGGGACATGTTATTGTTTTGAACAACTTATCTGCTAAGGAAGCAACTCCGTTGATCTTGGAACGTCACGGAATACCATCAGCCATCTCCATTGACCTCCAGTAAACAATTATGGCTTGGCGTCTTCTGCTCTAAGTTTTTATTTTATTTTAATGTTTACCAGATTGTTAAGATTTTCATTTAGCACATCAAACTAATATCTATGCAATCTCATTTAGCCTTTTGATTTGCTTTTATTGTATGGAAGGAGACTGCTCATTCTTTAATTTCTCTTTGTTGAGGAAGATTGATTTAAATGTTTTGAGATCAAGATTATGAAATGGTCTCATGTGGTAATCATTTCATTTGATGCATCCAATGGCACTTATGTTGACATTTTTTGGTGCAAAAGAGAACTCTAATATAAGGAAAACACATGGATCATCTAGATATATTCATCTCTTGCTCGTGTCTACAATGCTAGACAGTTGAAAGCTTTCTGGTAGCTCAAGAATCCCATGAACCAGAAGTCGAAGTCATCCAATGTGACTACTTGAAGATATTTCTGAGATGGATTCTTGGTGTTCAGACTCTGGTTCACTCCTTTGATCTTGCATAAAGGGATCGACACTTTGTAGTGAACCCTGATGAGATCTCCTTGAGGAGAAGCCACCTTGATTGATCTCTCGCTGCAGAAAGCAATCTTCTTTGATGAGATGAAAAGTAAGCCCGCGATGGGACCTGCGGTTGTTGATAGGTAACATTGGTACGCCTTGAAGAGTTTCTCTTCATCGCAGACTTTAAAGAGTTTTTGATAGATCTTCTCTAAGCCTCCCATTTGGAGGATCCTAGCTCCCAATGATAGCTTTCTCTTTACTTTTTCGGTTAGCTTTGGTCCTAACTTGGCTTGGTCTCTATCTCCATGTGTGAAGCCATCCGTTTTCTTCTTTTGCAGAGTCATTTTTGCTTTGCCTGTTAACAAAAGAAGACCATTCTTGTTAGCTTCCATAGACTTTAAAGAGTTTTTGATAGATCTTCTCTAAGCCTCCCATTTGGAGGATCCTAGCTCCCAATGATAGCTTTCTCTTTACTTTTTCGGTTAGCTTTGGTCCTAACTTGGCTTGGTCTCTATCTCCATGTGTGAAGCCATCCGTTTTCTTCTTTTGCAGAGTCATTTTTGCTTTGCCTGTTAACAAAAGAAGACCATTCTTGTTAGCTTCCATATAAATTTTAAGGAAAAATAAGACTAGCTAGCTATGGAGAGAAATGTGTAAAGATACTAACTTTGTTGTTCAGATTTCTTGGAAGAAGTTGGGATTTGGAGCTTGTTGATGGAAGATGGGTCTGGCAAGTAACCTGCTGGAGCAGTCTTGACCGCAGGAAACGCAAGAACTTGTTGGTGAAGTCTGCTCAGTGTCATCTTGGAGGATTGAGTAGTGATCTTGAGAGAAAGAGAGAGAGATTGTGAGTGGTGGTGAATGGTGATGATGAGACCGTGTGGTGGGAAGGATATTTAAAGGGAAAAACAAAGAGACAATAGTTAGTTGAAACAAAGCTTTGAATCTTTGAGACTTGAGACCTTTGTGGGTAATGGATGAGTCATGGATGGGTCATCAAGTCACAGAGATAAAGCTACTTTCTTTGGGGTTAAAAGCAATGAGAAGAAGATCTAGCATATGCACTGTTTTGCTTTTCTTGCAAGAAATACATAAAATAAAGGTTTTACAACTACCTAATCCGTGTTAGGAAACAATTTTGTAAAGCAATTCCATCAACTGTTGAAATGTGTCAGTTCATGTTTTGCTTTCCAAATAACAAAAACAACTCAGGAGTGCTGAGAGTGTGAATAAGGAAACAATTTGTAGGGTAATTTTAAAATTTAGAAGAAATTAACATATTGGTGATCCATATCGACTTAAATATCAAATCGCATTATAAAAGTTAAAATATCAGATATTAGAGGCCAAAAAGAAAAAAAAGTTAAACGAACAAAAAAGTAAGAAAGAAAGAAAGATTATCACACCGGTATGACGTTAGATTCCGACAAGCTTTTTTGACATACAAGTTGGCCAAACATCAAGCTTTATGATTTTAATTTATTGTTCTCCCTTTTTTAGCCTGATTTTTATTTTTATATTTAACAGATATCTAATTATGTGTAGAAGATGCGATGTGTTTCCTAATTAACTGGAACATGCATGAAACAAGAAAAAATCAAATCAAATATTACGTAATGCTTTTTGAATCGGTGAGAGCAAATTGAGTCACGCAGAAGAAGACGTCGTCGTGGCTTTGGAGGCTTTCTGCGTTGGCATTGTGACTTTTTATGATGCCTTCATTTCCTTAATTAATTTCATGTTAAGATAACAAATACTGTAAATATTTGGGCTCACTAAGTAACTAGTATAACTTTGTTGTATCTTTTTCCCCACGTTTACTCTGAATTACTGACATGAAAAGTGCTATATATAGGGGGGCCTATGATAAACTTTGCATTTTGCACATAAAAAAAGGATAAACTTTTCATTGCCAAGGAACACATTTGTTCGTAGAGTTTTGGAATGTCAAATAGATTCCTCGAGAACTTATTTCGATTTTGATTTAGGAAGAGTTATTAAATATTTTGCTATGTACCGTTATCCATTACTAGATGTCGATATATTATTTACCAATTATACCGTTTCCATAGACACTACAAGAAAAACTAACTACATTATTAATTTAACGGATTTACCCTAGTTTTGGCCTTGGAATTGGTTTTAAACTTTATAGTAATTCTTAGCTCATAAAAAAATAATAAAATAAATGTCTCTATTAAGATTTTTTTTTTTTTTTTTTTTTTGGGGAATTTGTTTCCCAAAATCTTTTTACTTGTTCAATAGCATTTCCTAGATGGTTTTAGTTTTGTGGAACAAATGATTGACAGGTAACAGCGACTAAATTTGGATTTTTTTTGGTATATTTTGAAGAGAAAAAAAATCGACAAGTGACAAAGTTGGAGATTTAATTTTTCTTCAGAGAAATGACCAAATTTAAATGTTGACAAAAAAAAATTAAATGAGCAAATTTAAATTTAAAAGGCAGATTTAAGCAAGTTGATGAAGATTATGAAACGGTCTTATGCATTAAGCCATTTAAAGCATCCCATGGCACTTTTTCGGTCAAATATTTCTTCATTTGACATGTTCTTAGTGCACAGTAACAAACGAGATCAGCTAAATAATATTCAATCTCTTGCTCTTGTCAACAATGGATAACAAATACAAAAGGGTTAAACAAAAATAAATAAATGAGTTTGTACAACATTGTCCGTCTTTTCTAGGCGCTCTCCTAAACATTCTCTGACTGAAAATTAGGTTAAAGTAGAAATGAAATATTTCCTCTTCAACCTTTGGCTTGTCATTGCTCAAAGCTCAGAGAAAGCGCTTGCTCGAGGCAGTTGAAAGCTTTCTGGTAGCTCAAGAACCCCATGAACCAGAAGTCAAAGTCATCCACTGTGACTACTTGAAGGTATTTCTGAGAAGGGTTCTTCGTGTTCAAACTCTGGTTCACTCCCTTGATCTTGCATAAAGGGATTGAGACTTTGTAGTGAACCCTGATGAGATCTCCCTGAGGAGAAGCCACCTTGATGGATCTCTCGCTGCAGAAAGCAATCTTCTTTGATGAGATGAAGAGTAAACCCGCGATGGGACCTGCGGTTGTTGATAGGTAACACTGGTACGCCTTGAACAGTTTCTCTTCATCGCAGACCTTGAAGAGTCGCTTATAGATCTTCTCTAAGCCTCCCATCTGAAGGATCCTAGCTCCCAATGATAGCTTTCTCTTTACTTTTTCGGTTAGCTTTGGTCCTAACTTGGCCTGATCTCTAGCTCCATTTGTGAAGCTATCGCTTTTCTTCTTTCTCAGAATCGATTTTCCTTTGCCTGTTAAGAAAGAAAAACATTCCTGTTAGCATCCATGTAATTTACAAGGAAAAAAGACACTAGCTATGGGGACAAAAGTGTAAGGATACTAACTTTGTTGTTCAGATTTCTTGGAAGGAGTTGGGATTTGGAGCTTGTTGATGGAAGCTGGGTCTGGCAAGTAACCCACTGGAGCAGTCTTGACCGCAGGAAACGCAAGAACTTGTTGGTGAACTCTGCTCAATGTCATCTTGGAAGATTGAGTAGTGATACTGATTCTTGATCTTGTGAGAGAGAGAAGAGAGAGAGAGGAGATTTGTGAGTGATGGTGATGATGAAACCGTGTGGTGGGAAGGTTATTTAAAGGGGAAAGACAAAGAGACAAGAGGCAGTTGAAACAAAGCTTTGAATCGTTGAGACTTGAGACCTTTGTGGTAAAGGATGAGTCATGGATGGGTCATCAATACACAAATAAAGCCACTTTTTGGGGTTAAAGGCAATAAGAAGATCAAGCATATGCTCTGTTTTGCTTTTTTGAGAAAAATAACCATATACAAGTTGAAGGACAAATAAATAGATACATATATAAAAGTTTTGCAACTACCCAATTCATGCAAGGACACACAGTCGGTAAAGTAATTTCAAGAACTGACGAAATGTTTTAGGTTCTTGTTTTCGATATCCAAATAACCAAACATATAAAGGAGTGCAAAAGGGATCTATGGATCTTCTTCAAATTCTCTTTAAATTAAGGGCTTGAATTTACAAGATGCCATTTGCAATGTGTTGATCCTTTGATCGCCTTAGAATATCAAACCACATTTTGAAGTTTTGTTATTAGAGGTGCCCAAAAACGTTATAAGAAAAGAAAGATGATCACACGGAATGACGTTAGTCTCCGATAAGCTTTTTTTACCTACAAGTTGGCAAAATAGCAAGCTTTTTTACCTTTCTTTTCTTCGCTTTTTTAGCCTGATATTTTTCTTTCCACACATATCTTATATATGTAGGAGATAAGATATGTTTCCTAATTAACTGGAACATGAAAGATAAAATAAAATCAAAATGTTACGTAACACTTTTTAAATAGGTGAGAGCAATTTGAGTCATGCAGAAGGGGACGTCGTGGCTTTGGAACTTTCTGAGTTGGCATTGTGACTTTCCGATGTCTTTATTTCTTTAATTTCATGCTAAGATAAGAAAGATCGGTTATAATTGATTTATTTTATATACAAAAGCATAAAAGATGCAATAAAATAGTTAAATAAAAACACAAAAAGAAGATCCATTTCAAATGGATCCCACCATATATTATTATACATATGTTATTTCATCAATTCGTCACCCATGTGATATTCACATGGTGTACATATTACATATATAGTTAAATGAATGTATATTTGATTTAGAACAAATATTTATATAATACATGATAAAATTTAGTGGACTTTGTATTTAGCTATAGATGATTATAAATAGGTACATGAATTTCGAAAAGCATAAAGGTGGAAGATTAGTTAGTTGTTAAGACATGAATGATTCGGTTGTTGTTATTGTGAAATTAAATTCCAAGAAAGAATATATGTCACAACGACATCTAAGATGCTTACATATACTATTTTTGTTTGAAGTGGCCAAGTGGGTAGTGTTGATTCTACCAAACCCTGGATAATAATAAACTAGGGTTTGACCCGCGCCCTGCACGGAGTGATGGTTTCTGAATTTATATTTTATTAAAAGATGTTTTTTTGGTAATTTATTAAAAGATATTTATTTAAATATCCCAAAATTTTATGCGACGGATTTTTAATCTTTGTTAGATTATTGCCCTCGTTTATTCGTTTATAATATGAAAATTAAGCATTTTAAACTATTTTTTAAAAAGGTAAATAGATTAAAGCCATATATTAAATATGATAGATTTAAGCGAGATACATGAAACTCAAATGACTACAGTATAATAAGTTAGTTTAAAGAACAAAAAAGTGAAAATAAAACATTATTCTTTACAAAAATGTATACTGTATTTCATAAAATAAGAAGTCTTAGCTGTGTGCACACGGATTAGAATTATTATTTTTTTTTCTTTTAAAACTAAAACACGGATTAAAATCAATTTTTTTTCTTTCTTTCAAAACTAAAACATGGATTAGAACTATTTTTTTCTTTTCTTTCAAAACTAAAACATGCTTTATTATAATTTCAAAACAATTCAACCAATAAGAAGACAATATGCATGATCTAAATTGTTAAAATAACAAAAATATAATTAACTTTATATTGAAAGTTGAAACAGATGGAATAATATTCAAATTTTTAATCAAAAAATTTATAAAATAATTTTATTCAATTTTATTATAGAATTTAATTAAAACCATATTAAATAGAATAAAAATAATAATTTACTTTAAATACCTACTAAATGAGGTTATATACTAAACAATTTACATTATTTTGTTTTTAAAAATTCAAATCATAGCATATACAGAAAAAGCTTTAGATTTTCTTTATTAGTTTTTTTATATTGTGATTCGTATTATTTCATAAAATAAAGTTGAACAAAGATGATAGGAGATATATAATGATTTTTAAAAAATATTATGATAGAATTCAATTGAATTTCATATCTTCCTTATTTACTTATTTTCGTAATTGTCAATTAAGGAAAGAAAATAATAATAAAGGGATGGTAAGCATAATATGCAATGGCACAATTTGTAATTTCTCTAGTAAAGCTTGTCTTAATTAGAAATTGGGCTGAGAATGAACCTGGTGATGACACATCAGCAGTGACACTCTTGTTAATAACACAATGGACAAAGGTTATTTAGTTAGTGTTTTCTCTTTTAATATATTAGGGATGTGTAGTGATCAATTTGAGTAAGATTGGATTAAATAGTACTCCCTCTGTTTCAGTTTATAAGGGGTTTTAGGTTTTTTCATAATAATTAAGGAAGCAACTAAAATACCTCTTATAACCTCATCTTCTATTACTTATTTCAATATTATACCACTAAAAAGTTTTCTCCACATTGAATAAGGGAAGGGTAAAAATGTGAAGTAGTGACAATTTTAGTCTAGATTATCGTGAGAGACAATTATTCTGCAACAAATTTTTTTTCCTAAAACCCCTTATAAACTGAAACAGAGGGAGTACTATGTTTTATCCCATTAATGAGTCGTTGTAGCCGCAAATGTGTACATCAAATGATCAACGGTGATATTCATGTTCGAATCTACACGCGATATTTCTCATGTTCCACTTTCATAGTGGGGAGATCATATAAATATCGTCAAAATAAATCAAATGATATGTGGCTTCTGGCTAGGGTAGGTCATACCTAACAAACTGTGTTATAGTTATAGAGTGATTAAGCTAAACAGCTTCCAGTGTTATGCTTATGCTATATTGGTAGTTTATGCTTGTTAATGATGAAGGAGAGTTAGTGTGCATTGATTGTATGTCCCGAATTAATGTACTAACTATTGTATTAATCAGCCGTCAGTAGTCATAAACGTAATTTCAGTATATGTAAGTATGATTCTTTTGGTGAAGGATACGTAATGTAGACATGTAGGTGACTGGTTTAAACAATGGTATGCAGAATGACATCGTAACGTCATCACTCTTTAAGTATTAGTAGTTGAAATTCCATAATTTTATATTATCTGAATTTATCGGTCAACGTTTTATTTGGATTACCTTAAGCATCACTGTGTATTCTCTAATGATCATGGGAATCATCAGTTATATATACATATGTAAACCATATTAATGGTTTCTACTTTCTACCGTCGCTGCCATTGAAGCAATATTGTAATGTTCACTTTATTCGGGGCCATGTCCTTTTAGTCGGATAAGATATTTTGATTATAATATACGAGCAATATTGAATCTGTATGTCGACACGTAATTATGAGTCAAAAAACGTTTGTAGGGAGACGGTTTATTGGTCAAAGAAAAGTTACAAAGTGGAAAAAAAGTAGAGTCCATAAACAGGACATGACGGGGTCACATTCAAAAGATGTAATTAAATAGTTTATCCTCTGTAATCGTTAGTATTTTGATTTCTGACGTTTGTGATGTCGTTTGACGCTAACAAAAAAGTTTTTTTTTAATTAAAGTGAAATTAGAAAAAGAAAACCAAAAAAGGTAAGAAATGTGACGTGAGACAATTTGCCTTAGCCTAAAAGAAATATTTGGTAATTGGAGGATTCCAGGCTTTTCCAGCCATCTAAAATGGGTTGGCCTTGCCATGCATGCACTCTGCCACTCTCTTCTTTGCATCGTCATTTCCACGTAGATTTTCTTAATTAGCTAAATTGAACAAATTATAACAACATAAACAAAAAAATAAAACATATATATAGAAGTATACAACAATACCATACAGTGTATAGTCAGTATATGTAAATTATTTTTCGTATCTATCGTAAATATCTCATATACATCAGAGGACAGAGCAGAAGAGAAAGATAAATAAGATGTATACGTAATTCTTAAAAAGAGGAATATAGCATTAATGAGGTACATTTTGAAGATAATTTGGAATAGATGCTATCTGCTGTTGCTCTATTTGGTAATTTTTTGGAGTGCTAAAAATTGACAGCTTTCCAGATACATTAATCTTCATTATAATTTTTTGAAAAAGCTAATAACACTCTCATATAAAGATATGAAAAAAAATAACATCTGCATAACAAAAAAGTTGAAAGGACAATTTGAAAAAATCGGAAATATAGTGAACCGGTTCACAAATTAAACTGAACTGTGGCTTAATATAAGTTTAGACACATGAAATGTACGTACCAGACAAAAAAGTCCATATAGATACGAAATAAAACAAAATTATACACCAACCATGTGTCATCAGATACCATGAAACGTAAGAGTTCATGCTAAAAGGAAATATAAAAATTATTTTTAGTCAATTTTTTTGTTGTGGTAGTTTTTCATTAGGATAGAAATTTGATAACTTCCATTCTTGAAATTATATTTTAAGTATTTGACAGCTCACATATTGTAATTTCTTCTATTATAATTAGAATATAATGACAAATAGGAAAAATATCAAAAAGGAAACGTATAAAAACAAACAGAATTCGGGCAACACTGGCTGTAATAATGTGATATTAACTGGATGACCGGTATTTAATTCATTTGGCAAACTTGAAATTAAATGAAAAACGCTAATCAATTAATTTCTCATGATTTTTTTTTTCACTTCTCTCTTCATAGATTCTTATCTACTTAGTTGTCACATTTCTCATACTCCATTTTTTCACCTATAAGAGTCAGAAATCATTTTGTTTTATCAGTCATAAATCACCATTTCTTGGTTTTGTTTTTCATTTTTTTTTCCCAAAGATTCTTTTTCATCACTAATACTTATTTGGTGGGAAGAAGATGTACTCCATCGGTAAATCTAACTACGATAACATCCTCGGATGGACTGCTCCTCGTGTCGCTGTTCATTATCATACTCAGGTAACGTTTTATTCATCCACTTGTTTTTTTAAATAGTCAAAAAGTCCCACGTGAATTGTAACGAGAAAAGGTAAAATTTGGTTGATTCCACTCGAGAGAATTCTAAACAATTAGTAAAAGCATAAAATCTGAAAATCATCATCCATATTCCATCGGGTTCACTTTTTCTCTCTTCTATAATCCCATTTCAGCATTTCGAACTGGTCTGAAATTATCTTCAAAATTAAGCTAAACTAGAACTGAAATCAATCGCGATTTAAAATAATACGATGGTTAATTTATAAAAACTGAAACAATAGGAGGGCTTCTTAAGAAAAAAAAAAAAAATACGGGTTTTTTTTTACCAACCCGGTTTACCAATCCGAATTAGATGTTAAACCGAAATCAAAATATCTGCAGGGACCCACAAGCGTACCGTCGTCGTCTTCGTCTTCGTCTTCAGTGGTAGCTGAAGCAAAAGTAGTGACAAGGCCTCGAATAGCCCTCAGTGCTATCTGGGATGCGTATGAAAAATGGAGCTGTTATACTCGCGGAGTTCCTCTGTCATTGGGTAACGAGGAGGAGGTTACCCAGTACTATTGTCCTACACTCTCCGCCATGCAGATCTTCACCATCAAACCCTTCGCTGGTGATTCTTCTCCAAGGTTTGGTTTTTAATTCTCGATTTCATCTTGTTGAGGTCTTGAGAGTCAATTTGTGTGCTCAAATTACAATCATATCAACTGTTGCTTTGAAGTTAATCGCTTCTTCTTCTGTTTGTTGTTCTGAATGTAGGAGCTCGGAGATGAGGTCTGATGACTTGGGCTACTTATATTGCGAACAAAACGAGATATTGAAACCCTTTGACAGGCCTCCTCTTCACTACACGGTATCTTAATTATTATACGTTTCTTGTGTGTTCCATATTGATTTTTCTGTTGGATTTGGGATACTCCAATTATGTGCAAAGTTAACTTTTTTATTCTTGCATGGAAATTTTGTAGATTTCTCAGCTAGCTAAGGAGTACAAGGGGCTGTCTACGCTCACGAGTTCGGATCTTTCTCCGAAGAGCTGGATCTCCGTTTGTTGGTATGCGAGATTTCTCTTATGTTGCCAAGTGATTAGCTAATTCCTCGTTATGATATGACTATAGTATTGAATATTTGAATTGTGTTTGATTGGAACTATTTTAGGTATCCTGTTTATCCAATTCCATCAGCGGGAATCAAGAAAGACTGGTCTGCCGCTTTCCTAACGTTCCATTATCTGAAGCCCAATTTTCCAGGTACTTGGGTCCTTCATATAGTTCCGGTGCTTTGTTCTTGTTAAAGTCATATGCTGCTTTAACAAAGGTTGATTCCTGATAGTTATCCACTGATTCTCATATCCCGAAACCATCTTTGTATCACTAATATAGTATGCAGTATGATCGATATTCAGATAGGACTTTGTGGTGGTTAATTTACTGAGATTGATTCATTTATACTAGTATCTTGATCATTGGAGAATTAAAGGGTTTATGATTGTGTTTTCCTATTTTGAGTTACTTTATTTAATAGGCTCTTGAAGAGCAGTAGGGGTTATGCTTTAACTTGAGGAATAGGGTTTGTGCCTATCACAGTGTCCCTTGGACATAGAGAAGAAGTTTTATTTTACCTTGTGGAGTAAAAGAGAAGGAGAAGTTGCAGCTCTTTGTAGCCACTCTTTTCTTTTGACAAGTCTTGTCTTCAGTTTCTAAACAAGTCACTTGCGTCCTTTAAGCCAATAGGAAGCGATGAATGAGCTTTGATTCTATTATTTTCCTAGAGCATAATCAGTTTTGTGATTGTTTTGGTTTTAATAACAAGTGTTTGACTGAGTACATTTTCCGGTTTCTTACATTATTATCTTCTTAGATGTAATTCTAAACTAGCTTAAACTGTTTTTTTTTGTGGTTATTCTCAGAAACAGATGGTGAAGCTGAGAAGGTGAATGAACAAGGAGTGTCGCGTAGGAGAGAAGTTGTGCTTCGTCCATTTGCAGCAGCGACTTACAAGGCCTATGCTAAAGTGTGGACCATGCCTGGGACATCAGTTGATGAGAGGTTAGAGTCGCATGAAGCTGATGCTACCTCGTATTTGCAGGATCGCCGTTTCTATCACAACGATTTAGGCTTCGTGAGGTACCAGAACTATCAATTTGCTGCCAAGCAACAACGGTGATGTGGTTTTGCTGCTAAATTGGCAAGCCTGTTTCTTGTCATTCATCTTAAAACATTCTTCTGTTTAAGATAAGCCTTGTACTCTCTCTCTCTCTCTCTCTGGCAAATCTCTGACTTTGATCCTTAGTTTTGCTTCTGCTGTTATTACTTTTAAGACTTTTGAGGGTTTTTTGTTTTTTTTTTCTTTAAATTTTGAAGAAGACTAGCTATTATTTTGGCTCTATTTTTATAAGATTTATATCTCTTTATCACCAAATCATTTGTTTGATGGCCAAACGGAGTTACGGAGGAATGATTCTCATTTCTCAAGTATTAATTCAGTAATATGTTAAACAACTCCACAAGATCTAAAGAAATGTAATATCATTCTTTGGAGTGTCTAGATATAGCTCCAAATTACGATACAGCTTTAAATGATCTCTTTAGCCAATTATGCTTGGATTTATGACGAAACGAGTTTATGCGACTCATATTTCCGAATAAACCTGAATCTTTACTTTTAAAAAAAAATGAAATTCTACATCTGCATGATAATATCAAATCAAAAGCATGTCTAGAAACAGAGAGAAATGCGTACGAAAGAGAAATTTTTAAAAGAGTGTCATTTCTTCTTCTTCTTGCTGTCTTCGGCTCTAATGAGCTGAACCGGAGCTGCTGGTACCCTAAACCACCATTCTCTGACCCGCCTCTCTAACCGGTCACTACTCGCTTTCCTCCACCCAACTTCCCTCGTGAACCACTCTACAAACGTTATCGTTATCAAGTACTTCACCGGAACAACCGCCAATATAATCGCCACTATTACAAGCGATATAGCCGATGTATCTGTAGCCTGATTACACATTAGAAGAGAAACAAAGCGTTATATAAACCTCAGACATCGTTTTATCTAAACTCTTAAGCACCATCGTGTTTTGAGAACATTATACCTGAGGAAGAATTGCAAGAGTAATGGCTCTTATTTTGAGGAGACCAACGTTCACTGCTTGGATTAGCGACTCGAATTGGCTGACTGCATCTTGTAGCACGAGTAGCTGCTCCACTGCGTTTTTACTCGGTGGCGCTTTGACTCTAACGGCTTTTGGTTCTTTCCCTTTGTTGAATTGTTTGCGCCACAACATTACTATAGCCACCAGGAGTAATATTGACGGTAGTATGTAACCGATCCATCCACTGCACAGCAAATCAAAACTTAGCTTCATCGCTTTCACGAGTTATCCTGTGATAAGGTCTTTGAACATACCTGATAATCAAATAGCTGACGAAGATCATGAACACTGTTGATTGATAAGGCTTTTCCCAGGAGGCTAAGAGTTTTATACGCAAGGCTAGTTTGATGAAAGGTAACAATAGTTCCTGCAATGAGACCATCGGTTAATAGTGACTATTAAGCCAAAAACATGAAAAAGGTGAAAAGTGAAGTATCTTATGTTACCTTCATTACTGCTACATTTGTGTCGATTCCTTCTACTTTCACTTGGTCCACGGTTGCCTGAGCAGCTTCGGCCCTGTCCGTGTCTAGGATTGACTGTTTCAGAGCTATCTCCAATGGACTCGTCTCCCCAACACAAAAGTCTCCTACGATCGTCATTTCTTCACCCATGTTTGTCCCAGTTTCTAGATTCAATCCAAAATGCTCAAGCAGTATGAGTGAGACTGGGGATAAGTTTGAGGGCCATTTCATATACTGAACAGAGCCAGCATCAGAAACAACATCAGTGGTTATGCGAGAGACTCGGCTGGATAAAGCTTCTAAGACCATATCTCCACCAGGAAGACTTTCTGCTAGGTTAAATACAAGCAATGTTTTGTATTGGGAAGAGAAGACTTGGAAAGCTTCTTTTATTGCACGGTACCGGAATATGCCAAGGATTGCCCTTGCGAGTATTTCTGATCGTTGAATCCCTTTAAAGTTGTATTTTCGAATGAACCATTGTACACGGAGGATCTCCAGGCATATTCCCAACCAGTAGTCTCGACGAGCATTGCCTTTGAACTCTGTAAACTCAAAATATACTGGCTCTGACCTGTACATAGAAAAAGAAGATAAAGCAAAAGATATGAATCCATGATGTGAATGATTTATAAATAAAACAGAAATAACATTGTATTTCACTGGCACACGTACACTAGAATTGATTTGTACATGATGGCTTTATCAAAGATACGAGCACCCAATGGCCCTGTCAAATCAGGTCTGATGACCTGTTTTGTGTCTTCAGTGAGATCATATCGCATGGGCTTATCACTACCACCCATTGAATCAAAGTATAGAGCACAGCTGGTAAGTGTCAATTTCCCTACAATAGTAAAATGCTTGAATAAATACTAAGATGGAAACCAAATCAACTAACTTAAACCACAATTTTTCGAGTTTCTAGTTAGATCAAGTATAATAAAGTGCCGATGCAGAAGGGCTAGCATTAAATGACAAGATGCAGAGATATCTCTCGAAATTTACCAGGCCATGCTGAGATTCCCACGTGTTTAAGAACTGGTAAAACAGGATTGGCACCATCCATATCAAGAACTATTTCTCCCTTGGCAAGTTGAAGACTAGCAGCTGAAGGTCCAAGAGTGCTTTTAGCAGCCTTGAAAATTCTACATATCAAAAAGACTGATGAAATAAACATCTCGCAAGACATGTGAGCTAAGAAAAGTTTCTCTGTGGATTTATCTCATTCTAAATCGGAACTGTGACATCCAAAAAGATTCATTTCTGCTTTTGCTACCATTAATTGAAGCACAAAAAAAAATCCATCTTCATCTTTAAAGAAGTAGACTGAAGTATTTAAAGTACTAAAAAGGACATGAACAATACATAACCACCTACGTTTTACAATACTCAGATGGTGCAACAAGTCAACAAATGCAGAAAAGCAAAATTGAGGGACTGGAAAAAGTGGTGGTAAGTTCATACTTGTCAAGTGTGCGGATGTATTTGTCATAAACGAGGAAATGAAGCCTGTGGCCTGACGAGCTTGTCAGTGCATCAAAAAGATTATGAACAGTTATAGCATCTGCAATGGCAGGACAAACCGGAGCAATTCTTGCAAAAGCCTCCTGTCCTACAGACTTCTTTTCATTAACCTGTTAAAGCATAATTTCAGGTGAAAAAAATTCTGTTAAAATCTCCTTCCAATTATGTATGCCTCAGCAAATGAAGTCTAAGATGAGAATAAACCTGCATTGCCATATTTGTGGGACTTGAATAGAATAGAGACCACCCGTCTTCATCCTCTGAGTCCTGCTTGGAGGGAGATGCTGCTTCCTGAATTGGAAAAATTCGAGACAGAGACGAGAAGATATTGATCCATCAATCCAAGAAATCTCTTTTTTTAAGAAAAAATCAACAAACATGGCAACGAGATAGATTTCTCACTTTTCTTTCATTCTCACTTGTGACACTAGGAGTCTCCCAAGCAAGCATCATATCAAACAACAGCTGACGAAACTCTTGATCACTAAGGTAATTAGGTTGTTTCATTACTTGATGGATTGCTTGAAACGAGCAGAATTCAAGAAAGTTCCTTGCGTATGTCAAGAGCTGCTTAACACTCTCAGGCAACTCTACGTCAAAACGATGTTGCAGGTCCTCTGTTGGAATTTTAAGGATACTGAACAATTGGCACACACAACAACAAAAAAATCCATGAAATCGATGATATACAGAAATTGCTTCAGAACACAGGATCTGAAACGTATATGAATCCCAAAACTGCTCAAATAGATTGAGGAAGAGAGAGAGAGAGAGTACTTTGAACAGCGAGAGACGACGGAATTGGCGAGGAGGGAGAGCTGAGGGATGGGTTTCGGGGAAGCGATAGGCGACGGAGAAGCATCTCCATCACGACCGGAGGACGATTTCTTCCGATGGAAAAGGGATTTCAGAGAGTTTTGCTGGTTTCTCATGAAAGTCTCCAGCACTCCGACTTTCGCACCGGCACCGTCTTCTTCCATCGCGAACAATGAATCAGATCAGAAATGGTTATCGTACGTACTCTGTAATGCTTTTCTCAGATGAGATTCGTATCTTCCTCCTTCCTCCTTCCTCCTTTCTCCTTTCTTACCGTGCAAGCTTCGTAGCAGACTCGTAGTACGCAACTATCTCTCTCTATTCATCAGAGAGAAGAGATCTTCATTATCCACGCTTTGCACTACTTTATCGAAAACCCGGAAAAGAACAAAAACAAAAAATAGAGCTCCGATTTTAATTAACGAAAAGCCATTGTTGTGTACATCTAATTAATGCCTCAATCAAACCGAATTGAAACCGATCGGTTGGTATCAGTCTGGAACGAATTAATTGCTAATTTGCCATAAACGAGCGAACCGGTTGCTCATATCTCATACTTTGGAAAATAATTTCTTTTTCATTTTCTTTTAAATTGAAAAATTCAGCAAATACAATAAATTCCTTAAGAATTTGAAATATTTACAGATCCAACCAGCTATATTCACCCGACTTATTATCTATCCAGTTGAATTTGGGTCAAAATTTATTTAAAATAAGATTCAATTAGAAAAAAAAAAAAAAATCAGTCTTTTTATTTTTTACCAACGACGGCGGCTCCGTTTCTTCTTCCTCACCGTTTTGTAATTGATGAAGGTGGTGGTGATGATGAATCGACGGCGTCAGATCTCATGCCTCCTCATGATTTTTGTTGTCCCTAACTCCATCACCGGAAGCAAATTCTCCTTCACCACCACTCCCTCCTCCTCCTAAACTAGAATCTCCCTTGGCTTCATCATCTTATTCTCATCTCCTAAACCACCACATGTTTCTGCTCCATCTAACAATAATTTTGATGATTCTAAGCAGAAAAGAGAGTATTTTTCCTCTCTAGCGCCGGAATTGGCAACCAGAAACAAGCCGGAATATGGTGAGAGCAAGGCTTAAGATTGGGAAGATATATGGATCCTCTGATGGATCTGGAAGACTGAATGTCGGCAAAGTATACAAAAGTACTGCGTATGTCAATTGCGCTTGTCATATTCTGAATTTGGCGATACTGCATTACTTTTGCAGTGCATGTCGGCATTATCGTGGCTGGTTCCAATGTTCGATGCGGCTAACGTGGGGATCTTTGTCATCACGATGTTTGTTCGAAGCATGTCAAGTCATTACTTGTCGCGAGGAGATTGCAGATGGTGACTTCAGCTGGTGGTCATTCTTATCTAGGTACTATGTGGTCATAATCTTGTATTGTTGTGTGTTTGATTGGTTAGAGAAACTTCTCTCATGCTCTTATCTTGATTTGGGTCTAAAGAGTTATGTAATCTTTAATAATTATATGTTTTGGATTTGACTGATTTGGTTTGTGGTGTGTGAAATCGATTCGTATGATAAATTTGTGTTGTTGGTATAACTCTGAACAACTTATAAGTAGAAGTTTTTTTTAAAGAAAATAATACTAGGTTCAACTACGTATTACTAGGTTCAACTATGTATTACTAGGTTCAACTATTAACTAAAATTATTTGAATTTGCAGGATAAAGATGTGATACCTAACCAATACAATAAGAGAAATTGTTTGTCATCACATATGGAGTAGGAGCAATCGTAATAAGAGCTCTTGTTGGTGTTATTGATTTTAATACATCACGTAAGGATTATGGAATAAAGGATATGGTAAAATTATTTTAAAGGTGATAATCAAAAGTTGCTGCACATATTCAAGAAAAGTCCATGAAATCAATGTGTATTAGTGAGATCAACGTGTAAGTTTCAAGTGATGTTAAGGGAAACAATAGTATTTGTGGGATTATAACATATCTACGAAATTATTTTCAATTGTTTATTTCATCGTGTTTCATGGTATTTAGTCTTGTAAATTATTTTGTTCTTTTGGTTTTTTGGTTTGGTGTATTTGGAAAAAAATTGATTGTATATATTTTGTTTGATATATTAAGAGTCTAAACCCAATTCAATATAATTAATGATATTATCTGGTACAACTGAGTTTGTTTAGGTATACAACTAAGACAATTTAGTACAATTTTTTTAAAATAAATTAAATAGACTGCAAAAAATTGAACAAAAAAAAAATGTGTTTGAAAAAGACGGCGCCGTCACAAAAAAATAAAAAATAAAGAAAATAAAAAATCTGACGTGGCGCCGTCAGAAAAAATGTGGCGCCGCCAAAAAAATGTGTCCAAAAAAACCACATAGTTGTACTCAAGCCAACAGTCGAACCAAAATTGGTAATAGTTGAACATGCGATTTTTGTGTATTTGTAGTTGAACCTTATCATAGCTTATAATGGTGTAGTTGTATAATTGATATTTGATCTTCTTTTGCCATTCTAAACATGTTTATGTCATCATTTATTAAGAATCTATTATTGTTCTTATTTTGCTTCATAACATGGATATATTACCTATATGTTCCATATATTGTAAAGGGTACTTGATGACTAAACCATAATTTATTCTCATAATTTTGTAATTCCAATTTCTTGATATTATTTATTAATTTCTAAGACATGAATATGTGTTTATCTTACTTAATTGTTTGAATTGCATATGAGAAACTTATTTATTTATTATTACTTGTTTTTATAGTTTTAGAATCGAGTAGTCGAACCAATGTGAACCAATTGTACGAAATGAATGAGAAACCAAAATACGTCCACATTGTCCACATTCGTACACGAAATAAATATTTGGAAATACAACCTATTACCGTCAACATTTGTACGTACTTGAACCTGGTAGAACCTGAACATTTAGAAATACAATTCATGACGTCAACATTTGTACGTACTTGAACATAGTAGAACCATGTTTTAAAAGTTAAACATAGTTCAAACAACATAGTTCATATATTCAATAAGGAATATAAGTAAAAATACAAATAGAAACACACAAATACAAACTCACAATGGTTCTTAAGTATACCTAATTTAATCTAGTAGCACAAAAACCGACAAATACAAACCCATAATTATTTAAGTTAGACCAAGATTAATCTAGTAGTGGAAAATCGATAAATGCAAATCCAAAAAAATACAAATACACACAAGAATCAAAAAACTCTTATATCACGACAAAATAACATAAATGTGTTATGAATACTAAATTTACATCACTTACAAAAATTAAACTAAAATGTTTATTTTTGTTTGAGAGTAGTTCGGCAATAACATCAAGTAAGCTATCTTTTCCATAGATGATGTTTCGTAAGTGAGATATTCTCTTTAGATCCATTGATACTCATATAGTATTTGATAAATATCCTCCATAACCAAAATATATATTTGTGGATCGGTTGTTGTTCATTGCTTCCTGAAAAAAAATAGAATAAAAATATTTAGTTAATATTACACAATAATACCATTTGTATTAGTTGTCTATTATCTCTTAGTTGTACCAGTTGTACACTATTTTCAGTTGTACTCATTTGTACCAGTTGTACTATTCATGTAGTTATGGCGATTTCTGGTCCTAATCTACCCAAAAATCAATATGATTTAACAACTAAAATCGACAAATTACTGCATCAAAACTTAATCTATCCAGTAAATATGGTTACCAACCCACTGAAACAACTAATTTTCATATCCAATCTCTAAATTGTGAATCCCAAAATAACTTTATAGATTAGGGAAAAAGAAAAACTCACCTCTTGAAGCTTCAACAATGGTGAAAGAGAGAGAAGAAATCAATTGCAGAAGGAAAGAGAATGCAGAGGTGCAGCGGATCTACGCCGGGCCGCCGCCGGCGATGAGCTCCACACGAAGAAGATGTCGACGGGAGGAAGAAGAACGTGAATTCAATTTTTTTATTTTATTTTTATTTAATTTATTTTCTTTTATTTTATTAAATTTGATTTTATTTTATTTTATTAAATTGTTTTCTTTTAATCAGATTTCAGTAAGGATTAAACTGGAATTTCACATGGACTTTAAATTAAATTAAAAAGAAAAATGGCATTAGATTAGGTTGTGGCACAACAGATTATTTTTCCTGATTTGTGGCAAATTGGCCTCGCGCTCGGAACGAACCGATACACCTCACTATGTAAATCAAATCGTTCGGTTAAGCGTACGAAAAATAACTAATAAGCGATTGGTTTGGGCTCAGACCCGATACACCTCACTAGTCAATTTTTTTTTTTTAATTGAAATCTTTTTTGGATTTGTTTCGTAATTGTCCCTCAAAACTTTGTATGCTTGTTAGTTAAAGTAGTTAACGAACTAAAAAAATTCAACTTTGATGAGAAGAAGTAATGTGATCTCGTGTAACACGACTACAAATCCAAAAAACGCTCAAGGGTCGAGATTTTGTAGATTACAATCATTGCTTCTTTTACCGTCTTCTCTTTGTTTTCTAGAGAGAAGAATCAAAAGAGAAAAGAATAGCTCTTTATGTATGATGCTGACAGACTCCATTGTTGTTGATCTTCTTCTAAAGCTTGGATTTACCAGTGCGAGGCGGGTCCTTTGCCCAGAGAGGCGGGATGATTCTATGGTCTTGCACTTGCACAGTCTCTTCCTCTTTCTCGGTTTTTTCTTCGTCCCCTACAACCTCTTTAGAGAACGCATCTGGATTGGCTTTGATACAGCTTTGCAATGCCACAAACGGATTCACACAGTCTGATCCCTGCAACCACAACAACACATTCAATATCCAAAACGAAAGAGACAGCTATAATCAATTTTTATGAACATTTCGGTTACCTTTTCTTCAGCAGTGCTCTTGAGAAAGCAAAGAAATGCCTCGGAGAACTGAGAGCCACAAGATCCATTACGCAAATCTGCTATGCAAGGACAATCTAGTGCTTTTTGTGCCTTTGCTTCAAGTGACTGATGGAATTGGTGTTTGTCAATATAACTCGGTGATTTCAAAAATCTTTGGTGTTAAACTGAATAAGAGAAATTGGGAGCTAATCACCTCATTCTCATTGTCATCCTCACCATATGCTGCAGCTTCTGTGATATTCCAATTCAAGAGTGTACAAGAATGTCAAATCTAGCAGAGACCAACAATGAAGAAGAACATATAAACTGGACCCAGAAGATGTAATCGAAGAGCTTTCCTTGAGCTAAAACTAGACGAGATGTTTACTATAGACTGAGCTTATCATTCCAATTTTCCACAGAAAGGCTAATCCGATGCTTAGATAAACCATATTCCAATTCATCATCGCCAATCAAGCGTAGAGCAATTCCAATCACTAAATTGGCCTACGCAACTAAAATTGATCCTCTCGATCATGATACAGAACACAAAAACCCGAATAAGAGAGGCTAGGTTTGAAACACCGAACCTGCAAGTAGAGAATCCATCGGAGACGACGAGGTATCATCTCGATCAGAATCCCGCGGCGAGTTCGTAGAAGGAGGAGGAGGAGTCTTCGTTGTCGTTGGAATTTCGGCGGATGACGAAGAGTTCTCGTCACTCTGAGCTTGACCCATCTCGATCGATTCTGCTAAAACCTCTCAAAGAATTTCGTTAGCCGCCGACGAAACGCAGATCAGTAGAAATGAAAAAGGATCATTTGACTTTACGGGAGAGAAACTGAATTCCAAAATCGAAAATCAAAACATGGCCCAAATTGCCATAACTTAACGGGCTTTAGAATTTGTTGAGTATCTATTGGGCTTAAATTCGAATATTCTGGTCTTTTGTGTGTTGGTTTCTTATGGAAGAAAGATTCAACTTTTCTTCTGCAAAAGGAACCCCCAAAAGAAAGAAAAGTTCAGTTTTTTCCAACGATAAAGAACAGCGAAAAAGAAGTACAATCATTTGAAACTTAAGTTGTCAAGTGAATGTAGGGTTGAAGTGCCCCCCAAAAAAAAAACTTTATAATATAAAACCCAGAAATACCAAATGATTTTGTGAACCCTTTTGACATATTAAGTATTAACGACTCCCATTATCATCGACTCTAGCTGTCAATAATCCTTACACTTTTTACTCCCATTCAAATTTGAAGACCTTTTGTACGTTTACGGATTGACTAACCATTTTTGTAAATTATATAATTTATTGAGTATAAAAATCAAGATATTTAGATCATTATAAGTCCTAATGAAAATAAATCATAAAGTTTTTCTCTTACTTTCACATTGCTAAATTTGTATTTGTGTACTGGTTAACCAAAACTCTATTTAACGAGACTAAAAAGCTCATGACAACAACTCTATTGAAGGTGAGTCTGCAATATCTTTGTGGATGAGGTGGCTGCGACCGTGTCCGAGGAAAATCTTTTCTAGAGACAATATCGACGCGGCATATTGTGATTCGTCATTTCATTACCCCAACAGTTATGTAAATATGTGTGTATATTTATATAATATAATGCTTGGTGTCCTACATGGACCGTTCTTACATCAAGCCGCAATTGACGCTTTTTGAAATACACTTGAGATCAAGAAAAACAAAACAATTCGAAAACAAAGACCTTACAGCAAAGAACAGCAACTAAAGTTCAAAATCAAACTCTCAATATAAAATTCATACTTTTTCAATTTAGGTTATACTCTCTGTATTTTTGATTGACAGAATCATATTTATTCTCACCATGAGGAGTATTTCTTAAGGGGGAAAAAGAAGAAGACCATACCAAATGACTAGAGGCTGGTATTTGATAATTGATAGTTTTGTTAAAAGTTAAAATCTAAGTAGACTATTGATAATCGATGTCAACAAGTGAAAAAATCAAAATATATTAATTATTAAATGTTAAATTTATTGATGATTAAAATAAGTCTGAAAGGTATCATGTTTAGTCAACAAAAAGTAGCTTATACAAATGATGTATGTGAATAATGTGTCAAGTTATTGAATTATTTACAGCATGTATTGTTGGGGTATAAAATGTTGTATTTGGTGACCACATAATCGATGGGATTGGAAGTTGTGTTATTATTGTTGTCTTGTTGATTACAAAAATAAAATTTGTAGTTTGTTAAGCAAATTTGTTATATTAACGAAGATTTGTTTACTTTAGATGAACAAATGGCCAAGATAGTGAGAATGATGGTTTTGATACTCAAAATTCTGACGACCCATATCCAATGTTTTAATTCCCATCTTGAATTGTCTTGTGAACGTAGATTTGTCTCAAATCAACACATTGCCAAGATTAGCATTGCTATAATTCTTCATATGATTTTGATTTAGCGACCCATATCTAATATTTTGATTTCCATCTTTTTCTGTCTTGTAATATGAAAGTAGATTTATCTCAAACCAACAGGTTGGCAAACTTAACATCGCTCCCTATATATTCAACGATCAAATAGTATCCCTTACCGTTATAGCAACACATCCTCAAATTATAAAAAGTCTAGTATCCATTGGTTGATCAAATATCTAAAAAAAATGGTATTTGTAGACAAACACCTACACAGTAAAACTTCATGGTCGCAAATGGTACGTATATCTTTTACTGTGTGGTGGTAAGGGTCACCAATCAAATCCAATAGTTTATGAACGAACCAAATCGATCCAATATTATACGATCTACGAATGGTATTTGAATCTACAAACACCTAATGTATATAGTAAAGCCTCTCACAACCACAAACATATTTAATCTAAACTTAATAACCTTATTTGAAATTCTAGACTGATTTGTTTTCTTATCAGACAAACAGTGGCCTATATCACGAATTCACATGAATTTATTAATGATGCCCTCTTGAGAGCTTGAACAAAAAGAAGAAGAAGAATGCTTATAATGTAAAACAAAAAAAAACAAACGAGTGTAAAACAATTTTCAAACTGATTTGCGCTCCAACGTTCGAAAATGCAATTGGGATCCTCGTGAATCCATCCAACGGTCACAATTCTCCATGTGAATCTCTTCAAGACCTTTTGTGTAAAATTTAAAATTGCTCTCTTTTTCACCACTGCTATAAGTAAACGTGGATAATTTTTCCAGATCCCCACCAGACTTAATCCACCAATTCTCACAATTTTTTTCTTTTCGATTAAAGTGAAAAGAAAATATCTTTTTGCAACTCTTTTTCCTTTATTTTATGGATGGATCATTATACCTTCCTGTCTAAGTGAAGGAACAATAATAAAACAGTTTTTGTTTATTCCGCTTTGTCTCAATTCGAGCCAAAGTTAACTCCTGTCAGACTCCTTTGTCTGAACAAAAAAAAAAATCTTATTTTTAACCATTTTTTCGTCAGACCGATCAAAACCCATTATCCCAAAATGCAAAACCTGAAATGGGTTTTGAATCTCTTGTTTGTTTCTGCTCTTCTTCGCAATCTCATCCACTCGTCATCACAAGTAATCTGCTCAAGCCAAGACAGAGCATCACTTCTGAGTTTCAAGTCAAGCATCATCGAGGACACAACTGGAGTCCTGTCTTCATGGGTTGGCAAAGATTGTTGCAATGGAGACTGGGAAGGTGTTCAATGCAATCCGGCCACCGGAAAAGTCACCAACTTGGTCCTGCAAAGCTCCGAGAAGGATCCTACTCTTTACATGAAAGGCACATTATCACCTTCATTGGGTAATCTCGGATCTCTCGAGGTTCTGTTCATAACCGGAACCAAATTCATCACCGGCTCGATCCCAAACAGCTTCTCTAAGCTAACTCGTCTCACACAGCTCGTGCTCGATGACAATTCTCTCAAAGGCAATCTTCCTTCTGGTTTAGGCCATCTTCCATCGTTGGAAACTCTTTCTTTAGCTGGGAATCGCTTCTCAGGTATTGTCCCGGCGAGTTTGGGAAACTTGAGAAGCCTCTCTGCGATGAGTCTGGCTCGAAACTCTCTCTCCGGTCCAATCCCAGTGACTTTCAAGAACCTTGTCAAGCTTCAGACTCTTGATCTCAGCTCCAATTTGTTGTCCGGACCAATCCCGGATTTCGTTGGCCAATTTCGGAATCTAACCCGTCTTGGTCTCTCCAGCAACAGATTCTCCGGAGGATTACCAGTTTCTGTTTACAACTTGGGGAAGCTTCAGGACTTGTCGTTGGCGCGTAACGATCTCACCGGACAACTCTCAGACCGAATCAGCAATTTGAAGTCTCTCACTACTCTTGACTTAAGCAGCAACAAGTTCATTGGTCACATACCAGCTTCCATTACAAGACTGCAGAATCTCTGGTCTCTCAATCTCTCGAGAAACCATTTCTCCGATCCTCTCCCTGTTGTTGTAGGCAGAGGATTTCCTTCTCTACTGTCCATTGATCTTTCCTACAACAACCTTAACCTTGGAGCAATTCCAAGCTGGATCAGAGACAAGCAGCTCTCAGATATCAACTTAGCTGGTTGCAAACTGAGAGGAACTTTTCCAAAGCTAACAAGACCACACGAAGTGACATCGCTTGACTTGTCTGACAACTTCCTCACAGGTGATGTTTCAGGTTTTTTAACCAACATGACGAATCTTCAGAGACTGAAGCTCTCAAAGAACCAGCTCAGGTTCGATCTCTCCAAGCTAAAGTTGCCAGAAGGGGTCTCTTCTGTTGATCTAAGCTCAAATCTAGTGACAGGGTCGCTTTCAAGCCTGTTAAACAACAAGACAAGCAGCTTCTTGCAAGAGGTTGATCTCACCAACAACCAAATCTCGGGGAGGATCCCTGATTTAGGGGAAAGCTTGAATCTGAAAGTACTCAACATAGGGAGCAACAAAATCGGTGGACAGATCCCAAGTTCAATATCAAACCTTGTTGAACTTGTGAGACTTGACATCTCAAGGAATCACATTACAGGAGTCATACCTCAAGCTCTAGGACAGCTCTCGCAGCTCAATTGGCTCGACCTCTCCATCAATGCACTTTCAGGAAGAATCCCAGATAGCTTACTCAACATAAAGGCAGTGAGACATGTGAGTTTCAGAGCCAACAGATTGTGTGGACAGATCCCACAAGGAAGACCATTCAACATCTTCCCTGCAGCTGCTTATCTGCATAACCTGTGCTTGTGTGGCAAGCCATTACCACCTTGCAGGAAGACAATGAAGTGAAAAACAAACACACACGTTTTGAAGTGGCCAGTCCAACGCTGACTTTCATCTTATTCCTTATTCACTCATTTCTGCAAAATAGATGATATCTTCTATTTGTCTTTTTCCTTACAATTCTATTGTTTCAATCTCTACTTTTATACTTCTCTGCTTCTGTTTTCATCTAAATAAACTATGATCACTTTGATTGAATTAAAGCAAGGATTATATACCAAACGTTAACTTTCAATTCTACATCACTGAATCATTGGAAAAACCAAAAGACAAACTTCATTACTTGTTTAAACAAAAGGAATTATCATACCTTGAAATACAAAAACTCACTTCCTCTCAGCTACTACCTTCAGTCTTCAGATAACTAATTCCAAGGTTTCAAATTTACAAATGCAACATACCGATAAAGAGTTAAATCCATTTTCATGAGATTAGACCCAAAGAAAGCTTTAACATTTCTAGTAGTCATCCAAAATCTCTTCTTCCTCTTTTACTTTGCCTTCAGCGTCTTTGTTCTCAACTTCCTTCTCCTCTGCCTCATCAGCATCATCTGATTGCTTCTCCTCAACCTCTTCAGCTTCTTTCTCCTCAGCATCATCAACATCATCTGTTTGCTTCTCCTCATCCTCCTCCTAAACAAGTCAACAAATCATTTTAGAACTCAAGATTCAATGCTATAATCAAGAATAAAGGAAAAAACATTCGTTTTAAACACTTACTTCATCATCATTGCTCTCTAGTGACTTGTTATATTCTGCTTTTAGCTCAGCAGCTTTATCCAAGTAAACCTTCTTCTCCTACAAAGATCAAGGCACATAAACCAGAGTAAGAACACAGTAAACCAAATCACCATGAAACTAGGAAGAAATAGAAAGAAAGAGCAACTCACTTCCTCAGTCAAAGACTTCCACTTTTCACCACCCTGCTTTGCAACCTAAAATCATATACAAACCACAGACTAGTCAAATACCATAAAATTTCAATCACAGTACTCAAACGCAGTAATGAGCCAAGTTATAGTCTTACATCCTTAACGTTGGAACCAAGATTCTCTTCCCTGAAAGTTTTACGGAAATCATTCCTGCAACAATGAAGCCAATACCAGCATCAATACAAAAAGAATATAACCATCAGCATCAATACTAAAAGGACCCACACGTCTAGGAATTTTCTATATGCGGCAAATAAGGAACAAGTTTTGGTTAACCCGAAGCATATGATATGCATGTATATCCGAAAATGCTCATAAAACACTGCCACAGAGAATCTCAAGTTAATGGTTAGCAATATATGTTCCCGAAAGAGTTTTGAGCACTAGCTCTTTGAGAAATTCCAAACCGAAATCCAAACTAATCCTGCAAATCTACAAAGAACAGTATATGCTTACTACTCAAAAAGTATCAAAAGAGTCTTTCACCAGAACTTGGTTTCAGCACAGAGCCTTTGACCAAGTTCGTACAATGCCATAGAACCAAGACTTAAGCATATAATCTTTTATTATTGAAGAAGGGATGATATTACATGAAAATGAAGAAAGCGGTAAGAGGTCGCTTAGGCTTGTTTGAGGTAGAGCCCTTCTTCTCCTCCTTGGCCTTTCTGAGTCTCTTTGACTTAGGTTCATCAGATGTTGATTTCTTCCTGAGTAACCCCAAACAGTATCAGAAATTCAAGTCCACATATAGATATTAGATACAATACAATCCATTCAGTAAGAAATAAGGCTAAACGAGTTTTACCTCTCCACCACAGGTTTCTTCTTAGCCTCCATTTGCGTCTCAACAACTTGTGCTTCTGAAAAAACAACAAAATCCACAGAATCCGAGAAATTAACTCAATCGGTGTGACCGCAATACACGAAGGCGTAAACGAAAGGGATAATGATTTACCCAGATTCACTCTAATCTTGGCGTCGAGACTGCAATTGTGCATGCTAATAAGCGCTACAGCTACGTTCTTGTTGCAACTTTCACTGAAATCGTTTCAATTCACACAATCACAGTGAGAAAACTAAAAATCTAATCGCCATAACCCGAAATCATCACTAGATCTAGAAAATCCTAAATCGAAAACTGAGGAGAAACAAGTCAAATCTTATCTCGAAACTTAAATCGGAATCAAAGATTAAGAAGAGAAAAGTTACCAGCGAACGAAGGCACTGCCATCTCTGGCGCGAAGTAGGGTATTGGTGGTGTTGCTGGTTTCATCTTTCGTTTCGGCTTCCACTCTCTTCCTCGGCTTAGGTGCGTTTGTTTTAGTCGATGCGCCGGCCATTTCTTCCCTTGCTCGTTATCGGAAGATCGAAGGAGAGAAAATTCTCTGTGACAAATTTATGAATCGAGAACCAATCGAAGCGATGAGAAAATTTGTTTAGAGCAGCGGTGAGAAGAAAAGGGAGTGATTGAGAGGGAAACGAAACCTATTTCCCTAAATTATGGCGCCAATTTAATCCCGCGAAATAATTTTTCCGCTTTTGACACGGATCTTTAAGCTGGCGATCTCATCCACCGTTGATTTTGTGTGGCGATTCCCATAGACGGCGTTTGGATTATTTCTCGATGCTGCCATGTAGTGTAACATTTTTCTTTCTTCAAATGGGCTCTGTGGTTAAACTTTGGTTTCTGAGTCCCATTTATAGCCTTGAACTTGACAATGCCCAATACAAAGAAGAAGAATTATTATCCGGCCCAGTAAATATGCAACCATCTAAAATTTAGTATGGTGTTTTGGTCCTCATGAAAAATGTTATAATATGAAAGTATTGTAAAATATATATATATTCCGAAATTTTACATTAGATAAATATATTAAAAAAAACAAGAATACTGAAAACAAAGATGTATTTAATTCTTGAATGTTTATAAATAAGGAAAAAAATTTATAAACATATCAAATTTCCATGTAGAAATCTTGAATGTTTAAATAAGGAAAACAATTTATGATAATTTATTAAAAAAACAGTGCATTTGGGTAAGTGGGTAAGTGGGTGGCTTAACGGTAAAAGTAAAAGGAAGAAGAGAAAAAGGCTAAGGAAGATAGGCATGTGGGGGTGTGTTGCAGTTGCAGAGCTGAGAAGACTTTTACGGGTTTTGGGTGATGGGAAGCTGTGAATTTACCACTTCTCGTTTACTGTGCCTCAGAGAATCTCAGACCCCTAACCAACTTCTCTTGTCTCTCTCTGTCAAGTCTCCTTTCTTTTCTTCTTTTTACTCATCTTATTTCTTATTTACTTCAAATCATTTTCTCTTTGTATAAAATTATTAAAATACCAAAGACTAAAGACTATTATAGATATAATTCATTTTTGTTCCTGTTATATAGATGTCTATAATTTACGATGGAATTGTGGAATATATAAGAGTAGTTCAATTTTCTTAATTAACTCTCTCTTCTTTTTAGTTTTATCTTCTCTCTCACGTTTCGTTGTTTTCAATATGATATCATTGGGAGATTATTGAATAACTTTATACCTCGAACAAGAGGAAAAACAAATTTAGAGGTTGGATGATATAAGTATACAACTGAAACCTTTTTTTGTGTTAAAAGTTACAATTCAAACTTCACATACGATAAAATTGATATGATATTTTCCATCTTCATCACAGAAAGTACAACGACAGATTGATATATCTCATACTAAAAATTAGATTTCAAGAAGATGATTAACTTAAACAAGCTGTTAATAAATAGCCTAATACATAGAATCACAACATACCTAGAATTAGAAACACACAAGTTGATATAGAGAAGAAACATGCAGCAAGAAGATATTTTCGGTTAAAGAGAGTCGAAGTTAAGAGAATAACTGAGAGGATCGTAGTTGAAACTGGTCTGTCTCTTATTCTTGTGTCTCGGTGATCTCATCTTCTTCTTCATCTTCTTGATCTCTGCTTTGATTCTCCACAAAATGCTTCTTAGCAGCTTCTTCTTCTTCTTCCCAAGCTCAATCACCAATATGCAATCCATTTTTATTTTCTGCTTATCAAAAGAGAGAATAGAGAGAGAGAGCTGCAAAGTTAAAAAGAGTGAATAAAGTCAAATGAAGAGAAGGAAGACTACTTATAAAAGCGGTACCTCTGTACCAAGAGGTTAGTTGATGTTGACCTCTCGTTTTTTAATTTCATATACTATTATGATTATCCATTTACACGTGTACCAAAAACACATTTTATCTCTAAATAATCAATCTGCTGGTGAGGTTTGTTTATTGTTTAACAAGTTACTAATCCACAAAACAGTAATAATCGGCGATAAATATAGGCAATGATAGAATAGGCAGTACTTGGGGAAAAAAATAGGTGAAGTGGGTAAGTTAAATAATTCCATGCGACCAACTAACTTTTGTCTTTCAATTAAAAACTTCTTTATGTATTAAAGAGAAACTACTGTACAAATTACTCTTAACACTATATGTTGAACAATCATCTCAAACCTATTATATATGTGCTAATATATTCTTTCCTTGCTGGCTAAAGTTTGATCACCAATTACATTTCCATGCTTTATAACATTTTGTTTTTGAGTTGGAAACTATGACTTCTTACATTAACTTCAACTTACAGATTAATGTTTTTGCATCTGAAAATGGTAGTTTTATGACATATTTTGCTGCAAATTCGTCACGTTCATAATTAATCCGTAGTTACATATACATGCATTATCATGTGATTGATCTGTTCTTCAGAGAATCACATGCATATAGTTAGACTATACAGTTTCATCAGACATTGAATTACAGGTGGGAGCTAATATCTGACATAAGACTGTTCACCAAAATGTAAAGCGTCTAATTAATGGCAGACCAAAACAAAAATTGAAAAAGAAAAATCATTACATGCATCTCGAATCCCTGAGAAGGATGGTTTACGTCTTCGCCAAAAACTTAACCAAAATATGTTACATGTGAAGTAGCCTAGATTGTGGTATGGTCGATAATGCGATAATTTGTTATGAAATAAAAAAAATAAAGAATGAGAGAATCTAAAACTACAGAAGAGACAAACGAAAGTGACCAGTTCGGTCTCGGGGAAAAAAAGGAGGTTCGTAGAAGGTGAAGAAGAGTAAGTTGTACAGCAAAAAGCCTCTGTGCGGTCCTTGTCTCTCGACGTAACGCAGTGCAGAGGCATGGCATTGCTTAGCTACCTCACAGTCAATTCCATTTTTTTGTTTTTTTATTAGTTCAGATTAAATAAAAATCGGAAATCCTTTTGTTTTTATTAGGTAGTTGATGACATTTCCGTTACATCAATTTAGCAATTTCGTCTTCACAAGGAATCTCTAGTTTGTTTGGTTTATTGCAGTTTATAGAGGCTGTCCTTATTTTGTTTTATTATGTCTTTAGTTTCCATGAGTTTGTTCTTCTTTCTTCTTCCTCTTCTCTAACTGTAATCTTATCTTATTCTTCTTTAAATTTACTGCATTTGATATCGCCTCTATCTACCTACCTTAATTTTATTATACTAAAATATGTTTCTTATAGATATGTACATATCTCCATGGATCAAATGTAGCAGATTCCCTTAAATTAAAGGTTGTTAATGTTAACTACACTACACAAATAGTAGTACTACACATGGTTTATTCACGTAGATATATCTTTTAAATTAGTAAAACAAAGGCGATGTTGCGTAACCTTTTTTTGTTTCATAGTGCCTATTTTTGTTTACTTTTCTATGAATTTTAAGTATTTCAGTATGAAGGAAACAGAAGTGGTGCCTTTTCTTTCTATATATAACTTACTATAAAAGACTAAAATGATCAATTAATTCCACTTGCGAGGAGGCTTAGACATACCACTAATTGTTGGTACACAAAATCAAACTTCTGATCCAAGAACTTTCTCTTCAAAGTTGAAACAGCTTTGCTCATTTTAGAATTGATTCCTTATTGTTCGGTCACAACCGGCCTGTTGGCTCATAATTAAGAACGTAGGATAGGACATATGATTGAGGAAACCAAAGAAACCGCAAAAAAAAACTCTATTGATGTGTTGAGAGAACACTATAACATGTCTCTTTCTAAAGAGCAGAAACTCAAATAGTATTCATATAAGAATAACTAGAAGAACAAGACACAGCCCAAATGGCTCTCACTCTCTATCTATCTCTACACACCAAAGTTAAGGCAATGCAGAGATTTCTGCTTCCCCAAAGCAAAGACAAAGATTGGTAAAGTCATGGAGTGGACCGGAGAAGCAGCTAACTTGGGGGCATTTTACCTTCCAAACTTTTTTGGTTAGCTTAGTTTTTGTTAGACACCCTTTGAAACCAAATCCACCTTAAAAACCAGAGGGTTGGACTTGGGACGATGAGGGTTCTTCCACGGGGAAGACAGGCTTTGCTTTGCTCTGCTCTGCGTTTTTTAGTGATTATGATGAAACTTCCTGAAATGCTAGGTTGAGTTCAAGCACAGACTTGGCCACCAAACCTCCTCTTCTACACACAGCCCAGCACAGATACATGTGAGCCATATAGATTCTTACAAGATTAATTACAACTATGGAATCTTCAATGGTTCAAAAAGTTACTGTGCTTGCTTCTTACCTTGATAGAGAAGGAAGATAGGCTTTGACTTTCTCTAGTTCCACAAAGCAACGGTTGTAGCGCTCCATCCTACATAGACGTTAGACATATGTTGTTGAGTTCCAAGAGAGTATGCTATCGAAATTATGTTACACGATGGCTTAGATATGCAGATAAGGTTGAAACTAAACCAACCTTTGCTCAGCTTCGATATCTACACCAACAGATGCTGGAGCCGAGAGTGATGAGTAAATTGGTGAACCATACAATCTAACCAGCTTAAGCAACAAACCCATGGAAACGCTCAAATGCCTAAAAACATATGATAGTGTTAGAAACATTATGAACACAAATCTGTTCAGTGTATTATATTTTCCTTTGCATCCATCAGACACGATTTACTTAGCAGGAAGTGTATGCTTACTGATCCATGTCACTTCCTAGAAGAGATGTTAGAATGGGAAGAAGGGAGGTACAAGTATCCAGCGTCAAGATCTCATTTCTCTCGGTTATTATACCAAGTACATCCGCAGTAACCTGTAACCAAATGAATAAGAAGAGTTGCTTAAGCTGGAAATCTTTTTCAGATGTCTCACAATCAATAGAAATAGAAGATACTCACAGCATTATCAGCCATCTTCTCCATCGAACTTATCGAGTTTTTAACATCATTCCTTTCCCAGTATCGACGAACTACCTACAGATTTAGTGAAACGATTTAGGGAAAAAAAAAAAAAAAAACTAAAAGTCTTTCCAATCCCCAAATCAGAAGCACATGGCATCTCAGCCACCTATAAACGATTAATCACAACTTGACTGCTTTCATGTTACCTGTAACTTAGACAAACGAGACTGCATGGAGCTGACGAACTGATCGTGCTTCCCCATTATGTCTTCAACAATATTATCATCAGAAGGAGAATCAGTCGCTTGTTCAACTGGCATATGGTTCCCTCTCTGCTTGAACTACACACGAGGAAATACAATATGTATTATCTATTTATCTCTGGATCTCAGAGGATCAAAAGCATGAATGTGTTGTTGGACATTAGTAATCGCAGAAGTCATAGTACCAACTGAAATTAGATATATCAGAAACAGTAGTTTCCTCTTTGTTCATTGCTTTTATTCCGGTTTCCCTCTTTTGTTGCAATTTACAGTCAGTGTGTTATTGCATCAAGAACTCAAGCTGAGAAAAGTAAGATTTAAGGCTATTATACCATATTTGAAGGGCGGATGTTTGGAGCAGGCCCATTTCCAGCCGGAAAATTCGAAACAGGACCCTCAAAGTTTGAAAATCTTCCTCTTCTCTCCCTATTTATGACGAGTGACTGGAATCTTCCTGCTATGGTAAGAGAAATGAATGAGAACCAGCTTGTTTGCAAATAAAAAATTGAAAGCTTGCTCAAAGAGTTACCTCCTTTCTGACTTTCAGTGGGACTTGGATCTCTATGTGATTTGTGGCTTACCAAGTCATCTGAAACAAAGACTAAAGCTTAGAACTGGGAACATCATCTGTCAAACTCAACACAGCTACGGGGAAACTAAACAAGTGGGTTGTTATCTGAATACGCCGCACCTAAAAAGCATCATATTTTCTAAAACACTGATCCCTTCCACTTTTTGCATGGTTCTCAGCTGAAATTCATATTTGCAACTAATACAGGAAAAGATTCGAAGGCACAAAAACATACAGTTTTCATCGTGGTTTCTTGGAGGTGATCTCAGTCGTGACCTTGAATCACTCCTGCCATATCTCCTGTGTCTAAAATCATTGATGCTTCGCTCAGCTGCACCCCTCATGCCACCCTTGCCACCAGGAAATGTATTCTCATCTGGTACATTATTTGGTTCGACTGGCTGAGACTCAGACATTTCAAGAACCAAAATGTCTGAGTTATTTCTGTTGCTAGGTGACCTTCTAGAATCAGCCGCCTGCAACGAATAAGGCATTGTTCTTGCAATTATGTCAAGTTCTGCTCTGGATTCAGTCGCCTGCTCTATTCTAGGGTCTGCTCTGGGGACAATCACCGGAACAACATCTGCTGCCTTATTGACAGGATTGGCCTTTGGGTTGGGTTTTGTAAAATTCTTCCTTGACGTTACACCATTAGAGACAGTGGTTGAAAGACCAGAAGCAGATTTTGAAACACTGGTTAAATTGACCCTATGAGGAGTGCTTGGTAGACTTCCCGTGGCTATAAACAGCAGACAAAACCAGAAACGGCATTTCATTTAATCAGCACTGAGATAAAAGTAAGAAGAAAAGAGAAAAATGATAGAAGCAAGCATACATGACAACGTCCTTGACTCTTTAGCAACGTCTGAACTTTGAGAAACTGACATCCTTCCGAGAGGCTTTGAGTCCTTCATCGAAGAATCTGAATTTTGGGATGTCGATGACCTTCCACTGGACTTTGATTCTTTTGTCGAAGGATCAGAGTTCTGAGAAACAGATAATCGTCCTAGAGACTTTGTTTCCTTCAATAGAGGATCTACGTTCTGGGAAACGGACAGCTTCCCGGGAATAGTCTTTGGGTTGTTATCATTGAGAACTACTGGATCTCTTCCTGAGCAAGATCTTTTCTCTGGATGACCATTTACTTGAGCAGTGTCTCCAGCCATGCATGGCTCAGTACGCTGTCCATGCATCCAAAAATAAGTAAAGGTTACAACCAAACAGCTACGGGTAAACAAAAGAAGCAGATAAAACATTTAGGGAGAAAGGAATACCGAGAGATCTACAACCCACACGCCTACACAACTTTGATTGTATGAGCAACCAAGAAGCTTTCCCTCGTGAACATTCATATCTGACAACCTTGACCATCCAACATCAACTCCATCATGACATCTAATTGGCTCCCACGAGAAAATCTACAATTTGCAGAGGAATGAACTGTAGGAGTCAGGTAAGGAGAGTAGGCATGTCTATTTTGAAAACATAACAACGGATTCTCAAAAGATGATTTCCATCAACATTACGCAAACTATAAACTACAAAGTATGAGAATTCACCTTCAGACTTTCTTGCAATCCACAAAGCACCGTCTTTCCATCTGGATTAAAGCTCAGGCAACGGATCCCAGAAGTCTAGCAAAAATCAGAATATTAGAAGGTGGAGTGAACATAAAATGCCACCAGTTTAACTCAGCGTAAAACAAGTCGTACCTCAGGTCCACCAGAACCAATTAGCTCGAAAGTTTCAAGATCCCAGAATTTTACAGTTCTATCAGCTGAACCTGTTACCACAGGCAAAAACTGAATACTGTTAACACTAATTTGCATATCCCATGTAAAAGTCTAGATGAACGTTTCCAGAGAGAGAAGTAGTCAATATTAACATCATGAAGGGGGACCAGAAGGCAACAGGTTTAAAAGGTTGGATTCTATTGCCATCTACTCAACATGTAGCACCATTCTAAAAATCTCTTTGTTACAACACACCCTTTATAATATGTCCAAAGAGGTGAAAAATACTTTGCATGCATAGGTTCTCCCAGATCTCAAATCAAAAAGCTAAAACGATTAGATGGACACAAGAGTTTCAATTATGCTAAAGAAGATGACGCCATGACAGATGACACAGGTATATGAATTATTGGGTTGGGCTACGCTGGTTAACACAACGTTACATTCGTGTTCATCACTCTTAGCCTAGAGCTTTTGTATGTATTGGTATCATGTATATCATCCCAAAAGCAGAGAGCGTTGGTGTTAGAACATTTGAAGAGTAATACAAACCTGTTGCCAGCAGAAACTCATGAGGATGAAAATCCAGGCTTTGAATTTGCCCTTCATGACACTTAAACTCGGTCAACAGTTTTCCAGCAGTTAAATCCCACACCTGCCAAAACAAACTGCACATGTAAATACTCTCCTACAGCATATTCAACTCAATTGCAGAGAGGTAACACTAATTACTCCAAATTCTCCCAAAAAGAAATCCTAACTAATCATGTCTACGAAGCAGCTGTGTTTCCCTCCGCAACAGACAAGAAAAAATCTCATATCCAAAAATGAAAAATAAGCAGCTACCAACCTTCACTATGTTGTCTTCTCCTCCAGATACAACCCAGCGACCATCTGGGGTGAACCTGAGTACATTGACTCCTCGAGTGTGGCCCTTGTAAGTATGGATGCAACCTTTTTTCCTTATATCCCATATCTTAAGGTTTGTGTCTAGTGAGCCTGACGCAAAAAACTCACCGAAAGGGTGAAAATCCACTGCGGTGCAATTCGACCTGTGACCAGTGAGAGTCCTGACAACTACGAGAGAGAATGCATAAGCAATCATAGGAGCCAAACTGAGTCATAAAAGAAGGGTCTTTTGGAACTATTAAACTTACTCTTTGCCTCCTCTAAATCCCAAAGTTTGATAGTACCACTAGCAGCTCCTGCTGCAACTAAGACCTCCGAAGCATCAAACGTCACTGAATCAATTCCGCTCGAGTGCCCATACAAGCTCTGACAAACAACATCCACAATAGGTGAGATACTCATAAACACTCATAAAGAGAAAATCTCCAAGACCACTCTGCTAAATAATATGAAAGTCTTAAAATTTCTCCTAAAACCAACTATGCAATTCACCAAGGCAAGCAGATGGAGAACTGACCAGAATGGCGTTGGGCTTACCAATAGCCCAGAGATTGACCTTGTGATCTTCCCCACCTGTTACTAAAACTCTAGATGATTTCCTTCCGATCTTGAGACAGTTGACAGCAGCAGAATGTGCCACAAATTCCTCTATGAATCACTCAAGTCAAGGCTAAGCAATGCAATTAGATGAGACTCTCTAGTCAAAACTCAACTTGACTTGAAAAGACTTAAATTCAAACACACAAGTCCCGAGAGGTCTTAAATCACTTCACGGGGAAAAAGCAACATAAAAATCAAAAGCTTATAGGACGAAAACAGATCTCGTGCACAATCAGAATTAAAGCAGCAGATCAAGCAAGGCACTTGTGCTGTTAATCAATGACAATCAGAACAAACCCTAAAAATAGAATCCCCAGCAAACTTGAAAAATTCAATCAGAAAGAGTGAAAATTGGTAGACAAAAGGATACGTAGCTTGTAAGCTCGCTTGGTAGTCATGGCGGAAACGAAACCCTTGCAATGGAGGACATTCAAATTCCAACTCTGACCCAGACGAGAACAGAAATTCAAAGAAAGCACAAAGCTTTCTCAAGATCTCCGCTTCTTAACCGCTGACCCAATCTGAAATCTCGAATGGGAAATAGATCAAAAACCCAGAAATCATTTGGGGAGGAGCAAAAGAAGCCACGAGGAAATGACGCCGTACCAGCAAAAAGGGCTTAACTTCTTCTTCCGAAAACAAAAACCCAATCTCACTCCGCTTGTCTTCTCTTCTCTCGAGGAGAACAAATAGGTGAAGAGAGAGATTGAAAATGGGTTGGAGAAAGGAGAAGTTTTTAAGGAACAGTGAAAATATCAGAGTCGCGAAACGTTGCTGTTGCTGTTGTTCCCTTAGAAATTAAAAAATCTAAGGAGAAAGGAAGAGTGGTTGAATGAGTATTTTTAAGTGATTTCTCTTTTCTCCAATGGCGAAGTAAAAAAGGGAGGAAGAGAGAGAGATTGACAGAGAGCACAGCACAACGAAAGGAAGGAGAGAGAGAGAGAGAGAGAGAGAGGCAAAAAGGAGGCGCAGAGAGTCTTTTTAACCTTTGCTTCTTTCTCCCTCTTCTCTCTATTTCAAATTCCAAAACAATTTTGAGTTTTCCTTACTTTCCATGCCATTTGCATTTATTTACTAGAAATATACTAACATATATTTTCCATTTACATGTTTATAAATATCATCTTTTTTTTTCCATCCAGTGACACATGAAAAATCAGTTCTCTTTTATCATTTTGGCTCATGTTCTTTTAGGACGATTATATTTATGAATAATTTATTGGTTTTCCAATTCAAAACTATATTACTTAATAATAAATTTGATATTCTAACAATACAAAGTTATGATTTTAAGATTAGTATGCTACATGTCCTATTACAATATTCCAAAATCTGAATATATTTAGTGAAAGCAATCTGAGTATATGTTGATTGTATGAACAAAATTATATTTTTGCATATCAAATTAATTTTTCAATCCTAAAAAGGGTTACATACTTACATTGCACAACTGAAATCCCGGATTGCAAAATTCAATTTTGAATATGAAGCTACTGTCGGTGCTATAATGGAAGATGGACATGTAATCATTAATATGTGATTATTGCTTAGCTGATAAATATTATATTATCATGGACCCCTGTCGATTTATAAGTTTCTAAATTTATGCAAACACAAGGAAATGCTTCGATAATCTTTCTTTTGGTCGATCTCATGTCTGAACTATTGGAAAAGCAACGATAAAACGCTCGGTGTATGTAATCCATCTACTTTTATTCAATAGTGTCTAAAACAATTTAGTATGAAGATAAAATAAGCGATCCAACAGCAAAACAAAACTTTATATATGTACGCGTAATCATAACGAAATAACAGTGACATTAGATAGACCAACGTTGGATCAACAAAAATAATGGTAGAGGGTTTGTGTTGATAATAACGGACGACCTAATTGCATGGGGCCATGTGAGATCCCATCATCACGCTCACGCATAAGTACACAAATCAAATCTAAAACAAAAACTTTTTTTTCTTCTTCCGTTCCCTAAACAAAATGAAACGTCTAGTTAACAACAGACTTAATCTACAACAGACTTAATCTATAAGTCAATCTAAATTCAAAAGGTTCTTCCTCACCCGTACATGGCTTACCGTTGCAATGCTGTTTAATTAGATTGACATTTCACTAGAGAAATCATGAAACCTATGAAATGAAATTTGAATCACGTTTTTCTTATAAGAAAAACAAAATCTTATATACAAACATAGTTCAAAATAATGTAGCATATTCAGCTACAAACTTCTATAGAAACGTTGATATGTACATTTTGTCTTTGGTAATTTTACGAATTCTCCCACAACGATATCATCATCAGAAGTCCAATTTAGTTTTTAGCTTCTGTTATTTAAATCCAAAACCCATAAAAGATGAAAAAATTACAGTCTCACTAGCTAAAAGAAGAAACGACAGCCAACGAATTTTGAAACAGAACCTAAAATTACGGGTATAAGGTTTTGACTTTGCAATACTTGTCTAATCTTATAATTGGCTGCTTGCTTTACTTTACAAAGTGTGCAGTCGCTAATTAAAAAGTTAAATCCAATCATTGCCACCATGGTCTGGCCTGGCTTGTCCTAGATGTGCTGTCACTAAATCTGAGTATTGTAATCCAATAATTCTATTCATTTTTTAATTTGTTATTGTTTTGAAGCTATCCACTCGATTTTTATAAAATCTTCTAAACGTTGAATGTGTTAGGACGTTGGAAGACGTGATTCATCGACGTGTTAGTACGTTATAGTCGAGCACCAAGAAATGAGCATTATATTACACTTGAGTTTTTCTTTTCCCACCGAGAATAATGTGAATATGACATAATTAGAAAATTGGAGTGTATCTATGACATATGTTAGATGAATTTGACTACCTTACGACACCTGACTCACGAACCAAAAATGGCCCTAAGGTTACAACCACCATACGAAACTACTTCATCAGTTCAATAAACATGGATTACATACATTACCAAGATACATATAGGTAATTATTTTGTATTGATTCCTTATCTTGCAACATTTCGACCACAAGTCTCCCTAACAAAAGCTTAAAATCTACTAAGAGTTGCTCAAGAACAAGGAATCTAGACTGCATTCTCCTCTATCCCACGAGCAAAAAATGCAACCAGATTACAATACGCAGCAGGATAAATACAATCATCAGTATCAAAACGACGAGTCTAACCCATTTACAAACACCAGATAAGAGGACAAGTTGTATAAGACCAGAGAGAGGAACGAGAATACACATTCTAAATTCACCTGAATCCATTTGCATCGGAAACTACCTAATAAACTGTTTGCATAAGTACACTCCAACTATATAATAGTATCCAATCAATACCACCCACTGGACGAGACTCTTTAAGAACATGATACTCTCAAGTGCTGTCTCAAATAGAGCCAGTGTGTGATACTCAAATCCTAGAACCACCCTGATCATCAAGATCAAGATCCAAGCTTTTCGATATTTCATGTAAACTAAAGTGTTATCCCAAGTTGGATCTTGATCACGATATGGAAGACTTTGAAACAATTCATCTCAGTATCCAACTTTTCGTTTCTTCCAATATAAGATGAAGTGTGTAATCTATCTATCTAACTTGTACGAAATCGACAACGAGATTAAGGCAATGGAATCAATCAACAACAAATTGGGAGGTGAATGAAGCCTTATGTATATGATTGCTAAAGATAATACATACATGAGTACATTACAAATCATTCACAACGAATTCTCCATTCCCAGGTTTCAGTGAACACAAACAAAAGCATACTGAGAAAGAGAAGAGTGAAAAAGAATTTGCCTTGTTGTGTTTATCACGGATCGATGAACTCGAACTCGTCTTCCTTGAGGTGTGCGACGAATTTGACAGGACCACGACCTTCAATCTCTTTGAAGAACTCCACCTTATACGGAAGATTAGCTGATATCCGTTTCCCTTTCCATACGGCGACGTAATCTTTCAGTTTCCCTTCCATCCCTTCCAAATCTACCTCCGGCACGCGATTTACATGATAAACCTTCAACGGCGCTGTTACCCTAACCGTAGATCCTACCTTCGCCTTCGCTTCCGCTTCGATCTCCTCCTCCGATGACGGCGAAGACGAAGGATCGGCTTCTGCGTCTACCGAATCCGCGGATTTTACAGCTACATCGCATCGAATCGTCATCGTGGAAGATCTTCTTGTGCTGGCTGTTTTGGTTCGAGCTTGAGAGGCGAAAAGCGAGAGAGGTGAGACGATGCAGGATTTGAGCGCCATGGGGCCAGTAGCAGCAGTGGCGGAAGCGGAGAGACAGTCGTGAGAAGCTAGAGGGCGAACGGCGGCGGCGATCGCCGGTGACATAGCGATTGTGCTACTCATCTGAAAATGTGTGCGAAGATTGGGAAAGTCGAAAATGAAATCCGAGTAAAATAAATATAACTGCCTTTTTTCCCAGATTCAACAAAACGGTAAAACCAATTTAACCAAGTAACTCAAAAAGGTAAAAAAATAAAGCGGTAAAAATGAAAGATCTTTATGATGCATAAAAATGATTTACCGTTAACACAGACGTGGCAATGAAATGGAAGGATAAACATGAGAAGAAGGAGGAGTCAAGGTCTCAAGGAGATAAACAAAGGTTTAGGATCGGATGGATATATTGGAGTGAAAGGAAAGGAGAAGAAGACCAACAATAGAAGACACGTGCACTTTGAAAAGGACAATTGGATAATTTCACGGGATGAGGAACGTGCGGCTTCAAGTAAATGCAACTGATGATGCTTTTAGACTTCCGTGTCAGACAAACAGAATCTCTATCAGTTCAAATATCTTATGAAAATATTCGAATATTTTCTTGGGCATATCAAGATATCATATACGGACTATAATGTGGAGTTAATTAGATCGTTGTGCTTGTGGTAGTCCAAAAATTCGCTATCGTTAGATAAAACTATATCTACTGATATTATTGAGTTTGAATTATCCGATCCTTAGATTTATGATTTATCATGTCATTGAGAGTTGTCCCTATCGGCGGCCATGATTCATCAAAATTCACCACCAAAACAACTAGATTAAAAAAAAAAAAACGTGCAGACAAAACATCTGAAGAGTTGCAGATTCGCAGCTTAAGTTCATATATTGTGGACAATGTGGGCACAAAACGACAAAATAAACCTGCATGTGAATTTATTTGACAAATCCAAGGGAACACGCAAATCAATGTCGGAAAACACATATAGTACATATATGATTCAAAACACACACATGAAAAAAGAAAAGAAAAACAGAGGGCAAAAGAATATACAAAGGGTTTAGGGTTTTAGGGAACTTATGGCACAGAAGGAAGGATGGTGATCACAGTTTCATACTCTCTTGTTATTTTTCTCTTATCGCTTAAGCTATTGACGCCGACCAGAACCAAAACAATTTAACAAAAAAAAAGAATTCCAGATATATATAAACACCCAAACTCTTTCTCTTTCCCTTCTTCTCTCCCTCCAGCCTCATAATTTGATGTGATTTAATAACTATAAATGTCGTTCAGGAGCGTTACCGATCAGTCTGCATTGTTCCGGTAGCATAGTCGATATCACTTCTCCATTCAACGCAAACAGCTCTCCATCTATACCGCAACTGTCATGCGTCTGTTTTCCCGCCTTTATCTTCACAGATTTCACCTACATTTTTCATCGCAATTGATCAAATACACTCTTAAGACAGATTGGGTTTGGCCGTTGATTAGCACTTCTCTAGCAAAGTCCGAGCTTCGGAAAGAGAAAAGGAGAGATTTGAGAGAAATGAATTACCTTTACACACTCGACATAAGGAAGAGAAAGGTGTCGACCCATTTGCAGAAGCACGAAAAACTTCATCAACCTGAGTCTTCCACACCCATGAACCAAGAGCATGTCCATAGTACCATCGTCATGTTCTGAATTGGGAGCCACCACTTGAGAGCTCTGCACTGTCCGACAAGCATGGTTACAGACCATGATGCCAAGGAAATGTCCCTTTCTCGCAACCCATTTATCTTCATATATTGGTGTGATGCTCTGCTTCCTCAGCCCTGTCTCTATATCCTCAGGAGGACCTGGCAGCTCGATTGAGTTCTCTAAATCCCAAGCAGACGGCTCCGTGTCCCATTTAGGTCCTGCATCCCATATCGGACCTGGATCGGATACAGTAGATGAAATATCTTCTCTGTCATGAGCACCGGTATTCCCCCAAGAGCATCGATTTGGAGGATCCTGCACAGATGTTAACCCCATCCATCCTTTATCTGTTCTTGACTTTGACCTTGTCCTTGGCCAATTAGGGGTTGTTGACTGTCCTTGAGGCTGAATAACCTCTGACTCTGCTGTTACATCTCTTCTGCCAGAGGACATGCGTTTCATTTTAGGATCTATCCCACGAACATATTCGGATGGCTCCGTGCTGGCATGTGTGCTGCTACACGTGTCTAGTTCCCCTACGCTTGGGGTCATTATAGAGTCAATACTTGATAAACTGGAAGCTCTAGGCAACCCTTCTCTGCTAGATCTCCGCATCACATCCGTGTATAGATCTTGCACATCCACAACTTCCTTTTCTATTCCATTTTTGCCTTCTGCGTCCTCTTTTTGCGCCGGTAGATATTCCACTTCATAGCTATACTTTGGCAAACACATGAACTTGAGGAATCCAGCAAATAAGTAACGCATAGGACCAAAGCGTTTTTGGTATTTCTCAGAGAGCTCCAAAACTGCAGATAGATAAAGAGAATACGATTTGAAAACCATGAATACAGATATAGCCTGTGAATGCCACAAACATTATATCAATGAAAGTACTGATATGTGCAAAATAAATACTTCACACTTTCACAGCAATAATTCTGACCGTCAAACAGGACAAAGCATGCAGGTTTTTCCGCTTACCGTCGCTAACAAAACCATAGTAGGAGACAGTCATTCCAAAGTGCATAACCCCCGTATGAATCCATTCAACAGCAAATACATCAGTAGCTGTTAGGCCACCCTTAACCAAAAAAGAACAAAAAAAACAAATCCTTTGAGCTGAGAAAACATAAATCAAACAGAAGCTAGATAATGTTGGTGGGCGTATAAATCAAAGCAGAGACCAACAAGATATTAGCCTGGAGTACCTTCACGATAGAGAGTGCTGCAGAAATAGGATCTCTAACACCAAGAACAGTCCAAACTAGCGAGTTATCAGAGCCAGCAGGCACTATTCCAATTGGGATAGAAACTCCTTCTTTCGGATTGCTTCGAGAAAGTAGACCATTAAGAACCTGCAACATTGGAAAGGGGCAGGGCATGAGATGAGAGCTCATTTCAAGTAAATAGAAAGTAGGAGAGGCTAACATCAAAGGCTGTATTTTCTATGCATCTTAATCTACCTAAAGAGTTCTATATCAAACGAAAAAATCAAGAGCGAAAGTTCTCATATGTTTAAACTCGAGCAAGTAATTCCCTAAAAGATGCATCCCAAAGTCCTCGCTCCAGAGGATAAGAGTTACTAAACTCTTCAAATGATTCAGCATGCTTGCAAATTGGCGTGAGCACGCTGAAATAAGCCAATAAAGTTCCGTTTCAATAAAAAAAAATTTGGTTCAGTAGCACATCAAGGCACTAGGGCATGTAACAGAGCAGATAAGAAAAAGAAGTATGGTTTAATAGGAACAGCACTTCTCAAACTTAACCCCTAAAGAAAATAGAAAACAAATGACCATAAGTTAGGAAGGCTAACTATCACACCTCATTGATGATTCCGTCACCTCCAACACAAATTATACCTGAAAGAATTATCAAGATGTCATAAGTAACAAAAGACATGTATGAAAATACTCATATAAATACTCATATAGAAGCTGATATGATTTAGTGATGGACCAAGCATTGGTACCGTCTGAGCATAAGCTGATGTCAACAGTGGAAGCCAACTCTCTCGCATGACCCGCTTTATTTGTTTTGACAACTTCCATCTTAATCCCCGCCAGCTGTGAGAGTTTACAAAAGATACAAAAAAACATAATGATTATATAAAAATGTGATCATGCAGAGTACGACATCCAAATGAAGCAAAAAGACGGAAAAGGTACCTTGAAAATTGGTTCCACTACATCGTGGAAAACTTTGGTAGAGCGTCCATGCCCTGACCTAGGGTTCAATATGACTAACATTTTGGGTGCACTCTTACACCTGAAGACCAACTCAGGAGGAGTATCGATGGGGACCGAAAATAACTCAGACGAAGCCTGTTTCTTTGAGACTAAAGGATGTGGCAAACAGTTGATAAAACATTGTTGATCTGCAAAACTGGCCACCCATTGAACTGCTTCTTCTACTGTAGGTGCGATGAAACGGAAATCCTTGCGGCTTCTCTTTGGTTTCGAGAAGCAAGAAAGGCCACAAGAACCCTTTCCAAGTGGGTAAGCATGCACAGTGAAATGCCTGAGCCCAACATTGTACGTCAACTGTCAAAAACAACAAAACGCAGATAAGTTTCTCGACTCAGTTCTTTTTCAATACACAGAGTTACCAGAAAAAAAGTTTACCGAGACAACGTCGTCAAGCTGTAGCATGTCAACACCCCAAACCAAAGCCCTGCTCGTAAGCCTTGCATCAACTGCTTTTTTATTAAAGATATCTGCGGCAGCTGGTTGCTGTGCCTCTGCCGCATCTTTCTCACTCACAGATTTTCTCTTATCCAATAAAAGCTTCCCGGAGTAAACAAGACTACCTAACAAATCTGATTTCTCATCCCCTCCACCGATATCAATCCGATGCTCGTTAGCGTTTAATTTCACCTGTAGGTCATTGGTAACCTCAGCACGTCTTGAAGATGCCCTCACCTTCTTGCTTCGCTTCTCAGGGAATACTACAGGGGATGACTGCTGAGATCCGCCGGTGGCTATCTGAGAGCAAAAACCTAAGCGCCTAAGCGACTGCTGAGCCTGAGGGATCGCTACTTTTAAAGAAGAATTCCGATTCACACCACTCTTCTGCATATCCGTTAGCTAAATATCTCTGCCGACGAAACGGACGCGCAGTGATCGGGAGGCATAAACAAACGGAAAACCCCCAAAATCCTGAGTCCTGATGAGCACAAGCAATCCAAACAGAGAAACCCAGAAACGATTTCTCTGCCGAGCTGGTCAACGAACAGATTTCAGGGAGAATTAAGGCGGCGAACCGCGAAATCCAAATCCAAATCGTATCAGATCTGTGTACGCGTTTCCGGGAATTCTCCTTGTTCAGAATCAAAACTCCCTGTAAGAAATTCATGCCACGAATCGATTTATATGCAGCATTTTGATCGAAATTTAATCAAAATAAGAACAGTAGTCGTCAGATCATGCGGAATCGCAAGAAATGGAAATAGGAAAATGACAAACTAATCGGAAAACAAATCGTCGCTTAACCAGAAGATGATATGAGAGCTGCTCAGCTATTGCGTCTTACCTTCGCTTCTCGGCGAACAAAAGTGATAAGAGAGAAGTGTGACAAAGTAACGCCGCCGGATCGGAGGATCTGAGAATCGTCAGAAATGAATAGAGGTGGCGGAGAGAGATAGAGAGAGAGAGAGAGAGAGAGAGAGAAGAAGACGATAATGGTGGAGATGACTCGATCCGATTGGATTCGACTCGACAGCTGAAACCTATGGCCCCCTCCTTTCGGATTTATTTCCACTACAGAACCTTTTTTTGGACTTCTAATTTCCAAAAAATTAATGTATTTTATTTCGTTCTTTCGTCAGTATTTAAAAATTAAATAAAAATTAACTTTGCTTTATGGTTTTATATTTTATCATCGCAATTGCTTTAGCTACAAGATAGAATTTTTATATTCTTGTTATTAGTTTCGTACAATTGTAATCCAATCATAATGGATTGATATTATTACTTCTTAGTATTTGGATTTGCGTTACTTATTTTCATTTTGTCTGGTAATATTTCTTATAGATCAAGTGTATATCTCTACCTATAAATACACATACAAATAAGAAGAATAATTTATTATTATATTTTTGTCACACTAACATAACATAACATTTCAAACATAAACATAAATGCATAATCATTCTCTATTAAAAAAAAACAAAAATCAACACCTAAATCACCGACTTTCACATTATCTTTATATTTGATAAATAATTTGATCTTTTTCCCTCCCAAAAAAAACGAGGAACAGCTATGTTGTTTTCGGAGATTTTCGAAAATATTAATAGAAAAAAAAGTCAACTACAGTTACACCAAATTTGGAAATGATATAATTCTAACTTCCAAATGTGATTGGTGACGATTGACGAAGTACTACGATGTGTAGTTTACCATGTTTTCTTACTAGCTATTAGATGCCGAATATGCTGCATATAACAAAAACAATATCTCTGCATAGTTTAGATTAGCTGTCAATATTTTTGTTGCTTGACTTAAACAATACTCCCTCTGTTCCATATTATAAGTTGTTTTGGCATAATGTATCTGCAATTTTCTGGATGTATCTGGAGGGAACAGAGAGAGTAGTAAGCTTCTAGAGAAACGATTATGCTATGTTAGTTGATAGGTTTATGTTAGTAATAGCCTTATAATTAAAAAATGATTTAGAGATGGATTAGTGGAAGAAGTTGGTAGATGGAAGATGGTCCCTTGTCGAAAGGACTATTGCCATTAAAGAAGTCACGCAAATTATTGAAGTGGAAAACTTATATATAATGGTTTGGTTCATTCAATTTAGAATTCGATGTGGCGACCAACAGACAAGTGATGCTTCGTGAACAAGGATTGTTAAAAGAGCATCTTCTCATACATCAAAAGGCATATTATTGCTTTATTTTTTCTTATTTTTTTGTATTACTTAAATGAAGTCTGGAATGATATAGATAATGATACAATTCCTCTGGGTCGAATATTCTGCAGTGTCATAATAGATTTGTAACACGTCTTGTGCAGATCCTCTGACGAAAAAATAAACACACACACACATCTCTTTTGAAAAGTTTTATAAAGAGGATTAGCTCCCTTTTTTGTTAACATAAGGATGATTAGCTAAAAAACTCATGGAAAACGAGAAAGTAGATAAATTAGGTATTCATTTCTTAGACCATAAGAAAAAAAAGGTTAAAGACTGTATTGTTTAATTTCTAGAGTGGAACGACTGATACAAAAGAACATCTCAAAATGCGAAAGTAGCCAATGCAGAGAACATCTCAAAATGCAAGAAGATAATAAACAAAAGAACTTTTATCAGATTTCATTCATGTTACCGTTTTAAAATTAAAAGTAATATAATCCGAAAAATGGATAATTCTGTATGATTTTGTGTTGTGACATGTAGATGGGCCTAGATAGTGTCTGATGTAAATAAGGCCTATTATAGTTTCTAGAATATTAACCAAATTAAAGAGGGTACAAAGGTCAATTCCCGGATGAGGGTTTGGCGCGCGCAAAGACGGATCTCTCGGAGAAAAAGGAAACAATTTGGGATTTCCTTTTTTTCACTAATCTCTCCAGTCTCTCTCTCAATATAAGCCTCCGTTGTTTGTTGCTCTTCAACAATTTGCCAATTTCACTCCCAAACTCTTTGATTTTTTTCCGATTTAGGATTTGGGTTTCGTTAGGGTTTCGTTTTCTCTCTCGTGTGATCATCAGAGAAACCATGTCTCTTGTCGAGAATTCTCTCTCTCTGGTACCGGAACCCAAACGGCGGAAGATAGCTCCGATAAAAATCAGAATCAAACTCTCTCCTCCGTCTTCTTCCAAGTGCGACCACTGGTTCGTCCACCACGGAATCTGCATCTCCTGCAACGCGACGATTGACAAAACCGAAGGCAGATCTCTCGACCACATCGACAAAGGGATACAGATGAGCCAAAAAGGTTTAACCTTTACGAAGCGAGCCATCTCGCAAATCTCTTGGCTCGAGAAGAAGAAGCTCCACTTAGTCCTTGACTTGGACCACACGCTTCTCCACACAGTCCCGACGTCACGGCTTTGTGAGTCGGATAAGTATCTAATCGAGGAAGCGGGGTCAAGATCAGATCTTTGGAGGTTCGACAAACCGTTTCCGAGTGAAAACTTGATAAAGTTAAGACCTTTCGTGCACGAGTTCTTGAAAGAAGCGAGCGAGATGTTCTCTATGTATGTTTACACAAAGGGTGGTTACGATTACGCTAAGCTCGTGTTGGAGCTGATTGATCCGGAGAAGGTTTACTTTGGAGATAGGGTTATAACCAACAGAGAGAGTCCTGGAAAGAAGACGCTTGATCTTGTGATGGCTGATGAGCGTGGGACTGTGATTGTCGATGATAAGCGTAGCGTTTGGCCTGATCACAAGAGTAACTTGCTGCAGATCGCAAAGTACTTTTATTTCAGAAGCAACGAAGACGTTGTGAAGTCGAAAAGAACGTTCTTGTATGATGTTGAGGGGAAGAAGGGAGATGAGAGTGATGTGAATGGACCATTGGCGAGTGTTTTGAGAATTCTCAAGGAAGTTCACAAAGGGTTTTTCAGTGGAAAGATTGAAGAGAAGTTGGATTCAGTGGATGTGAGACCTTTGCTACTAGCGCCCTCCTTGAGATCAAAGCGTAAAGCTCAGGTTTTGGTTTGAAAGTTGTGGTTGCATTTTAACTTGTTATTAATGTTTCTCTGTTTTTGTTTATATGAGGTATTGATAGTTATTGTATAAGAGGACGTCTATTTAGGGGTATGCTATGACATAATGTAATGAGAAATCTGAGTTTTGATACAAATTCAGTCCACAATGTTTCACGTCAATGGATTTCCATCAAACGCAACTAAGGATATGTTAGCTGTTTATGACAAATTCTTTGATGAGCCAAAAACGCAAACTGAAAGTTATTTAATCCATCTGGATTCCATACAATTGCCAAAAATAAATGGTCATACTCGCATGGACTTGGAGTCCTTGATAATCATAAATGAGAAAAATGAGTGGTCTAAAATAGTCTTTGATATGCAAGGGTAGTTGATTTAAGACGTTGTCGTTTTGATCAAGATGAGAATGTCTTTGAGACATTTTGAGTCTTTGAGACAGATATTTGTACTGGAGGACAAATGAACAACAAGGCTGCCACGTATGACGTATGTCTTAGTCAACGGAACCAGTCAACCAGTAACCGGAACCAGTCAACCAGTCGGATTTCCTTATCATAAGCAGATTAGTTTACAGTCTCCGACTCTCCGCCAATGGAATAACTTCACGGGGAAATAATTCGGATTCATTATTCTTGTCCTTTTCCCGATGGGAGATTTTCGTCAACCAAACACAGCGTATCATCTCGTATTCGTCTTCTTCTTCACGCTCGCCGTCGCTGCACGAACCACCGGCTACGTCAACTGCCAATTCGGTTCGCTTCGTTACCCGTTCGGTTTCTCCGACGATTATCCGATCCGATTCAACTGCTCGACAAATGGCTCTGCGGAAATCGGCGATTTCGCTGTAGAGGAAGTGACGAACGCAAGCATCTACGTGAAAATCCCGCCGATGTGCAATCGCGAGTTTGTCAAAGTAGAACAGCTCTTCAGAGGTAACTTTGCTCCTTCGAATGACGAGAACTTAATTTTCGCCCTTGGATGCAACAAATCGTCGTCTACTTGTTCAATTAACCCTAGATTTCTCAGTACCGCTATGTCTGCCAATACTAGTTGTGATTCTTTGGTGGGCTGTGTCGACGGAACGGCGACAAAAACAACAGCTGATGTTATGAGTATGGGAGGCGTTGTTAACCGAACCGGATGTAAATATTTGTTATCTTCTGCTACGTATGTGTTGGAGAATAATAACTCGGCAACTGCATTGGCTTTCGGTCGACTTAGGCTCGACTGGTGGCTTAAGGAAGGTTGCAGTAACACGGCTTGCTCGGAAAACGCGAACTGTACGCAAATCAAGCTCCAAGACGGCGGACTAGGTCATCGGTGCACTTGTCTCGACGGATTTCACGGCGATGCCTTCACTGTGCACGGTGGTTGCCGATCAGGTTTGTACGGGTCTTTTACTGACTTAAACACAAGTCGCTTTAAAAAAAAACTAAAACTGACTTTTCAAAGAATAAGAATAAATTAGGCTTTAGATTGATTTTGAGGTCGTCGTACAAAATAAAAGTTAAAACAACAGTGCTTAAAAGAAACCAAACGTAATATCATTGAAAATGGTTTTGGTATAAGTCTTTTAGTCTTGTAAGATTTGAACGTAACTTAGACCAAAACCATTTTCCATTCACCTTTTTTCCCCTTATCTCTTCTTCGCCATTTTCCTTTAGATTTTGTGTGTGTGTGTGTGTGTGTGTTTTCTCTCTTCTATCGCAACTTCCTCTAGCTTATGATAACCATGTATAGAAGTCCATTCAATTTAACTTTTGTTTTTGTACCTTAGGCAATTCCGTCGATGAAGTCATCTCTTTCAAAGTGAAAATAGGTGCTCCTTCTCTCTTTGGTTCAACAAACCTGGTTTAATTACTATCACCAAAAGGCAACTACAAAATCTTATTACGGAAACCATGCTTGTGCTTTCATCTCTAGGAATCGGGATTGCTTCTATATTGTTTGGACTGGTGGTAGTGGTTGGAGTTTCGTTATGTCTAATTAGCCGACGAAGGAAGACATTCAATAATGGAAGAAAACAGAATCTAAAGGCCCTTGTTCAATTGAAACACTATAGCTACGCCGAAGTAAAGAAAATTACTAAGTCATTTGGCCAAGTTGTTGGGAAAGGCGGATTTGGAACTGTGTACAGAGGAACCTTAAGTGATGGTCGAAGTGTTGCGGTGAAGGTCTTGAAAGACTCAAAGAGTAATGGTGAAGACTTCATTAATGAAGTTGCGAGCATGAGTAAAACTTCTCATGTCAACATTGTTGACTTACTTGGATTCTGCTCTGAAGGTTCCAAGAAAGCAATTCTCTATGAATTTCTGGAAAATGGCTCTCTTGATAGATTCATCTCGAGAAGGACCTCGATGAATATGGACTGGAAAACACTATACAACATTTCTCTTGGCATTGCTCGAGGTTTAGAGTACTTGCATCATGACTGCAAAGCAAGGATAGTACATTTCGACATAAAACCACAAAATGTACTCTTAGATGACAATCTATGCCCGAAAATTTCAGACTTTGGACTCGCTAAGCTCTGCAAAAAGAAAGACAGCATCTTGTCACTTCTAGACACAAGAGGAACAATAGGGTACATTGCACCCGAAGTTTTTTCAAGAATGTACGGTAGAGTCTCCCACAAGTCAGATGTGTATAGCTACGGAATGTTGGTCCTAGAAATGGTTGGTGTAAGGAACAAAGAAAGAGCTGACCAAAACTCTTCATCAAACGCAAGCTCAATGTACTTCCCTGAATGGATATATAAGGATCTTGAGAATGGAGGCAGTGGAAGGCTTATCGAGAACGGAATCAGCATGGAAGAAGACACGATAGCAAAGAAGATGACGCTGGTGGGTTTGTGGTGTATTCAGTCTTCCCCATCTGATCGTCCACCAATGAACAGAGTGGTAGAAATGATGGAAGGAAACCTGGATGATCTTCAAGTCCCTCCTAGGCCAGTTTTGCAAATTCCCACATTGCCTCTTCAAGAATCTTCAAATCTATCAATGGATATTTCGGTTTAAACCTCCTTGGATCCTATTAAAGCATAAAAAAAAGCAAATGTATTAACACATTTCAAACATATTAGCACTAAGATAGTTGCATGTCGATGCGTGTGCATTGTGTATTTAGTTGTTTTGTACAGTATATTTTTTTTATATAGAATTATAATTTAATATTTTTCACGTGTAAAAAATGCAAAAAATATTTGATATATGAAAAATACTTAATTTGATAATGTAATTTTTGTTGTTGCTCGACTTCTTAAACAATGAGCTTTTAGAGAAACGATGAAGCTATGTTAGTTATGGTTTAGCTTAGTAATAGCCTTATAATTAAAAAAAAAATGATTAGAGATGGATTAGTGGAAGAAGTTGGTGGATAAAAGATGCTCCCTTGTCAAAAGGATAAGTGTCACCCTCATATAATAAGTTTGAGGTTTTAATTTGTAAACATTTTGGTATCACATTGATCAGTTTCGAATGCAGCCAACATCTTCGACTGATCAATCTAAAAGTGCGTTTATTGTAAACAACAGACAACAACTTTTTTAGATAATATAATTTTGAATCTAACCATCTACATCCGAAAACATAATTGGAGGCTATGTCATTTTAGTGTACGTTGTTGTGAATGGACCATTGGTGAGTGTTTTGAGATTCAGTGGATGTGAGACCTTTGCTACTAGCGCCCTCCTCGAGATCAAAGCGTAAAGCTCATGTTTTGGTTTGAAAGTGTGATTTTATTTTGTTATTGTTACTCTGTTTTAGTCTATATGAGGTATTTTATTGTATAAGGTCTATTTATGCCTATGACATGTAATGAGAAATATGACTTTTGATTCAAATTCCAAAATGTTTCACGTCAATAGACTTCCATCACACGATGAAGGATATGTTACTGTTTATGTCAAATTCTCTCCACATATAATAAATCTAACATATCAGATAATAAGCTAACTTTACAAACCTGAAAAATTCAAACCACAAGTTATTGTTCAATCCGACAATTCCTTTCCCCTGGATACCATATTATTTCGAAAAAATTGTCGTATTCGCATGACTTTAGAGTTGACCTGAAATAAGAATAATCAAAGTCCTTCTTACATGTAAAAATGAGTGGTCTAGAATAATCTTTGATATGCAAGGTAGTTGATTTAAGACTTTGTGTTTTTACTTAACTCTGTGTTGGAGAGCTAAGAAACAAAACTGTGTGGAGGCAGAAGCTTGGAGGAGACTAGTGAAGCCATGTCGGTTGTTGTGGACGTCAATATTGATCAAGATGAGAATATCTATGAGAGATTGAAGAAGGCAGCTCAAGATGGGGATATCGAGAAACTGTATGCCTTGATTGCTCAAGATCCAGATATTCTTGAGCATTTTGATAAAGTGTCTTTCTGCGAGACGCCACTACACGTTGCAGCAGAAAATGGGAAAACTCATTTCGCCATGGAAGTAATGAACCTTAAGCCGTCGCTTGCTATGAAGCTAAACGTGTCGGGTTACAGCCCATTGCATTTAGCCCTTCAAGGTAAGCATGTTCGGATGGTGAGAGGATTTGTAGCTATGGACAGCAGCTTAGTGAGCATCAAGGGAAGAGGAAGGATCACACCTTTGCATCATGTGGCTCGAGTAGGTGATTCAGAGTTGTTGAGTGAGTTCTTGCTTGCTTGTCCTTCTTCTATACAAGATTTGACGATTAAGTGTGAGACAGCCGTGCACGTTGCTGTTAAGAATCATCAGTTTGAGGCGTTTAAGATTCTGTTGGGATGGATCCAGAGAGTAAAGAGGGAAGACATCTTGGACTGGAAGGATGAAGATGGTAACACAGTTTACCATAACGCTGCCTCAATGAACCAAACAGAGGTAAATAATAGATATGTTCTCTTGTCATTTATTTTTTTCCATTATAGCTTAGTTAAGTGTATATATGTTAATTAATGTCTCATCTTCTTGGTTTTGTAGGTGATGAAGTTGCTTGGTAAAACTGTGAAAGTAAATGCCAAGAACTTGGATGGTAAGACTGCAGCAGAGATACTCCAAACTTACAAATCTCCTTTTTTCCCCAAAGCAAGCAGATTTCTCCGTCGTGCTAAAGAAAGACTATTTTGTGGTCCCACAATGACTCTTGGGAGTTATTTGAGCAAGAAACCATCGCTTATTGAGAAAAGGAATAGTCTCTTGGGGCTGAGCAAGATTGGACACGGATCTCAAAGTAGTGACAGCAGGAGTATGATTCTTGTGGTGGCTATACTGGTAGTTACAGCTACTTACCAAGCTGGTCTCAGTCCTCCTGGCGGATTTTGGCAGGAGAGTTCCCCAAATGTAGGAGATTGGGATAGTCACGTAGCCGGGCAGATGGTAATGCCTTTCTACATAGCGTTATATTTTTATGTGCTCAATGGAATTGCCTTCTTCTCATCTTTATACGTGATCATGATCCTCATAGTTGGACTCCCCATGTGGAAGGTCCTCTACGGTTCTATTGCGGCTCTAGCCATCGCTAATATTGCAACCTTGAGCAGTACATTTCCGATTGGAGATGACCTAGCCGATGACCTAGTCGAGAATGTCATAGGGTCCATCTTGAATTTTGTGTACCTAGTGACTGTAGGATCCATAGTTTCTGCTCCATTCGTGGAATTCCTTGTCAGTAAGCGACGCAGGCACCGAGTGGACTTTCCATCCAAGTGCTTCAGCTCATAGAGCTTCAGCTCACCTCTATGAGCTTTAGAGATGAAGCGTGAAGCGTGTTAGTGTGTTTGTTACGAGTCAGTGTACACGTTAAACACGTTTACCGAATGGGTCTCTACATGTAACAAGCAACAAAAAAATAAGGGCGTTTGTGTTTCAATCAATGTACCTGAAACACCTCTGCTTTGGAAACAATCATGATGAGATTGTAAATCACAAAGTCTTTGAGATTCCTTGCGTGACCTCTTTAATAATTATAGGCCAATTTCTCTTTACGAATTACGACTCCTCCACTTAAAATACAATAATAAATCCTTCATTCATCTCTGCTAGTGACGGTTGCAGTCGCTCTCCAAGGTGTGATCTTTCAAGTTTAAGCATCCTCCGACTCCTCCGGATCATACATTCTGCCGGAGCACTTTGAGATTTCGTCAAATCCTTTCTCAAGGGTCTTCACTGTTCATCGATTTTTAGTGTTTACATTCGGCGGCGGGTTTCCTCGTTGGGTCGTGACGTTTCATATTCCCGCCACCACCACCGCTGAGCTAGCATTTTCATCACTGTAAACTTCCTTCTCTTTAATTCTCTCCGATTTCGAAACCACTAGCATTAATTTCTGGAAATGGGGATTGAAAAGTTCTCACCTTTTTTCTTTCTCAGTTTCTGTTTGGTTGATGAACTTCTTCACAGGTTCTCATTTCTGGAAATGGATGTGGAAATGGGTGATTCATCTTTCATGGAAGAGCGCAACGACAAGGTGAAAGTTTCGAGTAGAAAAAGGTCGAGAAAACCCAAACCTTTGGAATTTTTAGGATGGGGGTCAAAAAACCTCATCGAGTTTCTTCAGTCACTTGGTAGAGATACCACCAACAAGATCTCCGAGCAGGATGTTACATCGATTATCATGAGCTACATCCGGGAGAAGAACCGTGAGAATCCTTCCAGTAACAGAAAAAGCAGGAGTAAGACTGTAACTTGCGATGAGAAGCTGCGTCTGCTTTTCCAGACGCGTACGATCACATAATCAAAGTCCCTGATTTGGTAGAGAAGCATTACGTTGAGAATCAGGACGACGACGCAGAGTTTGGTTTCCTCTTCGACTCAGATGATGACAAAGGACAGCAGAGATTGTCTCTATCAGATAAGATTGATAAACAGATTACACAGGTTGTGAAAAAGCCTAAAGGGACTCTTGCTGCAATAGTGATGGATAACGTCAAGCTTTTGTATTTGAGGAAGAGTTTGGTTCAGGAACTAGCCAAGACCCCTGAAACCTTTGGAAGTAAAGTTTTGGGGACTTTTGTGAAGATCAAGAATCCCTCTCAGCTTGTTCAAATCACAGGTAATTTTCAATGTTTCGTTATTGGAAAGATATGCATGTTATGTTTCCGCTGATAACCAACAAACGAAACCATCTTTACACACAACAAAGGTTCCCTTCATGTCTTACTTATATTAACATTGATCACATCTCTTAGATAGCTGCATTGTTGTGAGAGGTTAAAATCTCTTATTCTTTGTGTGTTTGTTTTCCTGATAACTAGGTGTGAAGGAGGGAAATCCGATTGATGGTCATTTTCTTCAGGTTGCTAATTACTCATATCATCTAGAAGATGTTCCTTCCTCTGTCCTTTCAGATGATGATTTCTCTCCGGTGATATTCTCAGAGCTATGATTTTCTTTTTCTTATCGATGGCAATTAGGAAGACAGTTAGTCAAGATTTTAGTCTCATAGCTTTTTGTTAACGTTTGGCAGGAGGAATGTGCAGAATTGCGTCAGAGAATCAAGAATGGCTGTGTAAAGAGACTCACAGTTGTAAGTTCACTACTAATCAAAATCATATTCTTCTTAACAGTGCTGTTTATTCTTCTTAACAGTGCTGTTTATTATTCAATCATGTACAGGTGGACATGGAAGAAAAGGTTCGAAGTTTGCATGAAGATGTGACAAAACATGTATGTTGCTAATTTGTTCTCTATCTGACATGATATCAAATATTTACCCCATTCATCACCACATCTCCTGCTTATCTCACATTTTAGTTTTGGTGGGTGTCTTTTAGTGGATAGCAAGAGAGCTTGCACTGTTACGAAGGCGTATTAATCAGGCCAGTGAAAAGGGATGGCGAAGAGAATATCCTTTTTGTGTAAAGCATTTCTCACCACAATTCTAAAATATGTATGTATATTGTTTGTCTACTTCTTTAGTGTGACTCTCTCTATTATTGTTTTTCTTGACCTCTTGGCTATTACACTATCCAAGTATCTGGAAGAAAGAGAGCTTCTTGAGAATCCGGAAGAACAGTCGATGCTATTGCGTGAAGTTCCAGAAGTTGTTGCAGAAGAAGTACTTGAACCTCAATGTGTATATGATGGTGTGAAAATAGAACATGAATTCATGGAACCAATCCCTGTGGTCTACATTGAGGCTCCTCAAAGTGAGGAAGAACAACAACAACTAAGTGATTCACCGGTTGATAGTGTGAAAATAGAAGATGAATTCATGGAGCCAAGCCCTGTGGCCTTCAATGAGGCTCCTCAAAGTGAGGAAGAAAAACAACAACTAAGTGATTCACCGGTCGATAGTGTCCATGATGGTGTGAAGATAGAAAATGACTTCATGGAACCAAACCCTGGGGCCTGCATTAAGGAAGAACAACAACAGCTAAGTGATTCACCAGTTGATAGTGTCCAGAAAAATCAAGAAAACTCCAAGCTCGGTGATGGAGAAGACCAACCATCACTGGCTGCTTCTGCAGGTGCGTCTCATCCTTTGTATAATGAATTGAACATCATTTGGTTTGATTCCTTGTATTGTTTTTCTGGCTGGATTGAATCATTTCCTCCTGATTTGTTTGTACTTTATAGTGAAATTGTTCTGATACTGATCCTGTAAATTTGGTTGTGTGTATTGCAGACGACAAAAAGGATAAGGAGCCACCAGAAAATGCAGAGAACAAGGAACCTATCACAGAAAATGTACCTCAAGCTCAATCAAATCCAGTAGAGATTATTGAATTGAGCGATGATGATGATGATGATGACGAGGAGGACAATGACAATGGAGTTTACGAGAAGTGTGATCCAAAGAAGGTGATGTGGTGCTATGAACAACCTAAAGGAAGAACAAATGGACCCTTCTCTCTCGCACAGCTCAAGGAGTGGAACGACGAGGAATACTTTGTTCACGTTCCAGATTTCAAAGTGTGGATGACAGGAAAAGGCATGAGATCTGCAGTGTTGCTCACCAAACTTCTCCATCACATCAAGGCCTAATTCAAACCAACTTAACTTAAGATCTCGAGTGTTGTGAATCTTCTACTATTCTAGGGTTTTTTGTATATGTCATCACGTATCTAGTAGTGTGACACAACCTTTCATCATAAACTTTATTATTTATGAAAATAGTTAAGAGTGATTTTGTTAAATCAATCTCTAATCCTAAACATTCACTGCTTCTGCAGAAACTATATTATTCAAAGATTCTGGATTTTTGCTAATAAAAAGGAATCTAATGAAGCGTAATTGTTAACCTGGAGATTCCCTAAAAAATGATTTGAAGAAAATCTCAAATCCTTTTGAAAATAAAAACGTAACAATAACGATTAGTGAAATTTATTGATTTTAAATTATCAGCACACTGAGTAGTAGTTGCAGAATTAAAATACTGATAGAGACAGAGACAGAGAAGAGAAGAAAGAGAGAGAATCGCTAAGAGAAGAAGACGACGACAGAGAGGACCTTTTCAAATCCAATTTTTTTGTTCTCTCCTTTTTCGTGTGATTGCCAAAAAGCATTTGCTTGTAATCATACCATTTCTTCTGAATCGACACGCTCAATTCCCAATCTCCTTGGAAATTTCTCCGCCAACTGCGAAATTTCTGGGGTTTTGTGGTTGTTCCTGTTTCCTTCCGTGTGGGATTGGTTACTTTGTACGCCCAGATGAGATCATGAGAATCGATAAGAGCTGGAGAGCGGAAATTAGAGTCCTTTGGTCCAGTTTTTGGGATTTGATTGGGATTTAGTCCGCTTCGAGTGAGAAGGCTGATGATGGAGAACGGCCATGAGGAGAGACTGGCCGAGAAGTTTTCTCGAGTGGGAGTAGACGATTCTTCTCACTCTCCCGGAGACGGCAGCTTGTTGCAGGTCATCAAAGCTGTTGAAGCAGCAGAAACCACCATCAAGCAGCAGGTCTGTTCTCTTCTCTTCTCTCTCTGCGTTTCCTCAATCAGTCCATTTCCGAGAGTTCTGTGTAAATTTCTGTATTGACATGTCTCACTTATTAGCGTTGGAGAGAGAGAGAGATAGCTTTGAAATGCATTGATAAATAAGTATCTGGATTGTTGGATCCGTCTCTTGTGTCTTGGCATTTGCCACTACACACTGATGGTTTAATCCTAGTCTGATTGAATGATAATCCTTTGCAACTAGCGCATGATTTACCTGCACAGATGTTTGAGTGTTTTGGGCATCTAAGACAGTGTTCTTTTCTCTGACTAGGTGGAGGAGAATAGCCGTTTAAAGGCTGAACTTCAGAGAAGTATTTTGGAACTTGCTAAATACGTAAGTATTTTGGTTAAAGGACAAGTCTTTCACAAATTCTTGAGGATCTTTTTCTTTAGTACCTCGTTGAGCAGATTTGCTAAGTTTGTTATTTACATGCGAGTCTTGCTTTTGTTCTCTATCTTGCTTAGAAAGCAGATGAATCGTTGCCCCAAACATCTAATCTCGGAGGTAACGCAAGCGCTACTACTGTTTCCCACCTGGTTCATCAGCCAGTTGACTGGAAGCAGAGTGTGATAAAAGCTTCAGATACTGATTCATCAGGCATGCTGGTTGTTCACCCTCATGTGAATGCTGACGGCGAAGAAGCTACTGTGAGTAATCGTTTTGAAAGGCGCTCTGAGGAAAATATGATTAATGGCACTATCAGAGGAGCTATAGATGGTGCTGGTCCCTCTCAGTTTTATTCGTCATCTACAGTATCATCATCTCCTATGAGGTACTGAAACTCAAACTATCCACTTTGGAAAGTGCTAAATTTACTTGTTCTTGGCCAAATTTCCATGAATACAAAGTTTTTGATTCTCAAGATCCGTTTCCTGACAGAATGCGGTTAGAAGGAGAGCATTTCTCACATCTTAATTCGTCTAATCATGGATTTATGCCAGTTGGTGAAGTACAAAGTTCAGGCAGTGCGCAGAAGCAGGTCTATATCACACTTACTACGTCTTGTTTTTTTTTGTGAAAAAAAAAAGATTATGTTTCTGACTATGTACCAATTCAGGACCTCATTCACAAGGTTCAGGAACACGAACAAGAAATTTTGCAGTTGAGGAGATATCTTACTGATTGTTCTGTTAAGGTGAGTCCTGCAAGACAGGGGAGATCTCATGTCACTATTGTGGTTCCTTGTGGTTGAGTCGGGTGTCTTTTGATGCTTATGCTTGTGGTATTTTTTAGGAAGCCCAAATTCGCAATGAAAAATATGCTCTGGAAAAGCGAATTGCCTACATGCGACTGGTTTGGCCTTTCCTTCTTTTTATTTACTTCTCTGTTTAATCTAATACTAAATCTTCTTAATTTTGAAATTGTTTTGGAGCTCAAATATTTTTTTTTGTTGTAACCAGGCATTTGATCAACAGCAAGAAGATCTTGTCGACGCTGCATCAAAAGCTCTCTCTTACAGACAAGAGATAATTGAGGAAAATATACGCCTAACATATGCCTTACAGGTACTATCGTCTTGTATCTTTGTGCGTAATTTCCATCAAAGTAGTTACCAGATGTTAGGCATGATTTAATTTTCGAAATAGGATTTGCCACTGGCACCTCAATGTCATCAAAAATTTGGACCACTGCATAGTGCAACTGGTCTATATAACTAAACAATATCCGGTTATTTTCAATTGAAGCGAAATCTGCCTTTATGTTTGTTTCCAGGCTACACAGCAAGAGAGATCTACATTTGTATCATACTTGTTGCCTCTTCTATCTGAGTACTCTCTACAACCACAGGTTTCTGATGCACAGTCTATTGTCAGCAACGTGAAGGTCAGTTCCAATATCTATAGTGCTGTCTCTTGTTATCTTTTATCGTTTTGTCATAGCTTGTGATGGTTACTTAATATTTTTGTTTTGTTATTCAGTTTTAAGTTTCGGCCATCTTTAGCTTTATCTTTGGCTTTTAAACTGTATAGTGTAACCTATTAGTTTGAGGAGTTTCTCTGCATTATTCTTGACTTCAAAGGAGTGGTACAACATCCTTCACCGGAAATGTGTCAAATTCACAGTCCTTGAAACTCATAGAACCAACAAGGAATGTAGAAAATAATTCATGTATAGCTGTCTCATGAGTAACTAAAGCACTTGCTGTGTCGTCTACGATCCTAGAAATATGTGGAGTCGTGGAGAGCCAGAGAACACAGAAAATTTTGATAGGAAGTTAAATGACTGATAATGTTCCCTGCTTCTATTTGATTTGATATTGAAATTTTTCAGTAGTAAATGACATTTACAGATACGGTCATTTGCATTCAGGTTCTATTTAAGCATCTACAAGAAAAGCTACTTCTTACTGAGGTATGCTAAGCGAGTATGGGCAAATCTGATTTAAAATATCCGTGTCTGCTTCATATAATATACTGTATTTCTACGGACCTACGATAGATGATTCTTTCTGATGTTTTTGACGTACTAGGAAAAGTTAAAGGAGTCAGAATATCAATTAGCACCGTGGCAGTCGGATGTTAACCCCTCAAATGGTTCCCCTTTGGGCCCATCGCATGCAGCTGGTGTTGCGTTAACCCCCTCAGTACGTTCATATTCTTCAGTATTATATCAAAAGCTGGAATGAATTGAATCCTTAATGACTTCTTGTGTTTCCATCAGGCGAAGGATTCCCTATATTCCCATGATCAAACAGCCATAGACTGGGATTCAAAGCGCTGGCATCAAGATGAGCCAGGTATCTCAGCTTTGGGAAATTCCTATCTTCATGATCCTATAAGGGTTTTACCTCCGGTGAACGGGTGAGTTTGTCACTGCAAAATTTGCTATTCCAAACTGTATGCCAACTTCAAGCACCTACTCAATATTTCATGAGTACATGTAGTTGCTAAAGCATTGAATATATCTACTATCGCCCAACTGATATAATAGGGCTGGGATCCTTCACTTATAAATCATCCAAAGAACTACAAGCAAAACACGTAGCTTCTTTCTCTTTCTTAGGTTCAGAGGATGACTTAGCTATCCGCCAGGGGCGAAAAGGAGTTACGGCCACATGTATCGTTAGGAAGGAACAAGTCCGTGACATCTTGCCTCTTTGTTTCACACTGAATCTTGACTCTTAAATTGTCTTACAAGTTATTTGTTTTAATTTGGAGTTGACTATTGACTCTGATGGTTGGCTCTTGACTTATTAAACATGCTGACAAGTTATTTAATATAACTGGGCAACGACTCTTGACGCTTCTTGAGTCTTTCCTGCTGACTCTTAAAATGCCTTGTTCTAAGTTAATTGTTGTTATCCCTCTTCCTGTTCCCTTTGGGCAATATGATCATCTCATTTCTTAAAAGAATCAGATTATTCATAGGCCAAATACGGTGCTGTTCTTTCTGTGACTTTATTCATTTTATTTTTTCCTTTTTAAGTATGGTTATGATTATGATCAGTTTGTAGCTTCATGACGTTTTCCTAGTGCTCTCCTAGTTATAAGCACTGTAGTTGCTGGTGGATTGTGTTGAAAATGGTCAGTTGATTAAATGTGTTTCATATGTACCAGTCAGTCGGCACCCTTTGAGATGCCTCTGCAACCAGGTACTAGTGAAGAAGAGTCTCGTGGTTGGAAGCAAGTAGACGGAACTCCTCCTAAGCATGTTCAATTTCGTGAGCCTCTCAGCAAGGCAGTGATGGACGATGCAGAAGGACAATCAGATACCAAAAATCCACCATATGTGCCTGCGTTTGATGATCCCAGCTCCTCAAGCTCTCCTCTTTTGTCCCCTGTTCATGAAGAACCATCTTCCTCCTTTTCTGAGGGTAATAAGAAAAAATATTGGCATATTATTAAATCCATTGCGGTCTTTCACTTGTCTCAATATTTTAAACCAATGTCGACAGCTGCGGATGATGACCCGTTACCAGCTATAGAGGACCTCCAAATTTCAGGAGAAACTTATCCTGGAAATGAGCTTCAGGCTTGTGGTTACTCCATCAATGGAACAACAAGTTGTAATTTTGAGGTGTGTACTAAATACATAATGGAATTGCTTTCTTATTTATGTTGAGTTTCATCTAAATGTATCTTCATCTCTTCATGAATTTACAGTGGGTATGTCATCTAGAAGATGGATCTGTGAATTACATTGATGGTACATTTCTCTCCTGCTACCATATCTTTAGTCTCGAATTTTTTCTTTCCCTTCTGCCTCTTTTAACTTGATATGGATATAAGTCACTGAAAAGGATTTAAATGCAGGAGCGAAGCAGCCAAATTATCTTGTCACTGCTGATGATGTTGATTTATATCTTGCTATTGAAGTTCAGCCTTTGGATGACAGGAACCGCAAGGTTAATATCTTTGTATATGAATGATATTATATATTTGAGTAACTCTTTTCTGTGAAAAAACGATACTAGATTGTGGTATTTCTGGAATCTTGATCTGGCTGTAGGTTCGATTATTTCCTCTGCAATTTCCATTTAGTTTTCATGTGGTTTGCAGTAGTCACTTTCTTTACTTTCTAATTTCAGGGGGAGCTTGTGAAGGTCTTTGCCAATGGTAATCGAAAGATTACTTGCCGTAAGTTTATCCATCTAACACACTGCGGTTTCTCTAAATCTGAAGCATTAGTAAAATTTCTTGTCAAACCTACAGGTAACAGTAATCCTCTTTTATTTTCACAGATCCAGAGGTGGAGAGCCATATAGAGAAGACTCTTCATAGTGGTCATGCTTCATACAAAGTTTCCATTGCGGTATAACATTTTCCATTTCAACTCCTATGTTTTGGCTATGTGTTCTCTGACTTTTCTTGGATTAATATAATCCTTCACTCGCATGTGGCTTTGAAAAGACTGGTTTCCTGGATATATGGGAAGAAGCTACGTTGTCTATTAAGAGAGAAGGTTACAGCATCAAGTGTAATAACGATCTCATAGTTGCAGAAAAGTTCTCAGCTTCTACTGCTGTAAGACTTATGGCTACCTTTTCTTCGATTGTTCTACATAAACAGGGAAAGCACGAGCTTTGAACAAGTATTAAAATCCTTCTTCTGATGCCTCTCTAGGTAACAATTCCGTTTGGGCAGCCTGCAGACTTTGTTATAATTGGTTCAGATGGTAGCGAACGCTCCTTACGAGCAGATAATGGATCAACAGACCTTAGTTGGTAAGTAGTCTTAACTTTCTTACTAAGAGGTAAGTAGTCTTATATATCTGTTTGATTTTATGTTGTCTTTGCAGCTCAAGAGATACAATAGTACTCATCCTGAGATTTTTTATCACGAGGGTAATGTTCTTCAAAGCATAAATTCATTTTCTCTCTTCAGTTACACTCTAGGAAAGAAAATTAAGTAGATACAAAGACTTAAAGCTTCATTTTTGGAGAAGCAATGCTTATGGTTTTGCTAATTCATTGCAGGCTCTGCAGAGAAAGAAGGGAAAGAAGAGAGTATTTTTGTTTAGCAAATGAGACTTTTCGTATATAACATTTTTGGCTCTCTGGCTTTTTGTGAGCTGCAAAAGATTGCCCCCCATGTTTTGTAGTTGTATGGCCCTGTGAAACAATTTGTGAGAAAAATCACATCTTTGTTTATATATAAAAAATCTGCTCGAGTTTCATTTTCATCAGTCCAAGTATCACATTACCTAAATTGACCTGTGTGATTACACTAAATAATCAGCCAAAAGGGCTATGTTACAAAGAAGAATGATAAATATCTTAAGAGATAATACAACAACAATGGAATTAATCATCATCATATATTCAGCTGTGTCGAAATTTAGGCCGCACTGTAATAACTCCTGGTCTTGTCTCATCAATCCTGTACCTGTATTCCATTCCTCAGCTTGTTATTTACACTAATGATTATTAACAAAGATCAGAAGAAGAAGTTTAAAGAGTCTTTTTTCCACCTGTTGTCTTCAAAGAATGTCCTCACAGCTACAGGAAGTGAAGCATGTCCACGACTGTGTTTACCAATACCTACAAAGGACATAGAACCTCGCTGTCAAACAGGTTTTATACATGAAATGACAAAATTTCAGTTCACTCAATACTTGATAAACAGAAAATCGACATACCTGTTACAACCTGCAACAAGTTTCGTAGTTCTCTAGACGAAGTTCTTTGACGGTCCAGGCCTTCCACATCTAACCTACCACAAGGCTCTTGTGATGCAGACCTCAGAGCTACATTCTTCAGCCTACCTCTATTTGGTGATACTGAACGGTTCACCGTGAATTGACCTTCGATCTTTTGCAAACGTTCTTGCAACACTTGTACAGCTTCCGCTGCGTGGAGACCATGCAGGTCCAACTTCCATACGTCGTTATTTCTATTCGTTATGCCTAAGATCTTCTTGGCTGCCTCAGCATTAAGCTTCTCAGCTGCTGACCAATCCTCTCTTCCTTTCTCCGAATGCTGCTTGGCAGAAGCATGGTCATATCTCAGAAAAGCATTTTGAGCAGCTCTTGAATGGTTTGAGGCTGACCTCATCATTTTGAGAGCGTCCTTTCGATGAATCGAGTAGAGATCATCTTCTTCCCATTCAGGCTCTATAGGAATGGAGTGAAGCCGCTGAATGATGCTATCTAGTTCAGATATATCATCAGAGAGCCTTTCACTCTCATACGCATTCACATGAAACGAACTTCCACCACTCTCTTGCTGATCATACTTCTCAGCTTCCTTATTGTTGTTACCTTCGTCTGGTACTGAATCACCAGCAGAAACCATTCCTTTTAAGAACTCTAAGGCCATTTCAAGATTATCTTCTGTGGACAACAATATATCCCTTATCAAGCTATCATCTGCCCAGCTGAACATTTCCTTCAGCTTCACGAAGGCTGAATCATGACTGTTCACAGGAGGAATCAAAGTGCTCGGTTTCCTTCTGCAACCTCCACCGTTAACTTGGTTTTTTCTATAAGCTTTATCCTCTGTCAATGCCGGAAGTTTTGAAGGAGGTATGAGCACAGAAGAGAAAGACTTTTCAGAAGAATGTTCATGATTTCTTCTCTGCTTCCCTCTTACATCTAGTGATGTTGTATTGCCATTACTTGAAACAGGCGGGAATGGATCGTCATCGAGCTTGATTTTGAGACCTTGTTTCTGTCTCTGTTTGAGATCAAACGCAGTCCAACCAGATGATTTACCTTTCGTCCATGACATCTTTGTACTCGCACTAGCTCTCATCTCTCATATCCCATCATAGTGATTCTTCAAAGTTTCAGTCTGATTCCTCAGGAACTGCCAGAAAGAAAAGAGCTCAAAACAAGTTAACAATGAATATGAACAGCAATATAAGTTAGGCAAACCCACAAATTTCATTTCTGCAATTCAACATAAGACAAAAGCAATATCCAGGAAGGGGAAAAAAAAAAATCAGTTTTTGAGTTCCACATGTCATAGAAGCCTAAAACGAAGACGCAAATGATACAAAGGATAAAACAAAATAAAGCCTAAAATTTCCCCAAATTTCGACGACAAAAGGAAATGACCTTTATAAGCTAAATAAAGTGGCCGAAGAGGAACTAACCTACGGCCAATTGTATCGAGCAGTGGCGGTTTGAATGTAATCGGTGGTAAGATAAGATTGACGGAGAAGGAAGCAATAGAAATTTGCCGGCCGGGAGAGAGAGAGAGAAAAGACGCTGCAAATTTTCATTTAATTGCGAATTTGACCTTGTCGGGGTTTTGTTGTTATGTTTTAGACCTCTAATAGTTGTCTACGCCTAATTATTTGACTGGTCAACGATTCATAGATTTTATATTCCTTTTTCTTTCCTTCACTCTTCCTTTTTTTTTTTAATCCAATTTATTGCAGTGACAAAAATGTTGAGTATACACATTTTGTTGTGAGCTTACATGATTTTTATAAACATCCCACATTAATACGAACTCAACCTAGGGTAGTTTTTATTTTTACTTTACTTTTATCAACTTTACTATTTATTGCATACAATACTCATCATGTAGATTCTTCTGACATTTGGTGTTTGTTGTTTCTTTCATATATGACCACTGAAGGTGAAGATTTTCCATCGGTGGAGTCAAAAATGTTACATCCATGCTTCAGAATTTAAAAATGTTACATCGGCCGAGCAACAAGAAATTGAAAAAGCAGAGAAATCGAGCCAACAAGTGCCATGAAAACTAGCTTATCCTAGAGAATAGGGTTGCTATATGGTGAGTAATTATATGTTGGTTCTCCATTGTTATGAACAATAGGTGATGCGTTTGCATTGATGTATTAGCGACACAGTGTATGTTTTATAAAATAAAATAAAGAGAGAGAGAGCGAAACTTAAAAGATTCCAGGTGATGTGAGCAGGGGACTGAATTTTAGTAGTTGAGAGCAATCAATCTCGTCATGTGACTCACGTTTACTTGGGTTCTGATGATCAGGGGACTGAATTTTAGTAGAAGAAATCACTGCTCTGATTCCATATCCTAACAAGAAACAACTCCAGCAACATTTTCATATAAATTAAATATCCTTAAAACCATGTTCTCACAAAGTCTGATTCTCAAACAAACCCATATCTTCTAACCTTTGCCATACCTCATAATGGATGAACGAGTTGTCTGTACAGATTACGTGACCGTTGTATTTATTCACCCCTGCTTTTGGAAGTATATTTGTCAGAATCTCCAAGAGAAAAGAACAGTTCACCTAATTAAGTGAAAAGTATGGGTTAACACAAACTCACAAAAGTCGTCTCACACCACTACATTTCAAACCTACTGATGAGGTATCACTTGTCCACATTAAACGGACGATCCGATGAGTCAATTCACCATTTCTTTGTGGGTAAGAAATCATTTTAATATTGTCTAAACAAGTAATTAACAAAAGAAGGTGCGAAAAACACGAGCTGAGTTTTTTAAATGGTCAATAACGTCGATTTGAAAACCTGATTATTTTAATCTCTTACGAGCTACCATAATGTTCGATCAGTGTATATTAAAATCTCGATTGCATCAAGCACAATTTTCGCGGAGTCTAGATCTCATATACAATTTCTTGTTGACTACAAAATACTACTTAACTCAACAATCACGTGTGGTTTTTTATGACATTTACTTGCAAATAAGTTAAAAAACTTGAGAGCAAGTTGGTTGAATACAAATACAAGTAGGAGCAATATCGGCATTGAATATTTGCTAGAAATGCATTCATTGTTGTTCATTTTTTCACCGAACTACCCAACAACTTGAATAATCTCACCGTACAAGTAATCAGTTTTATGGTTCGTAACTTCGTATCCGACTCGTTTAACAAGGCACAAATCGTTACTAGCTAAAATGAAGAAAGTTCTGTGTTTAACATAAAATTCTTCGGAGTTCACAGTTTAATATTTTATAGAAAATGTTGTGTTTGTATTTTGATCTCAAGTCTAAAATTTTAAACATTCCACAATCCAAGCTCTAAAACAAGTTTGAAGAGCAAAACAATAAATTCACCTTTAAGTTGAACACTGTATTATATAATGAAAACAGACTAAACACCATACATGGAACAACATTAAGAAATTGCAAGGACAACAACATATAGTTTCGATAAGAGTGAGTCTCGTTAAGCGGAGAGTGAAGCCACGCGCTTCCCAACAAAATCCTTAATCCGTTCGATTAGCTGACCAGACTCCGGCAACTCAGGAAAGATGTAAAACGCATGGAACATGTTTGGAAACTCGATTAGCGTTGCTCCTTTCCCGGATAACTTCAACCATTCGCAGTAGCTTCTCTGCCAATCCCTCAACGGGTCAAACCCGGCCACGACCACCATCGTCTCCGGGTAATCCAGATCCGAAATGTCAACGACGCTTGGTTTCGCCGCCTCGTGGTCCCTGTTTGATCCCTCCGGCAGCATCGCCCTCCAGCACCAGTCCGTTCGATCCGGCGAAACCAGAGGCATCCCGACGAGGCGTTTCTCCGCCTCCGTCCTCTCTTCTCCGCCGAAATACGGCTGGATCGAGATGAGTCCGACGAGTCTCATGGCAGTGAAACACCGCTCGCGGCAGACTCGCAGCGCGACGTTGTGCGCGATGTTTCCACCGGCGCTGTCTCCGGCGAAGAAACACCTCGACAGATCGGCGTTCGCCGGGAGAACCGTGCCGTGATTCTCCTCGAGGTACTTCAGGACGTCGAATCCGTCGTCGTATTGAGCAGGGTAACGGTGCTCCGGAGCGAGACGGTAATTCACGGAGATGACGTAAGCCGGTAGCTTCCTAGCGAATCTGCGGCAGACGTTGTCGTAGGGACGAGCATTGGGGCTGAGGAAACAGAAACCTCCGCCGTGGAAGAAAACGACGACGGGGATACGGTCGCCGGAGACGTGCGGGGTGAATAAACGGAACCAGAGATCGCGGGAAGGATCGACGACGAAATCGGAGGAGGAGACGGTGTTGATTGGTTTGGGATTGGGAGGAGCGCGGAAATCGAAGAGGCGGAGGAAACGGCGGTTGATAGAGCCGTCGGGACGTTGAGCGTTGTCGGTGAAGGTGGAGATAACGGTGAGAGCGATTCTGGTTTTGAGTGGAATCGCTAGCTTTTGGATTGGTTGCGATTCTGTCGCCATTTTTTTCACGTGAACAAGTTCAACTGGGAGATTCGACCCTGTACTTACTTGACTACTTGTATTATATATGCTGCTCCCAACAAAATATTTGCCAGCTGTAAATTTGTGGATTTATCGACAAAAAAAGGATATTGGTTAGGAAAAACAGCCAATGAAATTTCTAGTTACGTGTGAAAGATATCATCTGTTGAGTTTTTACAAGGAAACGTTAACGGAAAAAAAAGGAACAAAATATTGAATCTTTGGAAGAAATCTTGGAAATGGCTATTTTCTTCAACAGTGACAGTGTAGATGAAGTCACCTCCTCATGGCCAACGTAATGGAGTCGCTCAGTATCAGAGAGACTTCGACATGGTTTATTGGCAATGGACCATGACATAATCAATGTACATGTTGCAGGAGACAATGAACTTATATGTCAGAAGCTGCAATAACTAATTCAACATCATTCAGTTCTAAGGTCGAAATCGACAAATCTGTAAATGTAAATAGTACAAAAAACAACTATGCCACAACTAATCTAAAGTTTCAACTTGACAAAAAAACAGTAAATCTAAAGTTTCAACTTTCAACCAGTAAACACAAAACCAACTCTTTCGATAAGAAGGTAGAAATCAGGCAGAAAAACTATTCGATCGTACACTTTCCCATCTAATCTCATAATGAGTTTGCAACAGATAACAGATTTGACAGATCTAAATATGAGAATTACGGAAACCTAATCCGCTTAGACAACGAAGATGCGACACATCTTCTCCGAATATGACGCCTATCGGTATCAAAAAGGCGGTCTACAAAATAAAATCTGAAGGCACATTGCACATACTCTATGATATGCTTTTAATTTTACACTATTTTTCATCTAAAATTGCAAAATACAGTCGTTAAACCACGTTGTATAAAACATTAAACTGCTAAATTAAGGTTTTTATTTGCTAGGTTGAAATTGAAACTATAGTGTATACACTTATTTATATAGAGAATTCGTTTTTTGGGCCAAGTTTAGTTCCTTTTAAAGTTTTGATGGATAACACAGAATGCCTTGTCATTTTCATATTTCATGACATTATACTGGGTTTTAGGGTTTAAGACGCTCTCAATCAAATTACTCCCGACTTCACACTTCAGCACCGTCGTTTAAGGCCGCCTGCACCGTCGGCATCACACCGCCGGGTTCTCTCTCTCGATTAATTCCTCACAGGTTAGCTTCTTCCATTTCCCTCTTAGACCAAACTTTCTTTCTCATTTCTCCAGCGATTTCGTTTATAATCGTCAGATTTCTCCCTTTCCGTCGATTTCAAATTAGATCGGAATCAAGTTTAGAGATCGATAAACCTAAATGCTCCCCCTTCTACTGTAATGCACGGCTCGCCTTAAAAATTCACCTAGACTAGTCCGGATTTAGCTGAAAAACCTTAATTTTGGAGGCCCTGTGCAGTCGCTTAGTTCGAACAACCTTGAAATCGGCCCTCCCATTTTCAATATCATTGATTTGAGTTATTACTGCTTTCCATTTCCCGTCGATTTCTGTAATTAGGAGTGTGAAAGAGAGACACTTTTGTTGTTGTTGTTGTGATTTATAGGATTCTTCTCTAAGAGAGTAAGAGCTATGGGCTGGAAAGCTGCCGAGAAGCTCATCAGACACTGGAAGATACTTCGAGGGGATAATGTGAGTACACTCTCTCTTCACTCCTCTTCTTCCTTTGGTTCGCTAGTTTGGCTTCATTTAGTGTTGTTGTGTTTATGGGGTTTGATTTCTTATATTAGGTAATGATAATCCGCGGGAAAGATAAGGGTGAGACTGGAACCATAAAGCGCGTCATCCGATCCCAAAACCGTGTCATTGTTGAAGGGAAGAATCTGGTGAGTCATTCTTGAATCATCTTCTTCTGGATATCTTCCTGAAATGTACAAGTTCAGTTTTATTTGGTTTACGTTTCTGGAGTATGAACTAGTACTGTAACTGGGTCATATCAATAGACTAGCTCAACACCATTCATAGAGTTGTCATTCTTCATTTGATTCTTATCTCACAAAGCAGCCTTGTTCAATGGATTCTCGTGCATAATGTTTCTTGAATGGAATAGTCTTTGGCTCTTCACTGAGATCCTGTTTTCGACAGTTTTATGTATATTTTCTTATGATGTTATCTTTTGCATCTGCAGATCAAGAAGCATATAAAGGGAGGCCCTGATCACGAAGGTGGAATTTTCACGGTAGAGGCTCCTCTTCACGCCTCTAATGTCCAAGTTGTTGATCCAGTCACTGGGTATGATTTCACTTTCCATTACTGTCACCAGTTACTCTTTGCTCAAGCTGAGAGATTTCTTATTTGTCTGTTTTACTTTACTCCCTCAGGAGGCCGTGTAAGGTTGGTGTGAAGTACTTAGAAGATGGAACAAAAGTAAGAGTAGCCAGAGGCACAGGCACATCCGGTTCCATAATTCCTCGCCCGGAGATTCTAAAGATAAGGGCAACACCAAGACCCACCTCTGGTATGTTGAACTTCAACACCTCTAAACATACAAGTTACATCTATAATTTTGGAATTGTTTATAGTGGAAATTGGAAACCTCATAATCATTCATAAATAGGCTGTTAGATTAAGATTGAATCGTTTGCTATACATTTGAACCAACATATTTCTTTTTTGCCTTTTTGCAGCTGGCCCTAAGGACACTCCACTGGATCTTGTCTGGGAGCAGACATACGATGCTAAAACAGGAAAGGGCATGCCTGATCTTTGAGTAACCTCTTAGAGTTACCTTCCAAAAATTGTTGCTTCTCCCAAAAAATTCTTCCTATTCTCCATCCTTTACAGTTTGATTTGGGCCAAAGAGCTGTGAGATGAGAGGTCTGTTGAAGAACCTTTGACGAAATGGTGTCTTTTTTTTTTTGTTGTTTTGTGAACTTTTCAAGGTGCCAAATAAAAAAAGTAAAAACCATTGGGAAAAAGTTATCAGATAAACTAAAATTTATGTTATCCAACAACATCACAAACGAAGTATAAAACTCTCGAAACCGTATGAATTTATGAAATTGTAGTTCTTAATCCTGCCTGTTACGACGAACCAAAAAAAAAGAGTAAAAGAAAAGGAAATCAATCTTTTTGTTGGGTCTGTTTTGGAGTATTGGTGGTCAATAATAAAAAATGGAAATATTGGAGGACTTAAATGTAAATAGTTTCGCCTAACGATCCTATAATCGAATTAGATCCATCTCCGTCTTGTCTTGTTAAAAAAGAAAACTCTACTCTGGAGGTTTTATAAGATCCCATTGTTGTACCCGAGCTAAAATCAACCCAGAATAACTCTCTCGAAGAACACGACTGATTTGATCTGATTATGGAGAGATTGCAGCGAATCTTCGGCGCCGGTGGCGGTTTGGGTCACGCATCGCCTGATTCTCCGACCCTCGATACGTCGGAGCAGGTTTACATCTCTTCTCTCGCCCTCCTCAAGATGCTCAAGCACGGTAATCATCCATCCCAAACTCCAATTACTTTCCTCCTTCTTAGGATTTCTGATCTGTTTCGCTCTCTGCGAATTCCTCTTCTCCCCCTTTGCTCTCTAGGGTTTCCAAAGATTATCGATCTGTTTATAATCATCTGTCGACTTAAGAGCTGGGGTTAGGCCATGTAGAGATTTGAATAAAGTTATCGGAAATTTTCGGATGTTGATATTGTGATTGGTGCTATGAAAATCGCAGGAAGAGCTGGGGTTCCTATGGAAGTCATGGGATTGATGCTTGGAGAGTTCGTGGACGAGTACACTGTTCGAGTTGTGGACGTCTTTGCCATGCCTCAGAGTGGTACTGGTGTGAGTGTGGAAGCTGTGGATCACGTTTTCCAGACTAACATGCTCGACATGCTTAAACAGACTGGAAGGTAACTTGTTCTTCTCTACACTTTTATAGCGAGTCTTCTGTTCGAAACCTGTTTTGGATCTTAATTCGTCTTGTATGTATCGTATTTCAGACCTGAAATGGTGGTTGGCTGGTATCATTCACATCCTGGATTTGGCTGCTGGCTTTCTGGTGTTGACATCAATACCCAACAGGTATAGTTTTTGCTCAGCTCCATACTTGGTCTATTCATCTCTTTGTGTGAACATCCTTTTCCTTGTTGTGATTGGCTTAGCGTTGTAGAGTTATGTGATTGTATATATGTTAATTGTGAATATCTCTGTGCTTTTGTAGAGTTTCGAAGCTTTGAACCAGCGAGCTGTAGCAGTGGTGGTAGATCCGATTCAGAGTGTTAAGGGTAAAGTGGTGATTGATGCGTTCCGCTCAATCAATCCACAGACCATTATGCTTGGACAAGAACCCCGTCAGACAACATCAAACCTTGGGCACCTGAACAAACCATCAATCCAGGTGATGATCACTTAGCTAAACGTGTTTTTGGAACAAATTGGCATGTAATCTCTGATGCTAACTTTTGGACACACAATTTCGCAGGCCTTGATTCATGGATTGAACAGACACTATTACTCAATAGCCATCAACTACAGGAAGAACGAGCTTGAAGAGAAGATGTTACTAAACCTCCACAAGAAGAAGTGGACAGATGGTCTGACGCTAAGACGCTTTGACACCCACTCCAAGACAAACGAACAGACTGTCCAGGTAAAGAAAAGAGAAGAGGGCATTTCGCAAATCTTTTTATTCGTTCAAACATTTCACACTCTCGTTTGTTGACATTGCCTCTCTCTCTTGTGTTTAACAGGAGATGCTGAATTTGGCTGCTAAATACAACAAGGCGGTACAAGAGGAGGACGAGTTGTCACCAGAGAAACTTGCGATCGTGAATGTGGGAAGACAAGACGCAAAGAAGCATCTGGAAGAACACGTCTCCAACTTGATGTCCTCCAACATTGTTCAGACCCTAGGCACCATGCTTGACACTGTTGTCTTCTAGAGAGCTTCTCCAGCCAGTCGGTACTTTGCTTCAATCATTTGGCTAGAAAGTTGAGCTTTGTTGTTTTTCTGCACCTCTTTAGTTTCTGCTGAACCTTTTTTTTATGTCTAAACTCTATTGTACTATGTGGTTTCCTTTTACTTTATTAATGCCAGGATTGAGTTCTCTCTTACATTTTCTCCCCTCATTTTAAGAATTTAAGCTGCTACTTTCGAATGAAGTGTAACAATGAAACAAAGAGATTAGTCAAAATATCTAGCTGCCTAATATACTTTTTCACAAGCAGAAACTCAGACAAGCAAGGGAAAAAAGGAGGAAGCAACTGCCACCACATCTATCTTAATTGTCTACAGAAAATTACACAACAAAATGTGCTAGGATTAGTGAAGAGGCAAGTGGAAACAAACCAAAACGAGGACCAAAACATATAGAGCACAGATTACTAAGGCTTCTTTTTGAACACATCTGGAGGAGATTGACCAATCGCTCAAACAGTACAATTGTTTTGGGGAGAGAAATCTTTGAGTTGATATGTATGTTGTTGCTTAAAACTCGGTGTCGAAACAAGTCATGAAGACCTTTGAGACCATGGTCCTAGCAAAAGGGATGTAGCTCAAGCTATACCTGCAGTTTTAAACAACACAAGGGATTCACTAACTATTATGAATGCTTGTGACAAACTCAGAAACCATATAAGTAGCTAGGTTCCCCAATTCATTCCTACTTCGGGCTAATCTATGTTTCGATGACTGAATCATGTAATTACACTATGAGTTTATGACTGCATGCAGACACCATGTATAAAATAACAAGAAAGTTAGGATAGAGCTTGAAATTAAAATTTCAGCATACCAAATTAGACCAGAGAACTCAAGAATGATAGCCAGCAGCGTCAGAAGCTTGTTACGAACCTGTACAGAAAGAAAATGACAGATTGTACTTAGTCCAAACAAGGTATTTTCACTACTTAGTTACACTATGCTCAGTAATATTTGTGTATCTAGTAGATTGAACTGAGAAATTTGACTCACATAGAGAGCACAAAATAAGGCAATGATAATGCTTGCTAGATACAAAGCGGTAGCGTATATACGAGCTGGGTCAAGCATCATTGTCACCTGCCGCCGTGGGCCTATAAGGAATGCTGTGCTGCCATACAAAAAGGACATACAACTTCAAATCTAGGAGCAGAGACGAGGATAAAAAAACGAAGAATTTCGTAACCCAATGCAGTACTACAAGCTAAACTAAATATCCAATACGGACCTCCCAAGTGCCATCAAATTTCCCAGAGTGAATGTGATGCCAAACTTGACCGGATTGAAGAAAACAAGCATTGACTGCATTGCCAAACAGGTGAAAAGATAAAGAGTTATAGCAACAGTAAAGGAGCCAAGGCTACTCAAATGCCAAAAACTTTCCACAGAGGTCAAGAAGAACAGAGCTAAACCAAGTTTAAAGGTGAAATGATTCAATTTAAGCTAATGACTTTGTAACAGGGATCAGAATACTTACCAAAAGTGTACAAGTCAAGCCTGCTGACAAGCAAATTGCAAAGCCGTAGAATCTCTGTTTTCATGAAAACAAGCAGTCAAAAACACGACATATTAGCAGAATATACAACCCAATTCAACACTCAACAAGTTTCTACACACGAAGCAAGACTACAGCTTCAGAGAGATATACAGTAATTAAACCTAAGTATATAGCACGCAACAAGTGTATCCTACTCTCTTTACTGTGACTAGTCATTCATTCCAGGAAATTTGAACATCCTTCTCCTCCCAATACATCATCTTTTTCGATGCATGAAGCTGAGATTTCAATGCGATCATCGAACTAAAGAAGGCTTATCTTAATGGGAACAAACACTTCTCTGTATGTTACTTGTCACTTCACTCATTTATCTTTCTACATCAGTGAGTGAAATACAGGTAGAGCTTACGAGCCTAATTTCCTTAATTGGACGAATACACAGTACTAATGTGAAATTAATCGTTGAAATAAAGCCGAAATTAGAAGAAACAGCCAAATGCAGAGGACTTGATCAAAGAGAACCAAAAATAAACAAAATCTGAGATAGTTAGGAACCTGTTTGGTAGATAAAGCGCAATTTTGATTAAGATCTTCCATGAACGAGAGTGATCGTTCCTCCTCAGCAGCTCGTTCCTCGTCTTCAACCTCCATACCTACTAACATCTTCATCTTCTCAATAGCCTGATTCATCTTATCCATGTTTTGAAGTCCTCCCTGTTGATTCTGAGCTCCTCTTTCCTAGTTACCGTGTTAGGAATTGCTCAGATCTCGCGTTTCTTCTTCTGAAATGGTGACACCAGAGCTGAAGTATGGTTGGATCTCTGCACAATTACGCCATGTAAGGAGTTGAAAATGAAAGAGACGCTTTTCGTTTTTTTTCTTCGCCGTGGTTCGTTGGAGAAGAAGAAGAAGGGCTTTATCGTTGGGCTATATTCACGTCAGAATAAAATTGGGCCAACTATTGAGTCCACTAAAGTTGTATTATTGTTTCATACCGGCCCGGTTTTGGCTTTTGTCTAGTCTAGGCTTCTTGGGAAATATGCATATATACATTTTTTTTCGGGTATTTTGTTGTTACAACTCCAATATCTTTTAGACTAGTTAACTTTGAGACTGAACTAATATAGATGCATTCAAATCCAACCTATTGACCTACTCTCCCTCGGTTTCATGTATTTTAACTCAAAACATATTCAAATACACTTTTAGAATGCCAACTAATATGAAACCCAATGAGTAATAATCTAAAACAGTTTATATATTTATTAGTTGTCTCATTGTATAAAAATTTGATTTTTCCTAGTTAATGGTGTTGTGATTTGTTTCTAAATATTTTTTTTGTATATAACTATAAATGTAAAAGACAGTTGTTCGTATAAGTATAAATGATATGTAACGTGTCGTTTTTGTTTTTTTTCTTCTATAATAGTAGTCATCGTTTAAATTTCTTATATATGGTAAAGATAATCTAACAAAAAATAATATATTGACTAATATTAATATATTTTTCCATAGAACGATTTGTTATTTTATTCATTCTTACCATTTTATAATTCTTTTTTTGGCTTCAGTTCTGTTTAATCTATTTTTTTATCTGAAAAAATGAAAATAAATTATATTTCTACCACTGTGCATAAGTGTGAAAAGATATTAAAATTATTAAATTAGCACTCCTTTATGTTTGCTGCATTGAGAAACAAACCAAAAACAAGTCATGACTCATGTTCGTACATCAAAAAATCATGGGCAAAAATAAAGTCGAACAGAGGAAAAAAACGAAAAAAAAGAAAGGTACAAAAAATCAAATTGAATAAAATTTGGAGTCCGGACTCGACAAAAATAGGCCGTTTAGGGAGAGAGCTTTCTTATTTGTCTTTTCTTCTTTCTCCCCACACTTGCCTTCTCAGCACTCAAGAGTCTCCGGCGTTTAATCTCGCAATCTCCGTCGTTTACTCTGTAAGTTCTTCCCTAGAGGCCTTGATCCCACCCTAAGTATACGTTCTGTGCTCGATTTCGTTTTTTCTTCGTCGGAAAAATGCCCTAATGTACTCGATTCCGAAGGTTTTATTGTGCTCTGGGTTTTTCATTCCTGTTTCTCATATTTTTTATGTCACGAGGTCTTTCGTCGTATTATTTGTGTCCGGATTTTCGTGCTTTCCCCGTTTTCGCTCTCTCTGCTTAGCCGCTGATCGGAGTTTTTGACAGCGAAAAAAATCTTCATTTTTGAGTTTCGTTTGAATCGTTTCATATTCTTAGTCCTAATCTATCGTCTGTGCTTTGACGTCTTCTTTCTATGCCTGTGTGTTACTCGTTGTAAGATTAAGCTCATGTGTGGATTTTAAGATATTTGTGGTGAACTTTGGCTTTCTCTGATGCTTATAGGTTGGAAATGAGTTCTAAGGCGGGTCCAAAGTCCAAGGGAAAGAACATCTCTCAGGGTGGATCTAACCCAGGGGTCGAACAGGTGGTGCAAGGTCTTGCTGCGACGAAACTGGCTCCTTCACAAGACGATGGTGGAGACTGGGAGGTGATTTCCAAAAAGAACAAGAACAAGCCTGAGAAATCATGGGCTTCTTCGCCTAATCCGAACCCTCCTAGAGCTTGGGGTGGTCAGCAACAAGGAAGGGGTAACAACAACGTAGCTGGTAGAGGTAATGGCAACGGTGGTTGGGGAGCAAAAGCTACTGATGCTAGGGTCTCCGCTGGTGGTGGTCGTGGAGCTGGTCGTGGACAAGGAGTGAACAGAGGGTATGATAACAGCTATGTAGCTCCGTCACCTGTGACTCGCCCTCCTTTGGAAGGAGGATGGAATTGGAAGGCTAGTGCAGGTGCTGCTCAGCACACAGTTGTGCAGGACGAAGTTGATGATGATGATGATGATCTGGATAATGTTTCCGAGGAAGATGATGACTGTGATGGGTTGGATGATTCTGATGACGACCTTGTGAGTGATGACTATGACTCTGACGTGAGTCAGAAGAGCCACGGGACAAGGAAGCAGAATAAGTGGCTGAAGAGGTTTTTCGACAGCTTGGATAGCTTGTCCATTGAGCAGATAAACGAGCCACAGAGGCAGTGGCATTGTCCAGCTTGTCAGGGTGGGCCTGGTGCTATTGACTGGTACCAGCTGCAGCCGCTTCTTGCTCACGCGAGGACAAAGGGAGCTAGACGAGTTAAGCTCCATAGGGAGTTGGCTGCAGTGCTAGACATGGATCTGCAGATGAGAGGAGCTTCTGTCATTCCATGTGGTGAGATTTACGGGCAGTGGAAAGGTCTGGGTCTTGAAGAAAAGGATCATGAAATTGTCTGGCCACCAATGGTGATCATTATGAATACTAGACTGGACAAGGATGATAATGATAAGGTGAAGTTATTTTGCCTCTTACATTTTTTCTTGTTAAGCTTTTTTGTGCGTTCTGCTGATTTTATGTTACGTTTTCAGTGGCTAGGTATGGGGAACCAAGAGCTACTGGAGTACTTCAACGAGTATCCTGCTATTAGAGCACGCCATTCCTATGGTCCACAGGGCCATCGTGGGATGAGTGTTCTCATGTTTGAGAGCACTGCCACTGGCTACTTTGAGGCTGATCGTCTTCACAGGGAGTTAGATGAGCAAGGTTTAGGAAGAGACGCCTGGGACCGGAAGCGTACCTGGTATTCTGGAGGTGTTCGCCAGCTATTTGGCTTCCTTGCAACCAAGCAAGATCTTGCCGTATTCAATCAACACTGTCAAGGTTCTCTCCCTCACTAATTCGACTTGTGTTTTGTATTGGAATTTAGAGTTTTGTTGGTCTTGTGAAGGCATCTTATGTGTTTTTGTATGGTTTAATATTAGGCAAAACGAGGCTGAAGTTCGAGATGAGGTCTTATCAAGAGAATGTTGTGAAGGAGCTGAGGCAGATCGCTGAGGACAACCAGCAGCTTAACTGGTTTAAGAACAAGGTGACGAAGCAGAACAAGCACGCCAAGGTGCTTGAGGAATCTCTGGGGATCTTGAGCGAGAAGCTGCGCAAAACTGCAGAGGATAATCGTATTGTGAGACAGAGAACTAAGATGCAGCATGAACAGAACAGAGAAGAGGTATGTTTTTTTATTTACTCGAAACACACAAACTTGACATTTTGTGTTACCTATACTGATACACTTTTTTTGATTAACCGGTGGTTTGAAGATGGATTCGCAAGACAAGTTTTTCAAGGACTCGATCAAGCAGATACATGAGAAGAGAGACGCGAAGGAGGAGAATTTCGAGATGTTGCAGCAGCAGGAACGTGCCAAGGTTGCTGAGCAGCAGAAGAAGAATACTAATCCCTCTAGCAACGATGATTGCCGAAAGAGGTATACATACTTTCATATTGCGGCTTTCTTTTTGTTTAATTCAGACACAAGAGTAACTAAATTGTTCTGGTTTGACTGTTCTGCAGAGCTGAGGAGCTTTCAAGCTTCATAGAGTTTCAAGAGAAAGACATGGAGGAGTTTGTGGAGGAGAGGGAGAAGCTCATCAAAGAGCAAGAGAAGAAGATGGCAGAGATGAAGAAGAGGCATCACGAGGAGATGCTTGATCTGGAGAGAGACTTTGATGAGTCTTTGGAGGAGCTGATGAACAAGCACGGCCTTCAGGTTGCAGATGACTGAGACCGGTCTGGTTCACAAGTTTAGTTTTTATGTTATGCTTTTGGTATCTCGGCGAATATAAGGAGATTTGAGAGAGACTATTCTTCTCCAATTTTAGTAGGGAAAAACTAAGGAGATCTGAGACTATTGTTCTCCATTTTAGTAAGACGGATCTAAGGAAGCATTTTTACTCTAGTTTCATGCTACCAAAACCAAGTTTGAGAAGTATTTTGTTTATGCTAAATCTCCTATTGAAATTTAGTCGTTTAACCAAACTAAATCGTTCGAACCCATTTGAAGAATTTCAAGTCACAGACATGTCCCTAAACAATTTTGGTTTGGTGGGCAAAACATTGCACATTTGCGTATATAGGGGTCTCTATATAAAATTCGAAATATAGGGGTCAATTTGAGAAGAAAAAAGTTTAACATGTAAAGTATCGAAAATAAAGGGTCTTCACGTGCAAAATAATGCTTTAGTGTTTGACAAGACATGGTGTGTCATGCTCTAACTTGCATTACATTGGAAGAGCTTCGTCACACGACGCACACAACCAATCTATTTCTTTATTTCTTTATTCTTCTTTCTGATTTACATCTAAGAAATTAAAATAACAATTTAAAATCTCCCTTAAATATCTCTCTCTATATCATCGAACTCTGCTTTAACAATCCCCTCCGGCGAATTCTCACACATCTCAGCTGCTTTTTGAATCCGCCGTATACGGAAGCATCTTCCTCCTCGATTCGCGAAAATGGCCCCGCCGGTAGCTCAAACGGCGGTGGTGGCTGATGCTGCTGGTGGCGGCGGTGCTCAACCGGCGCAGCAGAGACAGGCCGGTGGGTTTGGTTCCACGATCTCCGGGATCGTTAGGATCGCCGTGTTCTGGTACTTTGCTTCCAAGTTCTTCTCACCTAAACAGAAACCGATGGATCCTTCTCAGCCTGCTCCTCACCTCATGACCAATCTCTTCCACAAGGGCGAATCATTGGTACTGAGCTCCGATTCTTATTCATTCTGCAATTGGATTGCTTTTTTTCTCATACTGAGTTCAAATCGTGTAAACTCTCAGAATTTGTTTTGGAATCATCTTTTTACTGGCTGGCTCTAAGTATGATCACTATCTGATTAGAGAATTAGGGTTTTAAGATTTGTTCTGGCTCATGAATGCTATTTCTGGATTGATTCTAAATGCAATCAATGTTTTCTTGTGCAGGATATGTGGTTATATCTATCAGAGTATCAAAAGTTTAATGATTTTGGCAATGAAAGTGCGCTTTATTGGCATGAGACGAATATCCCTTATGCTGTATGGACACCAGAGAGTATTAGGACCAAGTCACTAAACTATTATCCCTCTGAGGTGAGAATTCACATTGCTTGACACTTTTATATATTTGGGTTTCTTCATATTCTTCCTCCCCAATAGCACTGTGTTAATAAGGTGGTTTGGTTTACTATGGTTACAGACACTACAGAATAATGGAACTCTGTATGCTCATGTCTTCTTTGCTCGATCTGGATTCCCCATAGACCCCAGTGATCCTGAATACCAGCCTCTTAACAGTTTTAGCAGGACTCATCGTAAGACTTGTCTAAAAAGCTCTTTCTTTTTACAACCAATACTATTAAGCTGAATTGGACTGATCTTTTCACTATTTCAGCTGTTGCGACGTACTTTCCCAAGCGAAAAGTAGATAAGAAGAAGAGTCTCTTGGGTAATCCCAAAGACTCTGCTGAATCCCAACCAGAAGTTGAGGTATGCTTGTGTGGGATTTTTCTTTTAGTGTTATGTTATTGCCTTATACTATGAGGAATTCAATAGCTGTGTAACGAACTAAACGCAAAGCATACTTTTGCAGAAAGTTGGTGATAAGAAGTCGGATGTCAAGGAAGAAGTACCTGTGGAATGGGTATCCCTCTGGAAACCGAATGTCACCATTAACCTGGTCGATGATTTTACTCAGTAAGTCGGTTATGGTATATTGTGATTAACCAAAGCAGTTGGAAGTTGATGGCATGCTTGCTCTTCTTTTTGGCTGTCTGTTAGAATTGAATTCAATACGATAGACTAATGTTTGCTTTCAATTTTGTGACAGATACTCACAGAATGCTGTACCACCAAACATAGCTCCTCGTATCCTTCAATTTCTTTTTGACTGCTGCATGCTTTTTCTTCCATGCCTTTTTATTCAATAACTGAATCAAAATACTTTAAAAAAGGAAGGTTCGCGCATTGATAGGTTCTTGGGTCCTTGGACGGTTAAAAACCAGTGCCAAGTCTCTTCCTTCCAATTTGGTATGTGTTGTACTTAACTTTAGATTTGCAGACTTGCTGGTGGAACCTAGCACGGGAAATTACTATCCTACAATTTACTTTAATGAATTTTGGCTGCTAAGGGACAAAATGGTTCCAGTCAACGAGACAGTCTCGGAAGTACCACTTCATCTGGAAATAAGCCCCATAAGCATGATGAAGTGGCAACTGTTTCAACAAGTTGACCAGTCTTTCCAGATGCAGCGTAGCTATGGAAGCATGCTTGATGGTGAATCTGACGAACTAAAGGTAATTCTGCTCCTTTATATTTAATTAGCATCTTCTATCACATGAACTATGATATTTGAATAGATGCTGTTGATTAATTTCTTTACACATTCTTCGTTTCTTCCCTAAGCTGATTGTAAATACGTTGTGGTTTTGCAGAGGGTGTTTTTGGAAGGGAATCCCTATTTGTTGGGCATTACGATGTTTGTTTCGATGCTTCATTCTGTGTTTGACTTCTTGGCATTCAAAAATGGTAAGTCAGTCCGAAAAAATAACAGTCTCTTTTGCTAACACTTGTTGAATTTACTTACCTTTTTCTTACCTTCTCAGATATCCAATTCTGGAACAAGAACAAATCTATGGAAGGACTGTCTGCAAAGTCTGTTGTACTGAATTTCATCTGTCAGTTCGTCATCTTCCTCTACCTGCTTGACAACGACACTTCATGGATGATACTGGCTAGTTCCGGAGTTGGTGTTTGCATTGAATTCTGGAAAATAGGGAAAGCCATGCGAATAGAGGTACTTGCTAATATTTGCATAATTCAGATCAAGCAAAGCGTTTCTGATGCTGTTACTTTACAAAACAAACATTTTGAAACTTTTCAGGTTGATCGAAGTGGAATGATTCCAAGGTTGAGGTTCCACGACCGTGAATCCTATTCAAGCAACAAAACCAAGGAGTACGATGACATCGCCATCAAATTCTTATCCTATGTGCTCCTCCTCCTTGTCATTGGATTATCCATATACTCTCTCGCTTACGAACGCCACAAGAGTTGGTACTCTTGGATCTTGGGTTCACTGACAAGCTGTGTCTACATGTTTGGTAAAGGCCCTTCAAAAAATCTTTATGTGCAGAATCTTCTCATTATGTGGAACTGTTGTGAGCTGAAATCAATGGGGGTGTGTTTTGCAGGTTTCATCATGATGTGTCCTCAGCTGTTCATCAACTATAAGCTAAAGTCAGTGGCACATTTACCATGGAGACAGATGACTTACAAGTTCCTCAACACCATTATCGACGATCTCTTTGCCTTTGTCATCAAAATGCCGATTCTGCATCGACTTTCTGTATTCCGAGATGGTGAGTAAAATCTATTTAAACCACCCTCTCTCTCTACTTGGATTCAGATTTTTAGAAAACAGGCTTATGATAATGGATCTCTCTATGTGTGTGTGTTTCAGATGTGATATTCTTAATATACTTATACCAAAGGTGGGTCTACCCTGTGGACAAGTCACGTGTTAACGAGTTCGGTTTTGGAGGTGAGGATGAAACTGCAGAGAAGAAGTTGCTCACTGAGAAAGAAGAAGAAGACAAGAAAACAAACTAATCTCTTCCTTTCTTTTTTGTGCGTGTGCTTCCCACTTTCGAAACAAAATTTTATAACACTAAGTTATAGTTTTTTTAATTTCTTTTTTTTTGTTTTGTTTTCAGTTGGAAACTGTTTTGTTAAAGTTTTATAATGACAACTTTCAGGGCAGATTATAAAATAACTTATTCATTTTTCAGTAGAGAAGTAACTTCTGAGAATTTGGTAAAATCTATGGAAATTTTGTTTACGATTGTTAAAGAGTTTGGTCAGAGAAACTTGTTGAAAGCAGAATTTAGATTAAACAGAAACAGTAACAAGGGTAAGTTCTATCATACGAAATGTATGTCTCTAAGAGGTTCACAAAAATAAAAAGTTTAAGAGTCATTCATTGACACATTCATCAGGTAGAGGAGTTGCAAAATTGAGACTGTTCCTCAACGATCTCCGGCCAATCCCCACATTGCCATTTCCTTTCCTCATCATTGCCACAAATTCTCCATAGTCTATTTGTCCATCCTACAAAAAAGCAAACACCATCAAACCATTCTTCAACAAGCTCTTTCATAAAAAAACAGTAAAGAAGAAGGTTTTTTTGTGTTACTACTCACATTGTCTTGATCAATGTCTTTGATCATTTCATCAAGATTTGAATCTTTTATACCAAAATCTTTCCAAGCCTGTTGGAGCTCGTCGATAGTGATGTAACCACTCGCATCTTTGTCAAAGAAGGAGAACGCAGCCACTAGATTCTCCTCTCTCTCCAGCTTGTTCAAGTGGATTGTTGCAGCTAAGAACTCTCCATACTCAATTGTTCCACTTTCATCAACATCAGCCTGACACACACACACACACATACTCACAATGAGAAGATGATATTATTGGATAACACTTAAAAAACTATAGTGAAGGTTAATAAGAAAATTACTGCACGCATGAGTTCTTGGATCTCTGATTCCATAAGCTCTGACCCAACACGTCTCATACTGTCCTTTAACTCCTCAAACGTGATGGTCCCACTGTTATCTGCGTCTATCATCTTGAACAGCTCCTTGAGCCCACCGATCTCTTCCACAGAGAGTCTCTCTGCAATCACACGTAAAGCCATCTTCTTAAGTTTGTTCATCGCAGAGAACTTTTTCAGGCGGGACACTACTGCACAGTCCAATGGCTTATCCGGAGCAACCTTATCATCCACAATCCACGGATGACCTGACCAAAAAGAGCGTTTGAATCAACTTGCAAGAAAACTTCATCTACTTTCAGAGGACAAGAACTTACACAGCACTTGATGAGCAGTGAGCCTTTTCTTTGGATTGCTTTCAAGCATTTTCTTGATAAGATCTTTAGCACTCTCTGAAATGCTAGGCCAAGGATCCAACGCAAAGTTGAGCTTCCCCTGTAAAATCCTTCTGAAGATCCCAAATTCACTTTCTGGACAACAAAGTAAAAGCACTTGATGGAAACGATGTGATTGTATTTGTATATTCTTTGCTGAGAAACAGAGAAAGCCATTAGAGAATCTAACCAGCCCAAAAAGGAGGGAAACCACATAAGAGAATGTAGAGGATAACACCAGCGCTCCATACGTCACATTCACGGCCGTAATGCTTATGCAAAACCTCAGGTGCCACATAGTAAGCACTACCAACAAGCTCTGAAAATGTCTCGCCTAAAAATAAAAGAAAACAAAACAGATTTGTCATGTATAGTTGTATACTAATTGAGCTTCATATCAAACTAATTCAACTAAATACACATTCACAGCATTTGAAACAATACTAACATATTCTGCTAAGCTAAACCACAATTATCATATTCAAGAATATAGAAATTCGGTATGAGACCTGGTTTGGAGAAAACAGAGAGGCCAAAGTCGGTGGATTTGAGAGAAGCATCTTCATCGGAAGAAGTGAAGAGGAAATTCTCAGGCTTGAGGTCTCTGTGCATAACACCAAGAGAGTGACAAGCCTCAACGACACCAACGATGGTCTTGATGAGCTTAGCGGCTTCTCTCTCGCTGTAATGACCTTTCTTGACGATTCTGTCGAACAATTCGCCGCCTTCGCAGAGCTCCATCACAAGGTGGACGCTTTTGGAGTCCTCGTACGTTCCTTGTATCCGGACAACGTTTGGGTATTCGGACAAATGATGCATTATCTGGATCTCCCTCAAAACGTCGTCGTAGTCTTCCTGGCAAAGGAGCTTCCTTTTGGGTATGGATTTGCAGGCGAGCTTTTGACCCGTCTCGTTGTGGGTACAGAGGAAAGTGGTTCCGAATTGTCCTTGTCCGAGCACTTGACCAAGAGAGTAATCGTCTTCCAAGTTTTTGGTCTTGTATGGAAGAACACTTCTGGTTCTTGCTTTGTTTGCCATGGTTTTTTTAGAGCCCGATTTGTTTTCTTCTGAGCAGAGGAAGAAGAAGAAGAAGAAGAAGAAGAAGAAGAAGAAGAAGAGAAACTGTTGAATGAGGGAAAGAAACTGACTTGAAGGGGCATTAAAGAGAGAGGGAAGCAAGTCAAAAGTTAGAAGAGAGAATCCATTTTTCTTACCGCTTTTTGGAGAATGATTGATTACCATTTAATTAGCTTTCCTTTTGTGTTTTTCTTTTCACATAAAATGAAAATTGGAAGTAAAACAAATTTACATGAATGCTTTTTGTTGAATGTTTTACATTTGTCTTAATTACTTTGTTTTGGTCAAAATATTTTCATTTAGTAGTCGCAATGAAGTAAAAGTCTACAATATTGCTTTAAACTTTTATGAGCTAAAACCACATACATCTTTTTTTTTCCTTTTGGCAAATGATATCTAAAATTGAGTAAAGAGAACTATTATTAGCTGTCCCGATATACATGAATTACTTTAATATTTTGCTGACAAAAAAAATAGTTTAATCATATTGAAGTTCCTGCTTTTAATGTATAAAACGTCCACTTAGTCAGGTTTTCGTATCTACGTGATTAGGTCACTAGTAATGGCAAAAACGTCTTCCAAATCCCAATGGTTTCACTAATTAAGCCTTCCAACACGTTTTCAACATGAAGAGTTCCAATCATTTTTGAAAAGAAAAACAAATACAAGAACAAATATAATGAAACTGAGGACAGAAAAAAAAAAAAAAAAAAAGAAATTGAGTGAAACTCGTGAATCCGTCCGTATTCATTCTCTTTCAGACGCATTCTTGACCGTTTCTGGGCCTCAATTCCTTTTTCTCTACATCCGAGTTTTGTCGATATCTAAACTTTTCACAACTATCAATCATGTGCATAGTAGAAGCTATCCATTTATTTATCTAAAAACATCACACTTTTTTTAATCGAAGCTCCAAATGTTGCCGTGAAGATGATACAGTACAAAACATTTCTAGGGTATAGTTTGTAAAACTTTAGATTTTTCAAACAATAATTGATACGAGTACGACAATGGATGTACACAAAACTTGTTGCAACTTATAACCTTATAATATCATAACAGAACTTAACACAAAGGACAAGGCTGTTATGACTTATGACTGACTAGGGTCCAGGGACGACCACTTTGGTCTTCTTGATTTGCTTTAAGCCGCCATCATCATTTCTGGTTCATACCCGCCTACGCAAGATAAAGAAAAAGAAGAATAAAATACATGAGCTCTTGAGAAAGAAAAAATTGAAAATCTCAACATGTCAACAAGAATCTGAGGAGAGTAGAAACTAACCTCTCGCAGTCTTTGCAAGACCGTATCTTCATAAGCTTGATAACCAGCACCAACTATGTTGCTTCTCGGCTCTGCTTCTGCAGATTTCTTAGCCGTCATAAAATCTGTTTGGTCTGCTTTCTGAAGAGGTAAAACCAGCAATGGATTAGAAAGATGGCCACACAGTGTTCTCGTCGCTGCAACCTATAAGAAAAATGAAACAATCCATGATTAGATTCTCCATATATACATATATCGACAAAAGAGAGAAACAAAGTTAAAAATAGTAATACTCACAGCTCCATCTTTTGTAACCATGACAACAAGAGCAGAGCATTTCCCCTTGTTATTACTCCTGATAACAATATCTTCAATCTCACCAAACTCTGAAAACACCTCTCTGAGTCTTTCCGCTGTGTACCCTTCACCAGTTTTCTCCCAAGAAACCTTCAACGCTCTCTCTTTATCGAGCTGATAACTATCTCCAGCTCTACTTCTACCTTCTCTTCTCTTTCCATCTACACCACCACCACTCTCTGGAGTTTCAAAACCACCGCTCTTCTTTCCATGTTTTGCACGAATCCTATCTACCTCCTCCTTAAGCCTCCTCGCGATTCTCTCCTCTTCATCGTAAGGCCTAGCCGCGTGTCTAGGAGCGAAAGCAGAACGCTCTCTTTCCTCCAGATCTGACATCATCTTACGCCTCTTGGCATCTCCCTGCGTTTTCCTGTGTTGCTTCTCACGCTGGACTCGGAGAAGATCATCAAACAGCTTCCGGGCTTTTTCGTCCTTGAGAACCTCGTGAGATGTCATGAGCCGCTGGAATTTATCGTGAGCATCTGGATCATCTCGGTTTTTATCCGGATGCAACACCAAAGCCCTCAACCTGTAAGCTTTCGAAATCTCCTTCTCAGTAAGCTTAAGAGCTTCCTCTCCAGAGGGTAACCCTAGAACTAGATAATGATCCACAAAACCCTCCATTTCTTCCTTCCTTCTTCTTCTCCTCCTATGCTAGATGACCCTACTGCACAGAACCACGAATGAGTTAGTAATCCAAGTAGCTAAAAAACTTCAATTTGCACAGCAACAGATACAAACTGTGCAAAAGGCTTCGGAACATTTTAGAATGTACAAAGTAAATACATATTTGAACAACTTAAACCATAAAATGCAAATTCAGAGTCTTTTTTCTCCTCTTCTCTAGCCATTAAACTAAAAATCAGATTACAAGAAATTAACAGCCAATGCAGGAGGACAAAGGCAGATGATAGGCAGAGGAAGCTTTAGACATTGTGAATATATAACCCTAGGACGTAAACTCTACACTTTTTGTTTCCCAACCCAGACAGTTCAAGTTCTTAAGGCCATCTCATCAACGATGAAAAAAGCTACGAATCTACAGCAATCACAAGATATAAAACCCCATTAAGTCGAAACGCACCTTTCAATTCCTAGTCGCTAAACTCTTGAAGGCGCAGGCTAACCTCAGATTACAATAGTCTCGGATTAAAGTGAAATCCTTACGAACCAAAGCGGGAATTCGAGCTAGCAATTGGAGTAACGCATGAGAAATCGGGCAAGAGCTAGCAATTGGAGTACCGCTTGAGATAGAAAAGAGGAGAAATAAGAGAATCAATTGATTCGTGGATTGAAGACGATGATAGGCTTGATTTAGGGCTTGGCCGACCTTTTTTGTTTCAATCATACACTATTTCAATAAGTTGGGTTATTTTCTGCAAAATTGAAAGTACGACGAGGACAAATTTGTAAACCAAAACTACTTGTGCCAAGGTTTGAAATGGGCTTAAGGCCTAAGCAGGCCCACTATTTTAATTTTGACAAAGTTAATTGTTTTTTATATAATTTCAGTAACGAAAATTTGATTAAACAATATTTATATTCAAAGCAAAAAATGGCGAATAAATTATTCGCCTTCCATAATGAACTTTCATCTACATGGTGAAACCTCGATCGAATTATCTGACTGACATTAAAGCATAATCAGATAGCAAAGATAATTAGACCTCAAAAGAGGGAGAAAAAAACAAAAAAAAGACTCAAGAGTAAGGTATAACTCAAAAGCTTCGTTGTTGGATCATAAAGAGTCATCAGAGAGAATATACAGAAACCACTAGTTATAAAGCATCTCCACCTTCAATATTTTTTACCAGTAATGTAGAAGAGAGATCACTTTTATATTGACTTGGTTTAAGTCCTAATACCTGTTCCTAAACTTTCCAGATGTCTACTCCTCCCTAGTCTCTTTTGTTCAGTTTTACCAGAAACCCTGTACATGTCTCTTAAGGGATTCTATGTCGCCGGATTTTATCACTGATAGAACTGTGCCTGCTGTGTTTCTGTCGTCACCACGGTTAGAGCCAATTCGGTTGACTTCCCCTGAAGAGCACTGATTGCGTTTGCCATTTCCTTTATCTGCTGCTCCGCTTTGGCTTTCCATGTCACCAACTCCTTCAATGCTTCCTGAAAACAGAGTGATTCTCAGAAATCATACAAAAGTTGCATGTAAATTTGTTCTTTTAGCCTCGATGCATATCAGAAAAGATGCGATGTGTGGTAGTGAATGGAGCAAGGACTGTGAGAATGTAGCATCTACTTACTTAAACAAGCGTAAGGTCTAGAGTTTCCAAAAACTGATCATCTAATGCAAATGAAACACCAGAACAACGCTTTTAATATGTTTGATGAATGTCTCACCTGAGAAATGACAATTGGGTCGTCGATATCTGGTCGTGGACATACAGTGATTGAAGAGCCTGGAGTAATGTCAGCTTTGTCTTGATTGGAGCTTCTGGAATCACCTCTCGTGATGCAGCTAAACAGGGAAGCAAACGTATTCCTATATTAGACCAGCAATAATAATAAACCAACAAGGCTACTCTTGGACCAAGAAACCAAGCAAACCTCTCTAACCTCTCTGTCCTTTGCATTTCGGTGTTGATCAATGACTGTTCCTCAAACCGGAACTGGTCTTGATAAGAGCTTTTGAGGGCATTCGGTGGAAGCGAGTCGGTATCTGGCCTGACAACCTCTGGTAGAACACCAATAAAGTCTTCCCATGGTTCAAAACCATTCCCTGTAAGATCATTCAAGCTGGCACTCTGGAATATGTTTTCCCAACTCTCAGGAGCTGGACTGAACGAAGTGCTCCCATTTGCCTGCTGATTGTTCGGCGAGTTTGAAATTCCCACCAACTGCTGCTCTACTTTGTCTTTCCACGACATCACTTCCTTGAACATGGACTGCAAACAAAAGGAGTGAGATATGGTTAGGCAAAAGCTTTATTAAGCTAAATTCATTCCTGTTCAAAGAAGCTTCAAAGTTATACTGCTTTTAGTCTATACCTGTGTTGAAGTCAAGGAAGTTGAGATCTCCGCAAATTGCTTATCAGTCGTTACCCTCCAGCTCATCAAGTCCTCAATTTGCTTATCGGCATTTACCCTCCAACTCGTAAACTCCTTGAATAGTTTCTATGGAGAAATGCAAAAAAAGGAATCTCTAGTTATGCGTATCTTAACACATTCCTTGAACAAGCAAAAAATGATCTCAAAATCACCTCAGTTGAATCAGCATGATCTGTTAACTTTTGCTTGGAAACAAGTTCTTTGATATCACTGCATACCACACACACACAAAAATGAAACTTTCAAGCACATCTCAACTTTCAAACAAACGCAAATATTGAATCTCAGAATAATGCAAGCGTTATTACCTCTTCATTTGCTCAAGTTCTTCCCTAAGCTTTGCGGAGACTGTAGATGACTCATGAGTTGCATTCTGAATCTTCCACCAAGATGGGGGAACCCAACTAGGATCAGGAATTCCGGATTCACGCTTGATTTTGACCAAATCAGCAGTCTCTAGCCAATACTCCATGGTTCCTTCAGTATTGTAACACCTCCTAAACCGATCAACACCATCTGGCGTTACATTTCCATCCACGTGCTTCAACAGATGGTCCAAAAGCCCCGTATCACCGATCTTCCTCCGAGATATACTTCTTAAGTCATGCCGAGAAACAGGCGTCTCAAAAGAAGCACCTTTCTCCTTCAATACCTCAGCCAGTGTTTTCTCCGCAAACTCAATCCTGCATCCAAAAACCCAAAGCTCCTTCATACCAAAAGATGAAAATCAAAACGGAAAAGCACGAGATATCAAATGCTTGGCTCCTTTTGTTACCTTTCATTATTCCATCGAGTCGTTAATTTGGATTTCTTATTCCCTGAGCTGTTTTCACTATTTGCTGCAAATCTTCTGGATTTTTCCACTGTAGACCCACTTCGAGTGAGTCGTTTCCGTTTCTGGATCCCGCTCATTTTAATAAGATCCGTCAGAAGAATATCAGCTTCCTCCTTCTCTACCTTGACTGCGACAATGGCTTTACAAGAGTTTTCCTCTTCTCCCTGAGTATCTGAAGCAACGTGCTTCTTCATCGCCGAGCCGATCTGACTCAGCCTCATCCGACGAACCACCCTCTTCTCAGACATCTCATATAGCCGCCGCTCGCGATTTCTGCTCCATTTCACGCAACAACCAAAAAAAAAGAGAGAGTCAAGTCACTGGTGTAGATCAACAAAAAACAAAAACAAAAAATCAGCAGAGAAAATGTCGAATCTAGGGTTTCTTCTCTCTTCAGAGGCGAAATTTGAGAGCCAGAACAACGAAACGGCGCACAGAAACCTTAATCGACGCAATATCAAGCGCCAGAGATTTTGCGATCACGATTGAAATTGATTAAAAATAAGAAGCTAAAAGCCAGAGAACTAGGGATTAGAGCCGCACCGTTGGATCGAGGCAGTGAAGAGGAGGAAGAGGAAGAAGATAAGACAAAGCAGAGACCTGGAAATGAGAAAAGGGCGTAAAAGAGGAGTGCGTCGAGGATGAGAGAGAGAGCCCTAAGCCGCCAAAATCCCTAAAACCTTCTCTTTTCCCCCTTTACAGTATTGCCGTTATTGGCCTATTTTTATTTTATTTTTGTAAATTGTTTTATTTGTATAACCAAGAGAAACTCTGCACACGACAACTCAATAACAATTGAAACAGTGACGCGTGGTGAATCTCTCGTACCTACCGTGGACCTTCTCGCATGGTATTGCCACTGTCTAAGATTCAGCAGCAAATTATGTTTTGTCGTCTTGTCTTTTGTTCTTTGAATGAACTAACTATATAATCGGTGATCGCGTGTTCTTAATAGTGTAAATTATAAAAGGTCTAATCATGATCTTATGATTGCAAATAAATAATTAAATAATCATATGATTGCAAATAAATAAATATATAAGGTTTCCAAGTATCCGAACAGAAAGTAGAACTGAAGAAGCAACGAGTGGATAAATTACAGAGAAAATCCTTAGATATGAAGTAAAATGTGTATTTCACTATTTCTTACTTCTTAGAAGAGTGAATTGTCGTGAAACTGAAACAAAATGTCTAACCAAATGATAAAACTACGAAAAATGTTTTAAGACCTGTGATGCCATTATTCAAGCCATTATGAATTAATCTTGATACCTAACCATCAGTAACAATTCCAAACATATGAAGAAAGTAAAGCTGCATAAGAGTGCATAGCTCCGCATCAAGATAAATAAATTGTGATTAATACAACACCTCCTGCATCAACAACACAACAAACTCATTAACTGAGCATCAACAGGTAAAAGTTACCAGTAATATAATAATTTCCCAACAAAAATAAATGAAAAACAAAACAGATTTGAGTAATGTGTTATTGGGCAGAGAAACAGTACATCCCAAATTATTTGAGCTATATAACACATTTCTCAGTTATAAGAGAAAAAAAGAACGACTAGAGTTTTTTGGTTGTTGTTAAACTTCAAGTCCTATGAAGAATTTGATTAAACCGTTTTTGTAGTCTCTGGTGCTCCAATCTATTAGGAATCTCTATTCTTGTTTTTCTCACCTTGTTTACATGATTGTCAAAGTGGAAATTTCCATAGACATTAAATCACTTGAAAATACTTCATCTCATCTTCAAAATTGAAAATGAAGCTATATGTTGTATTTGATCCAACTTAAATCATAATCTAATAATTGCAACTTGGCTAAAGAGTCTCAACAAATCTTTCCCTATTTGAAAACCAAGTTATGGTAGTTATAGGCTTTGAAAATCAAACATGTAGCAAGCTACTAAACAATATAGGCACAACATTGCTTGTACCTAAACTGCGCGGAAGTTTGATCAAATTTGGGCGTCAAAATATACCACTATTCATTTTGTTTCTTTCATCTCCTTCATAAACTGAAGATTACATAAACCCAAAACAGTTGTCAGAGCTTCACAGCTGGGGTTGTTCGATCCCAACACACAAACTTGCTTCAATTTTTGAGTTGAATGACTAAGAATTCGTTTAATGTTTTGCAAGTGTCGGCTCAACTCTTCAAAATCAGCAGAAATGATGACAACTCGTAGATGATGCCAGGTGCACCACTGAACACATGAGCTTCAGTCGCACTTGCATTGGAACTGGAGATAACTTGGCTCCTAATGTCTCCAAAAGAGCTAATGGATTCTTGAATCTCCAAAGCAAGAGCTTTTCTTGCCGACAGTACCAAGACCTAGGCATCAACGCAATGAAGACGAGTTTCCCTAAAACGCCTGACGAGTTCCATCAATCAATCTATCATCATCAATTCTCTCAATATAATACATACAGCATGATACTTATTTCCTATTTCACCGCACAACACAATTAAGACGAGTTTAAAACCACAGAAAGAATGTGATTTATAATGATTTTTGAAACTTTTCTTGAACTAGAGAGATTGTGCTGGTTAGTTTAGTTGATTGTGTCTAAGTTTGACATGTTTACATGTTTGATTTTTGTAGTTAAGATGTTATTGATTTTTTTTTTTTATTAGGTATTTAGCTAAATCTTTAGAGGGAGTATAAAAATATAAAAGCTTAGATAATTATTAAAGGTCTAAACATAAGAATATATGATAAACCTATGAAAAATGTTTTGAGTCTACGAAGATTCACCGAAAACAAGATCCCAAAAAAAACGAACTTCTTTCGAGTTAAGAATGTATGGATTGATAACTGATTAACTGAAACCTAATAATCTGTGTTTGACTCTCCTTACACCTTCTTCTTCTCCAGATTTGCAGAGACAGATCTTTGCTTATGCTTCCAATTAGAAATTTTACCGGGAAAAGCCCACCTTAGCAACCGCTCCCACGAGTAACAGATGACGAACATAAGTAAAGCCCACAGGAGAAGCTTATCCCTCATACCTTCAGGTAAAGGAACAAGCTTTAGCGAATCGTTCAGGTCCCTAAACACATCGGAGGCGATCACCGTGAAGAACCCTGCTCCAGCAACGAGCGCGTAGAAGAAGGGCTTGTTTTCCCTGATACTCTGGTTAAATGGATGCCCCATATAGTTGACAGCGAATGTTGCGACCTGGAGCATCATGCTCACCATGTACGACACTGTGTTCACCAGATTAGGATGGAACGTTGCGTCTGGTTCGATGCATTCTTCGGGCATGTGTTTCTCTGCTTCTTTAACGGAGTAGATCAAAAAGGTTATGTGCACAGCGAACTGTCCAAGCAGAGAGAGGAAGAGGTACAAGGAGAAGACACTCGGGTGGGGTCGCTCTGCAGAGAGGGTCTGAAGCGGTCGAGCATGAGAAATGAAGAGGAAAAACGCAGCTGTTAACACCCCACTGATTGTAGCCTGGACATCACCGAGCTTCACACCGTCCAAGTACATCACACTTAGGACATAAGCCGTGGCGAGACAGTTCAGACCGAGGATTTTGAACATCTGAAGAGTCGTCACAAGTGTACTACGACCCTGTCGGATTATGTCTGTCACTGGGGCAACCGACGCATGTTTGGCTGTGAAGGGAGATGCCATTGATGCATCCCCGAGTTTGACTAAGGGAGCTGACCGGCCATCACCTTCATCACTGTTTAGTTCATCCATCATCTTCTTTAGCTTTTGTCTCTGCAGTTCCGCAGCAGTTAAGTGACGGTTTTGGGGTGTGGTCTTTGCCTTTGATGATCCTTCCCCATTCTGAATTGCGGTTTTGCTTGCTGGTTCTGATGGCTGTTTGGACTTTTTCGACTTTGACTTATCATCTTTAGATGGTTCCGATCCAGTTGACGGGGGAGGTATACTATTCAGCAAGGCAACTCCAACATGAGCCTTGAAATATGAAAAACAAAAATTCGAATCAATATGAAAGAAAATTAAGCATATTCAACAGTTGCTTGGCATCTGAAATGCTAACTAAAGCACACTCTTCCAAATGAAATTCATATATGTGTTTGCAATACCTGCTTCAATGCTCCGACATCATTTGTCCCGTCTCCACACATCAGAGTCCCCCTTCCTACCGCTTTGAAGGTGGTTAAGATCAGCTCCTTCTGCTGTGGAGCAACTCTTGCAAAAACCTGAAAAAAGAAAAATGGTTAAAGCTTCAGACTCTTACTACAAACTACTAAACCATGTGACAGAGATTACAAGGTGCAATAACCTTAACAAATGGAATGACTCGCAAAACAGCAGATGTAGCCTGTAGCATTTCGATGCTGTCACCTCCAATGCATAAATCATGGGTCTCTGCAAGGGTTTCGATATCTTTGTCACTGAAAGAAAGAGACGACATCATTTCTCAGTCAGAAACAGAAGAGTGACATTAATAGAAACCATTTACTTGAGCAATCATATAAGCAGAGCAAACTATTTCAAAGGCAAAACACTAAGGCGCACACACACTTCAGTGACAGAGAGAAAGAGGGCATGGAGAGAGACTTTGTGACAACATTTACTGCTGGTGTAATGTGACTACCGAAGATTGTACAAGATAATGATACGAATTTGCTTTAATTCTACAGTAACTGTGATTAAAATTTAATGCACCTGTAAGGTATGGTATCTTTCTCATCAGGTGACACCCACTTGTATGCGTCACCAGTCCTTGATTGACCAAGAATTAATACTGGGTTTGAGACAATATGCACTTGGCTTGCAACGTGACAAGCTGTCAAAGCTTGATCACCGGTAATCATCACCTGGAATCATCATGAAAGCAAGATAAGATATACTGTACCATATATCTAATTATATAAGAAATAATGAGCAAAACAAAGACATGAAGACTGGGACATGGAAATCAAAGAGCCAAATTCTATAATCTACACTCGATTGAGATAGCTGCTTTGCAGGTAATATGTATCGAGTAGACAAGGAACTGAATGAACCACTAATCGTGATAAGAGGTCCAGTAATATATGAGTGTGTGCATCATAAGATAAATGAATTACCAAATCATGAGATGAATTCTTCAACTCCAAGAGAACGGTGGCTGAATCTGATCTAATGGGGCAGTTGAAAACCTGTGATGCATAATTAATTTATCATGAACCATGTTGATAACCGACCATCAATTACAATTCAAACATATGAAAAAAAGTAACGGCATAAGAGTGTATAGCTTTATGCCATTACCGCGAACCCGGCAAAAGTAAGGTCACTCTCAACAGCATCTCTGTCCATGTCTCTGGCTTCACTGGCCTGGTGATCATTATAATACATGTTTAAAAGCACGTGAGAATGCATAATCCATTACAAAACAATGCTGGATGTTTATATTGTTAACTAGGAAAAGAACAAATCAAGAGCCATGACAAGTGCATAAGCACAGATAACTAACTATTCTACCAACAGAACTAAGGAACCCAGACTTCTGACATCACTTTAGGTGATACATTAGAGACTCACGCACAAACCTGTATAGGTGAACAGTGAAACTATATTACCTAGGTCCGGAAGGCGTATTACACACACAACTTTCTATGTAAAATGACATAAAAAGTATTTTGAAGAAGCCCATAAGTTAATGAGTAAGATCATGGGTCAGTACCATCATCTCAGGAAGTCGTTTAAATGCAAGGGCTAGAACTCTAGATCCTTGGCGGGTGTATCTCTTATATGTTTCCATATATGATGCTGGCACATCCACAAGCCTATCTTGGATGGTCTCTGGTGCACCCTGACAAAGAAGTTAATTATAAGCATCCAACATTTGGCTTTGGATTTATTAATAAAAAAGAAT